TCCGGGTGCACATATATGTGAGTGTTCACGTGTGCACATATGCGTGTTCACGTGTGCACATATGTGTGTTCCACGTGTACGCACATGTGTGTTCCAATTGGACACGTGTTTGTGTTCCAGGTGAACAGATGTGTGTTTCACGTGAACACATTAGTATGTGCTAGATGAACTTTTTTTGGCATCTGACGACATATTTGCTCTCCAGGTGTGCACATGTATGCGCTCCAGAAAACGCATGATTGTTTTCGAGGTGCGCGCATGTGTGTGCGATTTAGGTGAGCATTTATGTTTGCTCACGTGTGCGCATATGTGTGTTCCACATGTACACACATGTGTGCTTTAATCGCACACGCGGTGTTCCAGGTGGACACATGTTTGTGTTCCAGTGGTATACATATGTGTGTCCCACGCGTACACACATGTGTGCTTTAATTGCGCGTCTTTGTGTTCCAGGTGAACGCATGTGTGTTCCACGTGTACACACATGTGTGTCTGAATTGGACACGCGTTTCATTGTGTTCCAAGTGAACACACATGTGTGTTCCACGTGAACGCATTAGCGTGTCGTAAGTGAACACATATGTGCGTTCCACGTTTGCACATGTGTGTGTGTGCTTTCCAAGAAGCACATGTTTGTTTTCCAGCTCAACACATTTATGCGTGTGCCGCAGGTGAATGTATACTGTTTCAGTCGTATACGTATGTGTGTTCCACGTGTACACACATGTGTGTCTGAATTGGACATGTGTGTTTGAACTGCCCATGTGACTGCGTGCTTGCGCGGCCACACTTGCGTTCACGCGCGCGCGCTCGCCCGCCATCGCGCGCGCTTGCCCAACCTCAGTTCTGGCGCGGTGCTGAAGCGCGAAGCATGCCAGCAACACACGTGCAGCAACGCAACGCGCGCCAGGTTCACGACTGCATCATTTTGATTCATCCGTGTTGAAGCGCAGAAAGCCACAAGCTGTTGGCATGTTTGTGCTCGCCCGTCAGCCCTCAACTGTTTGGGGTCTCTGCTGGTGTAATTTGTTTAGTTAAAGGGGAGTAAGTTTCCTCTACACGGCTATAATCTTACATGTTAAATATGAAATAATATATATATATATACATATATATATATATATATATATATTGACCAATATGCAGTTTTATGCCCCACAGGGCCGGGGGCGGGGGTTGGAAGAATTGATTATTCATACGCAGCACACCCAGAAAAAAACGTGTTTTTGTTTGCGCGGGGCCGGGGGGGCCGGGGCGGGGGGTGCTGCTTGAGCTCTTCACTCCGAGGGCCAACACCTCGAGCTCCCGGCGCATCTTCGATACCGCGGTGACGGCCGGGGATCTGAAATCCCTCTGCGCAGCCACGGTTTGGCGGGAGAGAGTTAGCTTGGTGGCCCCCAGCCATCCGGTTCCTTAGCCCAGGCTTTTGGTGTTTGGTGGTAGTTTCTATTTGACCCACCAAAGGCTAAACTTTCAGCAAAAGATCTGAGGGCGGAGCTCGGAGAAAGTCGCCACGAGTCCCGTTGTGCGGGTTAACTCGGTCCCCCAGCTAGGTGCCCTTTCTCTGCCAACTTTTTTGGTTGGGAGGGTTCCCCTACTACAATAGACGAAACAGAAAGAAGTTGGTACCCTTATTCTAAGCTCTCAAATCTGGAGGACCTAGGCAACTTGCCCATGCTCAGGGACTGAGAAATGGAATGAACCCAGGGGTCACCTTAGAGGAAGCCACCGGATGGTTATAGGGATTCCCATTTCTCAAGTGAGCACCAGCAAGGGAATGACTTGAGAATGTGGGAATCCTGTCCACTTTCACCCTGGCGAAAGTAGATGGCACAATCCCCACCACCAAACCGGTCACCAAGCATGGTACAGCTCCAAAAGCGCTCCCGTTTTCTACCTTTCGGGATTGCAACCTTGCAACTGGGGTAAGATTGGATGAAAGGGTCACTTTGCCACACAAAAGGACTTGTGCTGTCTCCTTTCACCCGGGTTGCACGGGTTTTTTGTCTGACATGGCTGTTGGTCAAAAATTAATACCCAAGCTGGAGCCCTGGTAAATGTCACCAAGGACTGAAACCTGCGGTCCATATCCTGGTTAAATTTTGAACCCACACGTCCGCACTTTGCACACCTTCCAACGCCTTGCTCGAAAGGGTCGCCCCGGTTGCTGGGGCTGGCCGTCCAAGGCGCCGAAGCCTTCCTTGGACGTGTGGCGCGGGCACCCGGCGAGAACTGGAGGTCCAGTTGGCGATATCCACGCGAAACAGGGATTCTCACGAAATCCATCCAACGCAGCACCTAGGACACCCTGGTCTCTGATGATTCCCCTGTAAATACCAGCAAACAATGATTTCATCCATGGTTTCTTAGGTGGTGCGAAATGGATTTCGTCCATCAGTAGGATCCCAAGACCCTATGGTTCGAAGTCCTTTGGGGTCAATGGCCCTCAAAGGTCTTGAGATCTCCTATTTCAAGAGTCCCTGCACATGTCGTGTGTGTTTTTTCGGCGTGGGTTGAACATCAAGCAGTTTAAATCAAGCAGTTGGAGGGGAGAGGTCACCAAAACCAACTTTGGGGTGTTGTGTGGTTTCCATTCCCCTGGGAGTGCTGGCGGTTTCGGGCAAAGTTTTCTGTGCTGACCCGCGCCAGCGGGAAAGCAGCAAGGCTCTTTTTTGCAAATGCAACGTGTGGGGATGTGCTTCGAGAGGGGTGATATTTAAAGGGGACGACAACTTGTGCAATTGGTATTTGCTGCTGGTTGCTCCGAGGTGAGGCCTTGTTGGTGCCTTATCCCCTTTTGCATTCACACACCCAATCATCCAACCACCCACGCACGCGCGCACGCACGCACGGGCACGCACGCACGCTCAGACACGCGCACAGCCGCACACCCGCACGCATACACACGCATGCAGACACGTAGTCCCATTTTTGCGTTGGCTTTGCCAAGAGAGGTTTGTGTCTTGCAACATATGACCGGGTCTTGACTGGGTAGGACCAGAGCATGCCAGACTCATGGTTGTGGCATGAGGCAGGGATCTCTCGTTTGGATCCCCCAAGAGTTGGAAGCTGGCGGTGCCCTGCGACTGTTATTTAGTAGGGGGGAGTCCAGAGACTGAGGCGCTTTCCTGGGGTTGAAATGCGCGCGGATGGCGGGCCTATGCACTGATTTGGCCTGGCTGGGCGAATCTCCTCATACAATCTAGTGTTTATTAGAAGATGCCCCATATCAGAACGGGGGTGGATGTGTGTGTGTATAGCTTTTGTTTGCGGTGCCCTTTTCAGGTTCAAGGGAAGCCAAAGGCGCCACCATTTTCTGGGCCACCCCTATTTTACCTATGTACCCTCCCAGCCGCTAACATGGGTTTGTGCACAGACCCCTGTAGAAAGACTACTTTCCTTTTGGAAAGGGCCTTTTTGCACAAACCCATGTTAGTTGGTGGGAGGGTACATGGAGGGTACAAGCGTAATTCTCCCACAAGGTAGCCAGTCATTCCTGCGCAAGCCCATTCTATTTCTTGAAGCACTTAAAGTAGATGGTTTGACAAAAGTGAACCAAATTCCCCTATTTTACCTATGTAGTCATTTTCAGTCATTCCAATGGAGAAGGTGCCTTCAGGCCAGGCTGTGACTTAGGTCCAGCGCTCCTCCTCGGGGCTTCTCTCTCGGCGGCGCCGGAGCCCCAAGCCGAATTGGGCCTCGAGGGCTGACGTGGCCGGGGAAACCTGAAAACTCGCTGCGAACTTGGGCGCTGAGCCCATGAGGCGATCTTGAAGTTGTTTTGAAGTTAGGAACCCAAGACGGGAAGGGAATAATAACATTGCTTGCTTTTTCCGGACGCCCTATGCATCGCCCAGTAGTGTGAAGAAGTGTTTCATTTAAGTTTCAGGCCCTTTTGCACCCAGTCACGGGCATTTTTCGACCAATGGTGGACAGGCATTCAACTCCGCTTTGATGTTTACCATTGCCGGAGCCTCCGTTTTGGAACCTCCGGAACGCGGCGCCCCCCTTAACCCCACACGATACCGGCTGTGGTTGTCAAAGCCGTTTTGGGATCCCATTTTGGTTGGTAGGTGAATGACCACCACCCATTTTAGGTTACCTATTTTGGTGGGGATTGGGAGGTTCACTTGGGGGTACGGTTTGGATTTTGACCCATGGCCAAATGAGTCTTTTCTCGTGAACTGCTTTCGGCCTTCCTGAAGCTGCCACAATGGCCGCCCAAGAAGGAGTGTCCTCCTTGACACGTCTTTTGGGGTTCCGGGGAATTTATGAATAGAAGTATTTGCATCACGGACAAGATTACCTAATCATCGGCTTGCTGAATGAGCCCAGAAATTCCTAGATTCGCGACACCCGTTTTGTGGTGCAGGGCAGGTGTCCAGCAATCCCCCAATCCCAAAACCCTTCTGGATTTCCTACTGAGAACCAGCAAGACAAGGAGCTCAGGTAAAGCAACCGGGTTGTCGTCATGGGATATCCAAAGTTTCCAGGTGTGAAGTACTGTAAATTACTGCCGACTTTGAGGTCTGTTGGATACACACTTTATGGGACATTGGGGATGATGGTCACGGTCAAAACCTTATGGCGGTCTTGACAAACCTTGGTTTGGGCATTTCCACTGCACCTTTCAAGCGTTGTTTGGATAATGCTTTTTGACACCAGGAATGTCCAATATCTACTTTGTCTCGCTTTGACTGGCTTGTCATTCTTCTTCACTTCCCAAATTGAAGTTGAAGCGCTCTCTCTCTCTCTCTCTCCCTCTCTCTCTCTCTCTCTCTCTCTCTCTCTCTCTCTCTCTCTCCCTCTCTTCATGTTTGTGTCGGGAAAATGCCAAGGCATGCCAAGGCAAGGGTCTGTGAGACTGTCTTTTCCTTGCGCTCAGAAAAGCTGGGTGACTTAGAGCAAGAACCAAGTGGACTCCAGTCACCGATTGATCCAACCCATTCGAATTGAAAATCAGACTGCAACTTCAGCCAGCTGACCTGAGACCAACTCGGACAGATCCAGTGCTTTTCACTGGCCGTCGCGGGCGATCGTCGGCCGTCGCATGGAGCTACAGCTCCGTGTACCTCCGGAGAGATGGTGCATCACCCTGTCAGACTTCTATCAGTTCGTGAGCTCCCTGGACTGCATTGGAGTTCGTTGGTTTGCCGCTTGGGATTTTCCGTGAAGGTGTACTGGCTTCGTCTCAAAATGGGGGCACCCAAAAACTGTATGGTTTGCTTTTGGTTTCCCTTTAAAGTGCAAAAAGGGGCAATTTTGCAGAAATACACCCAGTTGCAGATGTTTCCAAGTATGTTTTCCAAAACAGGTTCCACCGATTTTAGGACCGGACCCCCATTGCCAGATTTGCGAACCTTTTCGCCCAGGGTTGCGGAGGGGTTGATGCCCACTATACGATACCAGTGAACCTCCGGTGCCATCGAGAATGCACAAGTTGGAAGGCCTATCATTGGCATCACAGCTGTGAGCAATTCACACAACCCTGTTTCTCCCGTGTGCCCTTGGAGTTTCCTTCATTTTGCCTTTCCATCCCGCAAACGGGGGTCTATAGAAGTCTGGGCAAGATCGGGGATGTTCTACCTTTGCCACAGCTTTCTTGTTCAAGAAGCAATTCACCCGTGCCACATGTGTTTGTTCAACATTACTTTACAATCGTGCCATCTGTTTTACAAAAAGGAATTCCCTGTTTCACTGGTTGTATTCTAAACGGAAGGATCTACAAGATTCGCAACAAACTGATCTTCACGTGTATCTTGTTTCAACATATGCGTTTGAAGCGTATGTCGATCAAGAAAGCCGCGTGCATGAGTCAGCGGCAAGGAAATGTATTCGGGGACCTTGTTTTTGTCTATCTCCCAACCTGTCGATCGGGCCCCAAATCCAAAAGGTAGAAGTCAGGTCCACTGCAGGGATTTGGTTGGAAGCACGGGGCTTGGGGAGAGACATGTCAGTTTCTTCTTTTTTTTGGGGGGGAGGGGTGGGACTATTAGCATGTTGCCAGTCGCCAGTTCGATTGCTACACAGACTGAGCCAAGCCCCGTTTGGGCAGGCCATTGCTTCAGGGTTCACAGGATGACATGTCGGCGGCCTGGACGCTATTCAAAGCCCAGCAGTGCGAATGTGCTGTGGCTTCAGGATGTCTTTCTTACTGCATCTTATGAATTACCAGTTATGCGTAGTTTTCATTGTTCGCGGCTATATGGCTGTGGCTCAAACAACCGATACCACAATGGAACCCTGGTAAGTGGAAACATGGACCAAAACCTGCGTACCCCCTCCTGTTTAATTTTGAGCCACACCCATATATATATATATATGTATACTATATTGTTTACTTGGTGTTTGTTCTTGGCTGGATACGGTTGAGTGCTAGCTTTGCATGTTCTTGGCCCCTGGGCCCCTGGGCGAAGCATCCGGCTGCGGCTGAGCATTAGGGTTCGACAAAGCGTTCCCTTCCCAGGAACACCCACCAACACTCTACGTTTTGGCCTTCAGCAGGGTGTGAGAACATGCAGATGCCCTCGTTGTTTTTCTTGGCCCTGAATCAATCAGGCGTCCCATGGTTCTGGTGAGCCAGCGGGATTCTGCCTAGATTTCCGGCGCCAAAAAGCGAACGGCCTTTTTGAGCAATTGTCAAGGGACGCAGTGGTGCATGGGGATATTTGGGGCCCCGGGTGCAGGAACCTTTTGACTTGGAGCCTTTCGGGTTTTGAACCAGTTTAGGACATGAAAAAATGGATGGGACAGCCGGACAAGCAAGCGTCAGCCTCAACGGAGTGCCAGCTGGCACGCCTTTTCTTTGAGCCGGGGCTTGGCTCGAGGTGTTGTGCGGACGCTTTGGAAGCACGGCAGGGTGCCAGAGGACTGCCACCGGGGGGGGGGGGGTGAGTCATGTTAATGGCAAATTGGAACGAAGTCTATGGGAAGTGACCCGGTTAGAGATGGAGGGGAGCTCAGCATGTGGGACCAGGTTTGTGGAGGGGACGGCGGCATAATGTGACATTCCGGTGGTGCTGCCGTGTTGCCGTGTTGCAGTGTTGCATGTCGGCTTTTGTTGCGTTTGAAACCCCAAGCTCTCGCGCACACACACATATATTGAGGAACACGCCCATGCAGGTGTCAGGGACATGTCTTGCATCCCTAGAAATTGGGCAGGCAGTTAATTGGGACCAGCACAGGCGGTTCTGAGAACCCTTCCAAGGACACCTTCTCAGAAACGGGCTTTGAACGTTTTCTGGAGATTTTGGGGGGATGGTCTGAGTTGTTTCCTCGGGGTTTTGGAACATTCAGGCTCACAAAAACAACAACCCCCAGTCGGGAAACGCACACCTTCGAATTGAAGAGCTCCCATTGCGATGATGGTTGCGTTAAGCGGGGGCGACAGAGGCTCAGGCGGATTTCGACCAGATCTGACCAGTCAGCTGGTTTTCATCCAGAAAAAAACATGAGTGATCCACACTTGGGGGCCATGGACCGCATGATCATCGGGTCTAGACGAATCGGAGTTGGTTGTATTTAGTACACGTGTATCATCATTGTACATTGTACAGAGCCGTGCTTGGTTGTCCCACTTCACTCCACAGTGTGAAACAGGGTAGCGTCCCACCCCAGAAAAGCAAAGCTTGAAAATCACAAAAGCAAAGTTTAACCCAGAAAAGCAAGGTTTATCCCAGAAAAAGCAAAGTTTAAAAGTCAGCACATATGTCCGGGGCACCACCTCGGTCCATTAAGGATTCCTCCCACGATTCCGAGTCGGGAGACGTGCGGCGATAGGATCCGGCCCGGCCCAACCCCTTCCACAGTGATCCGACGCATGGGCCGGATCTCTACCAGGTGCTTTGGCACAGGGCCAGGCTTTGTGCAGTGCGAATCAATCAACGGATTCGAACTTTCAGGAACCCCAACATCTTGCAAGCGGCTTGTTCAGCACTTCCCTAGGGATATATGTGGGTGTTATTGATGTTGTTTTTCGTGTCTTGATTTCTATTGTGTTGGATCTTTCGGCATTCACTTTTTGGTTGAAATCTAAGGATTTTCCACTAAGCCCACAAAAAGTTGGACTTTTTGCAGAGGGGTCAACAGCGACCAAGTTTCAAGCGGTCAGGCACTTCCTTTGGGATATTTGGGTGTTATTGATGTGAGTTTCCATGTTGCTGCGTGCCTAGTCAAGGTCCTATAAGGTGGCCTTTGCTAGGACCTGCACGTTCTGGAGCGAATCGGAGTGCTTTTGCCCCCTGCCGTAACACACATTGCAGCCCGGAGAACCCCAAAGAACATAGATCGGATGATTTGAGAGTTGCGTAGGGAAGTTTTGCTAGTACAACATGCGTGACCATGCCTTGCAAGAAGCACACAAATGAGCATGCAGATTAGATAGATAGATATATTATATATATATATTTATATATATATATATATTTATTTATATATATATATATATATTCACAGTGCACAGTCAGACTGTGGATGGGCAAAATCCTGTACCACTTTGAAACCAGGGTTGAAACTATTGTTTGTTGGTATTTGCAGGGGAATCGCCATGATATTCCAGGGTTTCTTTGGTATCCACAGTATCTCTATGAATGCCTGATTTTGCATAGGTCTCAGGTGAGATTTAGACCTGAGGTGAGCCACAATCAAAATCCGAGTAGATGAAGGATAGTAAGGGATAATCCCAACCATAAATAGCTGCGGCCGCCTCCTTATTTCTTTACATGGTTCTGGGTCGACCATTTTAACACCGGGTTTTGATTGCTCAGGTGAACGTCTACTACGTGAAGCCAGTGACCCGCGACGCGGGCGGCATGAGCTACGCCCTCATAAAGCACCCGGAGGGTCTGCCCTGCCAGGCCGGGTCACCGGGTCCGGAAGGTCCCCTTTCAGGACATTTGTGGTTCGCTGAGTGGCTCACTCCCTGAGTTCCTGGACTTAGCCTTGGTCCCCCAGTGCCCTTCTCTCCCGTTTCTTTTTTGGGGGAGGGTTCCCCTAAAACCGACGACAGAACAAGGGTACCCTTAACCTCTCTACTGGAGGACCTAGAAGCTTTTGGGCTTGGACCATTCTAGTAGAAAGTTCAGACTTTGTTGGGCGAATCCACTCAGGAAGTGAGGTGGTGTACGGCTTAGGGTCGGCCAACCCTCCAGTCATCATTGAATGCTGGGCCTTTGCGTTTGGCAGTCCTTATGCTACCTCCACAGAAAGTTGAACATCGCTTTTTTATATGGCCAGTTTGGAGTGCGCCTCGGGTGTTGGTGAGGGAATCGTTTTCAGGTGAGATATAGGCGCTCTAGCCCAGACTTGTGTTATCCAGGTGTTCCTTGTGGACCATGGACGATTTGTTCAAGTTCTAAATGTTCAACGGCTGAGGACCCTTTCAAGATTGTTTCATTATGTTGTAGCATCATTTGCTTCATTGGAGTCGGGTTTCACTCAATTACTCCCATTGATGGGTAATTGTAATACGCTTGAATCTTTAGCAGTCGGACTCACGCGTTTTTTATTCGCAAGGGCCGGCCAAGCTCGTTAGAATCGCCCCCCCACATATATAGATACATATATATATATAGCAGGGTTGCTTCAAGATGCTTGAAGCCTTTCCTAAAAAAAAGAGATGTAACACATTGCAGAATGCTGGATTCCTTTGGCTTCCCTTCCCCGGCCAATTGCGACTTCGCTGAGTCCTTGGATCCAATTACCCAGGGGAAGGATTCGACGGTCCAAGCCTTTGCCAACCAGCTCTGAGCCTTTGAAAATCTGTGAAAGCCCTGGCTTTGGTTATTTGGTGTGCGCATTCAAGCGAAGAAAGGATGTTGTTCTGCTAGAAAGTTGTTGGGTTTGCGTCCTTCTATTCCTTTCAGGCAGGGATGTTTCTGCACATAGGAGTATTCAAGGAGCTTGAGCAGTGAACACAGGCATATTGGGAGGGCTTTGGTTCAGTTGTGCGAGTTGATGTCGGGGGCTGAATAATTGTAAACATAGTTATTCCGAGATCCATTCGAATGGCCTAGGCCCTTGTCGTCGTATTCTGATTTGCTCAGCTGTTTGAATGTGGCTGCATAGATTGGACACGGTCCGCATTCATCCACTTGCTGGACATTGCTCAATTCTTGTCCGATGTGCATTTGCAATTCGACAGGTCGCGCGGTTTCGACAAAAGTCATTTTTGGCCTGCAGGTGGACAACTTCCTACTGCAAGTCACACTTTGGTAAATCAGGGTACGCGAGAACAAAGAGCCATTTTCCCATGGCAATTGTACTCAAGCGTTGAAGTCATAATTACTCTAGTATCGATGTTTAGGTATTTTTGTGCATTTCTTTAAAGGGAGAGATGCCTCGACTCAAGGGGGCAATGGAGACCCGGCGAATGGATTTGTGGCCTTGTCAGGTCTTCATCTCGCATGCCTGGGCGGAAGGTTTCTTGGCATTTTGGATTCCAGGGCTTGGTCCCTACTGGGTGAAAGTAGATGGCTCAATTCCTTTGTTTGTGTAAGGAAAGAGGATGACTGAACCACAATGGGAAATAGTGACATGTACTTTCACCTAAGCGCAAGGCCGATTTTCAACCATGTTTTTCTTCAAGGGAACCCTGGTTAAGTGGCGCCCAGCACAAAGGGGGCTTCTGCTCTCATTTCCGCGGCATGCGCGTTCGATTTGGAGAGTTTTGTTGTTTTTCTTTTTCGACTTTGCCGTGGGGAATGATTATATAGCTCAACCAGACCAATCATCGCAAGTGGTCTCATTTTTTGCAGGGGGGTGGGCAAATAGAAGTCTTTCATATTTCGGAAAACCTCGAGGTGGCTCCGGCCGCAGACCAGCAAAATTGATCGGGCGCAAGCGCGGAGTTTCCAGGTGGACCCATTTTTCTGGTCGCATCGCCAACTTCCGAGGCTCCTGGCTGATCAACAAGTCACGACATGGCAACACAAAGCCTGCAAACATCACACGCCGAAAGGCCACTGGCGTGGCAATATATATATATATATATATTATTGTTTTTTTATTATATATATATATATATTATTACATAAATCCGTGCAAGTCTGCCCAGACTCTTGTCACAGCTTTGGCTTCGCCCTGCAAGCCACCATGCCCTTGGAAAGAGGCCTGGCAAGCCAAAGCAGGGATAGCTGGAAGTAGAGTAATTGAAAGCATGTTTCGACATACTTCACAAGAGCTCCTCATCAGCAGCACTTTTGGATTTTTTGCTCCACAACATCCAAGGCAGGCGCCGTGGTTTGCTTGCGAAGTCTCAGTGGCCCAGGTTTGTTCGAGCTGGCGGCCCTCGTTTCGCAGGGCTGGCCGCGGGGTCGCCACCTTCACAACCTGCCCCTCGGAAGGAAAAGTCCTTTCCCAGTGGTCAGGGTCCAGGAGTCCAGGTACCGGATGGAAATTTGGATTGCCCAAAGTCGAGACCTGGTGCGAATCTCATTGGACAAAGGGCCACCCCTCAAAAATTGCGCTCCATGTTCCGTTCAAACACCCACTGCAGGGTTCGTGACTGCCATGTACGGGAGAACGCAGACTTGCAGTCTGTGGGAAGGTCGAGTGCCGTCCAGGTTGAGGGCCTCAGTAGGTATCCTCGTTCTTCCAGGAAGGGAAAACGAACCCAGTGTACAGCAAATAACCCCCCCCCAAAACAAAGGTGAAGCCTGAAGCCTGAAAGAGGGGTCCCTGCTACAGGACAGTTATTCTGTTTTTACTGTGTGGAGGGCACATCGCAGCTGGCAAGGGGCGGGGATTGGAGGGCTGGCGCAAGTCGACCCGCCTCGAAGAGGAACATGGGACTGGATGAGCCCACTTGAGAAACACACGGTTTGGTCAAATACACACATTAGGTGCGCCGCGCACTTTTGCGAAGCCTTCGGTTTAGAGAGTTGCCTTTGCAATGCGTGACCATGCCGTGATTATGCATTTGGAGTTTGGACCTTGCTGTACATGATGCCTCAGAGGAATGGGACTTGGCTTCCAACTTTGGCCGAGCCCACAGATTTTTCTGTCGCTGTGGAATTATTGATTGACGGCATGCGATGCCAATGCAGAAGAGGGGCAACCTGCCAGTCTCACAGTGGCTTTCGGTGTTTGACAGTGAGGGGGGTCTGGGTCCCCCAGTAGTGCCCTTCTCTCCCCTTTTTTGGGGGAGGGTCGCCCCACCAAAATCCCCCAAAGCGAAGCTTCGTCTGAATTGAGTCCGGGTCTCTCAGGTACTTGTGCCTTCTCGCCAATCCACAGAACGATGTGGGCCACTGGCTGGACAACTTGATGCCACTGGAGACGCCTTTTGCCAAGGCTTTGCAGCTGGCTTCCCACGTGTTAGTGATTCCCAACAAGAGCATCAGCATCTACACGCGGCTCTGGTGCGTCTACGAGGCATATCTAGGCTGGTCTTTCATGCGCATGAAATGCAGATGTGGGCAACTTGTACAGGGTTTCTTCGACCCTCTAAGACATGGCCAAATCAATCGGTCGCACTTCCTGATGTTTTTTTGCCTTGGGGCTACTTGTTTGTTTGTGGGAGCTTTTCTGTTTCCGCTTCAGTGTCAGTTAGGGCAACTTCAATAGAGAAACTCGGGGCCCGATTTAGCAACTTGGTTACACAAGTTGGAAGATTGGTCGACCCGAACCACAGCAGCTCAAGTGCCGCCGCTCTTTGCACCCGCGCAGCCCTGCATATCTCCCTGCCAAATGATGCGAACAACCGCTCTTTGTGCGCTCGCGCAGCACTGCAGATCTGCCTCTCGAAATGATAAGAACGTCTGCTCATGTGCACCCGCGCAGCATTGCGTATTTGCTTGCCGAATGATAGCGAACACATGCTCAAATGCAGCCGCGCAGCGCTGCGTATCTTCTTGCCAAATTGGTCAGAAACTACTTCTTGGCTTTTGTTTGCTTAGTCTTTATTTCAAGGCAAGCCGTACGAGAATCAATCAAATTCACATGGCAGCGCTAGCTGTGCAGCGCTGGTTCCAGAAGGTTGTGTGAGCTCCCGGTATGGGGGAAAATGTGAGCAGAATCGGTGCTAGCTCCGCGCTAGCTCCGCGCTGGAACGACGCTGGAAAACCCTGCCGCGGCCAGCCCGCTTCCGCACAAGAGAGCACGGGCGATCGTGAATGAAGTGAGGGGGAGCACGTTTACCCCGTGCACTTAAAGCTCATGGGAAGCTTGTGTTGCGTCTTGAGCAGGCGGACTAGCAGACTCCTTGGAGCGCCGCTTTGCAAAGAATGGCCCTTGCAGAGTAACAACCATAGAACAAGGAGAGGCGCGGCCGCGATTCTTGAAAAGAAGCTGGCAAGATATCACAGACAGCTCGCGTCCTCTAGGGCCAAGCACTAAAGGCAAAGACACATCCTTCGATCAACGAGCAGCTCCAGCTCTTCTAGCTTCAGCTGAAAGCGGCGTGCGCCAGTGTGGCTGCCACACAATTGCGCATGTGCTCTGAGCAATGTAGCAGCAACAAGATTGAAACATGAGCCCGCTATGAGGCGGGCCGCATGGAAACCATTGATTCCAAGCAACTTGGGAAACAACATTAAGTGCGCCCGCGCAGCATTGCGCATCTGCTTGCCAAGTGCGACTGCGCAGCACTGCGTATTTCCTTGGCAAATCATAGTACCGCCCGCTATGCGCAGCGCTGCAGCCCTTTGCCAAAAGAGCGCTTCACTCAAGCGCGCCCACGCGGCACTGCATACCTGCCCGCCCAATGATACGAACAGCTCAAGTGCTGCAAGTTCCCAAAGTCTTCGAATGCAAGTTACCGCAGCCGCACGCCAAGTTGTCGAATCCAAGTTTCAAGTTTTCACATCCGTGGAGGTAGTTTCAGAAGCCAAGTTTCAGAATTTGCGCCCCAAGTTTCCGAATTTCCGAATGCGCGGCTTCAAGTTTCCGAATCAGTGCGTGGGCCGAATCAAGCTACAACCCAGTCAGGAGCCCAGTGTGGCAAAATCTGCATCATGCCCACCAAGCCCCCAGCCTGGTTGCGCTTGAAGTATGCGGTGCAGATCGTGTATCTCCCATGTTTGGTGGGCACCTTGGCGAATTCACCCTCGCTGACTATTTGGGAAGACCATCCTAGCAAAAAGCAAGTTTCGACTTTGTTGGCCAAGCCCCCCAGCAAGTGAGTTCTGCTTGCTGGTATCCACGTAACAGAACCACAAAACACCGGTTGCATGCCGCAATGCAAGGCATGATCCAGAAGTCATGCATCAATCTAAACGTCAGGATTGAGGCCAGCGTCCCAAGGAAAACACATTTGTCGAGGTAGATGGGACCCAGCTGCGGTTGACCCTTCCTACCGTTTCAACGGTTTGGTCCTACGCTTGTTTTCCGCAAAGGAGAAGCGAATTGCCACCGGGCCACAACAGTTTAACACTGCATTGCATCCGCAAAGCCACTGCTTCAGGGAGAGCCTGCCACATGTATTCGTGGAAGTGCATGGAAGCAGTTCTCATTTGCGGTAGAATTGTGTCCAACCACCAAGCCAATTGGATTCAAGTTTCCAACTGTTGGCATTGACAGCTGAGCCAAAACACACACACCTTGAAAACCTGACGCAGCAAGACTGTGATATTGTAAGCTTGCATTTTGAAGGATGGTTTTGTTGGAAGTCGCGGGCTACGATCGCATCTAACTGCGTGAAGCGATCACTATGTAACCAAGGTGCTTAAAGTTAGCTCGAGTGGTCACCTCAAACCCGACGTATACTGGGCCGTAAATCAACTTTATACTCCTAGACCCATCGGTTGCTTTCTTGAAAGTCAAGGCCAAGCTTGAGAGCCAAAGCCAACATCATGCCCCTCAACCGACCCAAGCGACTCGTTTGGCTTGTTCATGTGCGATGAGCAAGTCAAGGAAAAGTCAAACAGGCAAAAGAGAGAGGGTGAGAGAGAGAGGGTTCTTGAGTACATGTGAAATGAACAATTCAGAATGTGTAGGCCCAGCGGCATACCTGTGTTTGAAGCCACACTTGCATTTCAGGTTCAGTGCTAGGGGGCCTATGGCAGCTCTTCCCGGACGAAACCTCCGACCGGGAGCAGCACGTGGACCTTACGATGTTTCTGGTGGTGGTGCTGACCGGCCTGGGCTTTGCCATGCTGGGTTTGGCAATGCAGCTTGGCAAGTCAGCCACGGGAACTTGGTGGCTCCCAGCCATCCGGTTCCTCAGCTTTTTAGCCTTTTAGTATGGTATAGTTTCCATTTAACCCACTGAACGTTAAACTTTTAGCGGCAGCCCAGGAATAGGACAAGGTTTCCTCCGTTTCCCTTTTTGGAGCCTCCAAGAGCGGCAGTTTTCAATGGACACCGCCAGTCAAATGCAGCTGAAAGGAACGCACACACGGATACACGCAAACACGCTTCCACGTTCGTGGTTGGGCGTAAACTGGGAGGGTGATATTTCCCCAGGCAGTGTGCAAGGTTTTCGTGGCAGCTGCAGCATGTTCCGCGCTCACAATGTTGGTTTTGTGGCGGGCGCAGCCTTTTGGCAAACAGATGCTGTGATTTTTTGTGGCAGGCGCATCATCTCATGAGTTTCCAAACTTTGCAAGACGAAAGCGCGCCCTATTTGCAGACTTAGGCTGGTCAAAATCGCTGGTGCTGCGGCGAGTTGCACATTTGCTGAAAGCTCCTTTGCGCACTTTCGGATGGTCGAATCGCTCTTCACTGCTGCGGCGCAGTGCAGGTTTTGCAAGACGAAAGCGCAGCTTGTGCGAACTTTGCACGAATCGCTGCGGCTGTGGTTCCTGCAGATCATCGCTGCAAGTGTTAGCCGCGCATGCAAAGTGAATTACCACTGGCCGAGCACCAAACCATACTATTTGGGCTCTTTTGCCGGGATAAGTTGTCTAATTACCTATTTTTTGACGAGCTCACCATATGTGGCATGTAGGTCATTCCTGGACCAACCAAGGGCACTTTTTGTGCGAATATCTTCAAAACTCCGTGCATTTCCGTGCAATCCATACGTTTAAAGCGACAACTATATGTTTCATATAAATGGCATGGGAGCATTCAACCAAATTCAATGTGCGCAATTCACCAAGGACAACAGGTGCGCATTTGCCCAAGCAAACGTTTCGCTGATTTCCGTACTTTCTCCGCAGATTTCCGCACATGTTCCGCAGAGTTCCGTACTTTTCTCGCCGATTTCCGTACGTTCCCCGCCGATTTCCGTGCATTTCCGGTTTCAATTTTGGATGAGAAAACTACAAACTTACAAAAGCGGCAAGGAAGCTCTCACACGTTGCCCCACAGCACATGCAGACGTAAGACCTGAAGCGGAATTAACTATGCCGGGCCATACAACTTGCAAACTGTGTTTGAGTGCATCCAGGAACGCCACAAACGCTCACAGCCTGCTGAAGGCGATGTCCGTCAAATTTCCTCAAAAGTGTTCATGCCCGATTTTTCGGACATGTACAGACACGTCAGTACTTTCGGAGGGTCCAGGTTTGCTTGGGGATCCCTTTCTTCGTGTTTTGAAGTATCGCAAGCTCATGCACAATTTTCCAACTGGCTTTGCACAAGCGTGCTGCCAGGGTGTATTTGGCCCCGCCACTCGGCCTAGGTGCCTTTGCAGCAAGGATTGTCGCCACCGGCTCCGCTCCAGGCGTGGGGTGTGAAATGCGGAGTGTCGAGATCTTGACCTGGCATAGGCTGTTCTTGCCACTGGATATGCTGGAGCTTGGACTTTTCCTACGTTGCCCTTTTGTTTGGCGAAAAGCGGATCTTTCAGCGGAGCATTCCTGGGTGTTGGAAGACAGTCCAATTCAAGCTGAGTCCGATGCCTATGGGCTGTTTAATCGCTCTCCAATGGCTAATGTGCCGGAGGGCCCAGTGGGTCTGGAAAGAGTGACGACGAATTCCGCGGTAGGCAGGCACCCTAGCCAGCGGTTGCTGTTGCGACGGTGTGATTGACCCACCATGCCAAGCAGCGAGCGAGACCTTGCTGCTACCTCCCACCTTACAGGTTCGTATGAGTACTTGACTGCCATTGGGTTGGATCTTTAGACTTGGTCTTTTTGAGAAATCAAGGGGTTTTCCACTAAACCCACAAAAGCTTAAACCTTTTGCAGAGGGGTCAACAGCAACCACGGGTTGGTATGACTAGATGGGGCCATCTCCTCAGAGAGAAATCTTTGCATAGCCTTAGTGGTGCACATTTCCCTGTGAGCTTTATGACGCGTCACGGCCACTCAATCGACATTTCTCTGAAATGGTGCGATGTTTCACAGGACGATGTAGAGTCCCCTGTTGCTTCGGCTGCCCATTGCCTCCAGCAAGATAAACCTCCCTGAGTCGGACATATTTCAATTGCATTCGCCAACAAGCCCCAAAATGGCACCCTGGTACATGGAACCAATGACTAGAACCTGCGGTCCCTGGTGGTTTAATTTTGACCCATACCCACTTAAAAGAGGCCATGTTGAGCCAGGCTGCGGCTTCTGCACAGCCTTCTGGTCCTCACCATTGCTTTGGTGACCATTCCCTGGTTCTGCCTCCCTCCGATGGGTTCGTCCTCATGGGACCATTTTCTGCGCCTCGGAGCCGGCTTGGCAAGGCTTTTGACTGCAGCCATGCAAGCTACTATAGCAGTATAAGAGATTTGCGTTTAGATTTGAGCTTGTGCGGTTTCCTGGTTACCTACTATAGGGGCTGGATCTCCAGGGTTTGACGCGTGCGGCTGCCTTGCTTCTTATTGTGTGTTTTGTTTGGTTGTTTGTTTGCTTGGTTGTGTGTTTGTTTGTTTTGTGGTTGTTGTTTTGTCGGTTTGTTTGCTTGTTTGCTTGCTTGTTTGCTTGCTTGCTTTCTTGCTTGCTTGCTTGATTGTGTTTATTTGCAGGTGTGTTTTGCTGTGTTTGTTTGTTTGGTTGGTTGGTTGGCTGGTTGTTTGCTTGTTGTGTTGTACTTGGTTTCTTTGGCGGTTTTACGTGCATTCTTGCCGGTGTCGTTACGTGTTAGATGATGTCGCGGGCCTTTTGGTGGGCCTGGCAACGTGGCCTCAGCCAATTGGTCGACGAACGGTTGGCTCTTTGGTTCTGCTGATTTTTACTGAAAGGTTTGGAAAGCAAAGGCCTTGGCAAAGTGAATCCTTCATCGCCCATTTGACCTTCCACCTGCTTTCCAGTAGCCCTTCTGCTTTCCAGTAGCCCATACTTGGTTTTCTCAAACATCCATTTATTTCCGGACGAGAGAATCCTTTTGGAATTGGATGGGCCTTTGTAATTTAGCTGAAGCTGAGGTGTCAGTGGCAAACCATGGCATGGCAAATAGGAGATATCAGTTCGATGGCTTTTGACAATTTCTTGGGGGGGCAACACTGTGTTGAGGTTTTGGGAGGCATGCACTGTCGTATTTGGCAAGGCGTTTAACTGTTGCTGGCTCCAGTGGTTGGGTCCAAGAGTTCTTTGGCATTGTCTTTATGAAACACTCGGCCTTGTGAAGCCCAAGGATGTGCGATGTGTAGTCATCTCGGGACTGTGGATGGACGAAATCCTGCACCACCTAAGAAATCCTGGAATGATGATTCCCCTGTAAATGCCAACCAGCAATGGCTTTTCAAGGTGTCTTAGGTGGTGCAGGATGTCGTCCATCCACAGTACCTCTGTACAAATCAACATGGAACCCTACTACTGGACGGTCCTGGCAGTTTTCGTAGCATCGCTGGAAGGGTAGGTAACGCCTTCCATATTCGCAATGCTGCCAAAATGCCTCGGCGTCGTATCCTGCGTGGCCAGCTTGAAGTCAAGAGCTGATGGCCTCAGCTTGGCTGTTGTTGTGTTGTTTCAGATGCATGATTTACTTCGACGTGTTTCGTTGTGTGGTTTGGATTGGTGGTTTGGGATTTGAGCCCCTGCTTTTTGTAGAGGGTAAATGAGAATCGCCTCCTTAACCACCAAACCACCAAATAGAGGGAAGCTGAGCGCAGAACCAAGATCGTGGGAACGCAGGGAGGAACTTCGAGAACAGGGTTGGCCCCGAGGCACTACTTTATCCCGTTCGCCCTCCTGATCATGAACGCCTGCCGCGCTCTACAGTTGACTCTTGGCATCGCCAAGGAAAGTGCTGTCCACGCGTTTGTTTCTCCCAGGCTTGGGGGTTGGAGACCCGCAGTCAGTATGAATTATTTACCACTAGGTTAGTTCTTGTGGCATCCTCGACACGTGCCTTGGGCCTACGTGGGGGTTGCTTGAACAAACCCCTCGGCCTTCAAAGGGCTGCGCGTAGGCGTTGGTAGAGAAGTACTGAGCAAAAGCGCCAGTCGCCTGGGTGAGAGAGGAACCATTACGTCACTACAGTGACTCGGATTTTTTTGCTTTTCCATGCTAGACGGCTTGCAGACCCACTGACCGCCTCTTGAACCTACAAAGAAGCTGTGCCGATACAACTGCGCCAATCAGAAGTCACTGGACATGTGTCTGACAAAATGCAGGGAAGTTCATGTTCCTCCAGCATTCCAATCCTCGAAGTTGAGCTCAAAAAGAAGCCACTGGAGGGGTGCCCTCATGTTGATCAAAAAAAACAAACATTTATCATAGGATCCAACCCCTTAGCCCCATTCCCCGGTTTTCTAAGGCGTGCGGAGGGGGGTGGGCGATGTGAAGGTAGGGGCTCAAATTCAGGAACGAGTGCGTGCTCGAGAACTTGGAGCTGTCGCAGCATGCCAACTACCTGAGGCGGGCCAGGCAGATACGCCAGGAGACCTGAGACTCGAGGGCCGAGACATCCGCAGAATCATCGTTGTTGTTTGCTCTTGAAGCTGTGTTTAGCAATACTGTGGATGGGCGAAATCCATTTCGCACCACCTAAGACACCATGAAAAACCATTGTTCGTTGGTATTTACCGGGGAGTCCATATTCTTTGCGTTCTTGCTTTCAGCCCGGACTCAGAAGCTGTGCTTGGCCATGTGTAGCCGCTTAGCCCGTGTGCTCAGATGACCAGCCAGCAAGCAATGATCCATCCCCTTGCGGCCCCCTTTTAGTCCGAAAGTAAGCCGCAAGGGCGTGGATCATTGCGTAGTTTGTCCACCCCGTGTGTGACCCCCAGGCATGCAGAAAGCTTCCAATAGTAGGTTCTACTAAGCGTCCGTAGCCCCAAAAGCCTGCGCATGGCATGTCTCCAAGTTGATTGCTGGTTCCTGAATTGTTGCAAGGCGGCGGAACTGATTCATACTGGTCTGTTTTTGCCACCTTTCGTGGTACGGTTTAAACGGCGAGTTGCCAAGGAGGCAGCAACAGGATGATACCGCACGCAGCCCGTTTCAGTTCCGCATTTGTCAGGCATTGCATTTTGAGAACGTGCAAAAGGTTTCCCCTTGGAGAGGTGATCTCAAACTTGCCTAATGGATGCCACTTGTTTGGACCGTTCCCCCCGAAAGACTCCTCCGCCCCGCGAGGTTTCAGACCTTAGACGACGCCTCCTGCTCGAACCCTGTGGACGAGGAGCGGATCCGGCAGTCGATTCTGGGCCATGAGGCGCGAAATGCTCCGCGAATCGAAACTGGAGCGACACGGCGGGTGGACTCGAAGAAGGATTTTTCAGGCAAGGACACTCACAGCGCCCACATGGGCATTCTGGTAGGTGGTTCTACTAGTTTCACCCAGGACGCACATCACTCGAGGGGCTTGGATCTGGCATGCGGATGTTTGGAGTAGGTGGTTCTACTAGTTGGGTTCATGTCGGCAAAAGCAAGGACTAGGGGATCCGGTGGGTGGAAGCCAAACGCAACTTTTCACAAGTGGGTCACAGGTTCGGCCAAAAAGCCAGAATTTGTGGACGGCATTTCGGGACATGGGGGACGCTCTAAAAGGGACGAGCCCTAACTTTCTCGTGTGCTATTCAATTTATTTGTGGTGCACACGTGCCATGGTCAAGAAACCTGCATTCTTCGGGAGTTGGCGGGATGACCATCCCGCCTTTACAGACAATGACATAGCAGTTCCTATTGAGGGAACCATGACCCACAACCGGAGTTCAGACCATGGCGCACTCAATATAGGCCCTACAACCTCGTTTCAGAGTTGCCGCAAGGATAGAATGTTGGTTTGGTTTGCATCATGGCCAAATATCACCCCTGTGTCGATCAGGTCTTCGAATTTCTCAAACCCAACTGTTGCAGGCAGACGTGGACACTGCCATCCGTGTCCTTATGAAGGCCGGTGCCTACACAGAAGACTTACGACTTGCCCATGAGGCTGGATACGACATCACTGGCAAGGGCAACACAGCTGCTTGCTTAAAGTTGCGCCTGTTGGTTTGCTTGGTAAAGCAGTGGATGCATTTTGGGCAGCATCCTATGCTTGGAGTGGATGGCTTAGGGCACTCACGTGTCACAGCCGGTGCATAGTTTGGAGTTGAGTTACCCAATAAAGCCATTATCCTACTTGTTCCGCATGGTTCTACCCTTGTTCTCTTTTTGTTTGGTGGTTTCACCACTAAAAAGGTCAACTCCAAGAGGGTTGCATAATTGTTTACCTTTCGGGTCCTTGGTTGCAACGAGGTTTTCTCGCAAACCCCCGCAGTTCGTTTTCGAGACGCATTTGCGCCGCTTCAATGAGGCCCCTTTAGACTGGCTGTGACTGGGACGTAGGCTCTAGAAGCAAGAAGTCAAGGGCTTGGTATATTCGCCGGAATATGTTCGTCGCAATGTATTGTGCTTCTTCTACCCTCAAGCCTTGACACATGTTGCTTTGGCCAACCCCTTGTGGCTCTCATGTGACTTGACCGTTTTTGACTGCTTTTTCGCAGGCTTGCCCTTTACGTTCTCTTCACAATTGTTTGGCGCCAGCGCGCCTTTTCGGTAGGACATGCGGGACCGCAGCCATTTGTGTGACTGCAGGTTGCCACAGAACCCAAGAGTTGTCAGAGGAATCTCCTTTTGGCAGACTCGTTTGTGGGTTCCACGTATAATCATATTCCATTGGAACGCATGCTGGAAACGACACAAGGCACGGCCCGTTTTGGCGACGAACGATAGGAGGCCCGGCCAGGCCAGCTGGGCCCCCACAAGATCACAGCCCAGGCAAGCCGGGCCCCAATCACAGCCCCACTGGGGGCAAACCAAACAAACGTCATTCACAGCGAATAGGTACAGGGGCGGGCGGGTGGGAAATCTCAACCTCGTGCCAACAATCCTGAACAGCGGTGAACGGTGCATCCTGCACATCAAACAGCTGCAAGAGCATTATGACTGCATTTCAATGAAATATGATCGCCCGGCGGCGGCGGGTCCCTTTGCAGGAGGGTAGCGGGTACTGCCGGGTGGCCAATCTGTGTGCCAGTGGCTGGCCTTTTGCTGCACCCGCTTGGAACCACGTAGGGCAGATTCCGTGCACATGCGGGTGGAAAGTCACTTCGGAAACAAGCCTGACGCCCGAGGTTGCAAGTGTACACCTGAAGAATCCCGCACTTTTTTTGCCAGTTGGCAAACTTGAACTTGTGTCTATCCGAGAGCTACTGGCCAGTTAGGTGAGATCCCACCTCCGACCAAGATCTTTTAGGCCCAGTTTGGCCTTCGGGGGGCCATACGCAGAGTTGATTGGAACCCGCAAAACTCGAGCAGGTCGTATATGGGCAGCAGATACTTTTCTGGCTCTTTTGGGACAGCCTACGGCAAACCCCGGATGAATACAGTGAAACGCCAGGGCGTGTCAATCCATCCCCTTCTCATTGGACTGAACTCACCTTGCCCTTTCATCTTTGAAGTGCTTTGGGATTCATTTCCCGCAAAAAGTAAGCAATAAAAGGCCGGTCCCCTTCCCTCAGATTGGCGCTGCGCGAGTTCTGCTCGATCTCCGTGCTTAGGACATCATTGCCAAGATGGAGATGGCAGCGCTTCTTTGGTGCCTCATCTCTTTCCTGGCAAGACCTTTATTGGTATCCCTTTCAAACAACTGTTATTACAGTAAGGCAAGGTTCCTAGATATTCAGTTTGGGTTGGGGAGCACAAGCTGAGGTAGTTTGACCTTGTCTTATGTTGGTTGAGCACGTGTATCATTTCAAGCACTTGCTTTGCCTGCTTTTGCACGCGGCCTGCTTGATAGCACAACTTTGTGTTTTCAACCACTCGCCGGCAAAGCCAGGAGCAACACCCGTGTTTTAGAACCACTCGTAGGGATCGATCTCCCATTGTTATGGACATTGCGGCAAAACCTCAAGGCCACCACGTGAGGTTCTCTAATAGTCCGCATGTCTATGTCATTCGCCAGTGGTTCAGGTTGTAGGTAACCCAGGACACCGCCCTTTAAACCAAAGAAGTGGCTGGTTGCGTACGGGTGCCTTGATGCGAATCATGGCAACAGGCCTAGCATGGCTCAGGTTCGTGTCCGCGATTGACACGTTTGCGGCCATTGATGCCTGCGACCGGGGGCCCTGGATGCCGGCGCTGTTCTTTGCAGCAGCACATCGGCTTGCAAGCGGTCTCCAGCAACTGGCCAGTGGTTCAAAACGATCCACGCTATACTATGCTCAGCAGTATTTCCGGTTTTGATTGCTTTATTTGTTCAAGCTCGAGATTTGCATTCGTGGGAAAACACCAAACAAGAAGCCGCCTAACTACAAACCCCGCTTCCCCAGATCTTGGATGCACTCACGAATGGGGTCTGCAGTTTGTTTCTTCTCGAATCGTCGAGGGTTGTTTGGTATATTTTGCACCAGGCATGCAAAAGCACAACTGCTTCGGATGACAACAAATCCAGTCTTGCTTTACTTTGGCAACTCGAGACGTGTTGTGTGCTTGCTGGCTGTGTATTGCAATGGTCCTTGCGTGCGTGTGTGTAGTAAGTGTATTTGTCATGCGCAGTCCTCAGAAGCTGTTCTGGTTCGGAGAACCTTCATGATAGACTCGCAATGGTTTGAAAGCTATCGTGACAAGAAGCTTCGGCACACTGCTGTTCAAGGTAGTAACATGGTTGTCGTTGGGAAACATTTTACATGTTTGCGTATTGTGGTTTAGTGGGAAATCCCCACTTAGCTGCTAAAATTTAATTTTTTGCTCCCCTTCAACGTCAACCAAGGTAAGGGAATCTTCAGAATGGTTGGTTTGCCCTTGAAAAGTCGCCCTGCATATTTGCTCCTTGAGTTCCTGGGCCTGACGTGTTTGGGAAGACCATTTTAGAAGATGGCTGTGGCTCAAAATTAAACAGCTCGGGCAAACCGCAGGTTTTAGTCTTTGGTTCCATTTACCCAGGTGCCATGTTTGTACATCTATTTGAGGCACAGCCATATGTTTGCGGCAAGCACCCTTCAAGAAAGAGACCCCCCTGTTAGCCCGTCGCTAGGCGATTTCTGTACTGACCACCATCGGCTTGCCGTTGCTGGTGTGGTACTTGATGCGGCGGGGCCAGCACAAGGCCGTCTTCGCGGCACCTCGGCCGCCCGTTTACCGACGGAGCCGTCAGACGATCCGAAGGTTACCTCTTGAAGCGTCGCGGGGCGCACGCTGCTCCTTGAACGCACCGGAAGGTTCCTTTAGGAAAATAATCCTCCAAGGTTGTTTTCAGCCATCATTGCAGGGCTCTTGGGCATTCAATTGTAGCGCAAAGCGAGCCCAGTGGCTGCAGTGACAGTCTTTCTTTTGCTTGGCTCGGTTGTTCTCCGTGGCTTTGGTTGCTGACATGTTCCCTTGCAATTCGCAGCGGAGGCTTCAGGATGGATGCATGAGTTTGCCTCGGTGAGTGTCGCAGCTTCCGAAGGAATTGAGAACGCACAAGGAGATCAGCTAGCATTGCCCATCTCTTGAACCAATGCTTGTGGCTCTTCGCGGGGCCATGTTCCGCACTGTGCCTTGTGAAGCAGATTGGAGCCATTCGAAAGAACGAACGGCGTAGGCGAAGTGCGGATTGTGCGCTTCCCTGCAAGCCGCACTGACACGACGGATGCTGTGCACAGTGCGTTCCTGAGTTTCCTAGAGGTTCCTGGAGTTTGCTCCTGTCCGTGGTGCGTGATCTTCCAGGGCCACCAATTAGTTTTGGCGTTTTTGGCAGGCTGAGTTTCATTTGTGCTTATCGTTTAGGAACACACACGCAACTGTCCCCCCACTGAGTCACCCGGAGGGTAGCTCTTGCCCGAGGTGAACGTATGCACCACCTCAGCGGCCTTGGGCTTGGGTATACCTTTGCTGCTTCAGATCTCCAACCACTTGCCACTCGTCTGGGGTGCATGGGTCGCCACAACAGGCGGGGGAACATTCGCAGTTGGGTCGGGGAAATGGAGGCAAGGTGCAGCCATGCTGGTCTGACCCTTTTTTGGTGCTGGTTCTAGAAGGCAACATCGGTTTTTCAGGTTTCACAAGGTGAGGCCAGCACTTCTAGGCTTTTCGGCTGGGTCGACGTTCCTTCCTCTGCAAGTGGTTTCGTTTTGCTGGCGCTGACATGTGGCCGAACTTCAACGGTCCCTCCGCTTCCGGAGATGTCAGGCTTGTATTCTTGAGAAGTGACACTACAATGGTGTTCGTTGCTACAAAGCTTCCTTGAGTCCAAATACATGTTGATGGCCTCCTGTAACGTTAACCCCGGATTAATAAACCCCTGGTTGAGTAATAGGGGGGGTGTCCCCTTTTAGTGGGGATTCAGACCACTCTTGGAGGGAACACCCCCTTTTTTTCTGGGACGGGTTTATGAATGCTGGGTCAACATTATGTACTTCAGGGTCTGACATGTGCGTTGCAGTTAACGCAATTAATGCACCACGGTCATCGCTCCCTTCTTCCAGGGTCCAATGTGAGGACCAAGTTCTGCCAGGTGAAGCATACGTGCATTGCCTGTTTAGATCTACTTATTCTTAAAAATGCCTTATTGGCCCGGTATATATATATATATATATACATGGGCTTGTGTGGGCTATGGCGATGGGAGCGTTTCCTAGGAGGCCCGGGCCCCTGCCTCTCATAGCGCGGATCGGATCCGAGGCTGCACGCCATGTGCTTTTTGGAGAGGCCGGGGATGGTGCCTCCAGAGCCCAGCTTTGGGGCAGCTTTTCGTAGCTTTGGGCTGTTCCAAGCTAAGACAACGCAACGAAAAAACGACACAGACGAGCTGAACACTTTGTGGGTTTTTCTTTAGTTCCGCTGTGGTCGAATGTTTGCCCTTAGAGGGTCTATTCAACATTCGTGTTGCTTTTGTGAGTCCTTGTCCCATCAGCCATGGTCCCAAGTGTCGTCATTTCCATGTTTGATCGGTAGATTCTTATCGGTGACTGCTGGTGCTAGTGGGGTCACTGGAGAAGATCTTATGGCCGGAAGGGCTTGAAGCTTTAAGACTACTACGCCGGCAATCCTAAGCAAATGGAACCTGCCAGCCCGGCGGCTGTGAACACAGGGCGCTGGTGGTTGGCTAACATAGTATTATAGTATTGTCGACCTTCCGACTAACTACTGGCCCGCAGAGGTGTTTCCTGGGAAGGACTCCTTACTCGGCAGGAACCCGGCTTTGTCACGCAAGGTTCTTTCGCTTGAATGTTCAGGCGGATGGGACCTGCAAAGCTCGTAGAGTTTACCACTCGGAAAAAGCTAATACAACATTCCCCGCAGAGCGGGGCAAATGAACGCACAGGCAGACAGGAATGTTCTTAGATTCGCATGATTCAGTGTCCAGTCCATTCCTACATGGTTGTTGTTGGGAAGCATTTTACATTTTTGCTTGTTGTGGGTTAGTGGGAAATCCCCACTTAACTGCTAAAACAATATTTTTTACTCCCCTTCCAACGTCAACCAAGTTTATAACCCTTGGGGTTTGGCGACCTTTAGAAGACAGGTCTTTAGGACTCGACTTTGTGTGTTGCTCGAGGGCCTTTCTTCGTGACATTTCAAACGTGGTTGCACTAGCTAGTGTTAGTTTTCAGAAGCCATAGCTGCTGCATTCCACCTGTCTCGATTTTGCTGCATGGAACGGGCCGCTTGATGGTCATACAGAGGGGGGTATTGCTGCTCCACGCTTAGGCTTAAGATGAAGCCCTGTTCTGGCACAAAGACTGACATTGGGCACAAACCGGCATGGAAAATACGCGAGCCCCCTGCTTTATGTTTGAGAGATGGATGGCCGAGACACTCTTGACCACCATGATTCGACGCCATGCTGACAAAGTGAGGTTGGGACAACACATACACACATCATTGCGTGAAGATTGCGATTGCGTGCTGCATTGAGCACAGGCTTAGGAATTAGGCGGCTATGCTCGACCATACAAACAAAGGACGTTCACAGAAAGGCCTTTGTTTTAATGGTCTTTTGGACTGCAGGGGGATACCCCATGGCCGGTTGGGCAAAGGCTCGTTTGTTGTTATCAAGCGCATGTGTCAGCAGAACGCGTACACTTGCTGTGGTGGAACCAACTGATTTCTGGGTCTCTAGCTGTTCGTATGTTGTTCAGGCAAAATAGTTGGGCAAGTGCAACAGAAGGTGCAGCTTGCCTGACCGTTTTGCCATGCTTGCTGCCAGGATGTGCTAGTTATGAGGCCAGTTTGCTCACCGAGCTGGGGTTGCCTGTAGCCCCAAAGCTAAGTCACATCTCATGCTGCGCAAGGTATATCACTGTTTGCTTGTTTATGCTGTGGGAGTCGCGTGGGGTGCTCCCTACAGCCCGATTCCAGGGAAGGTGTCCCATCCTTTTGTTTTCTTGGATTTGATTGAAACTGTTCTACATTTGTAAAGGCCCACCGGCCAGCATCAAACATTCTTAGTTGGGCAAAAGCTGAAGTAGTGTCGCTCCTCCCTGTCCACCTAGTCTGAAGCAGGTTCCGTCAGAATTGAGGCGGAGCTCGCTGATGAGGTCTGTAAGACACGATTTGTTGGAGATGGCCCCACCCCAAACATTATGCGGGGGCCTCAACCATTGCTTGTGTTTGTTGAGTAGCGGCGTTGAATAGACTTCACCTTTTCCAATGTGTGTTGACCACCGTGTTGAAATATCCTCATTTACGTTTTCCGACTAACACGGGCTCTGTTATAGTTGATGATGTTGCTCCCTTTGCTGGGATCTCTTTTGCACGATTTTGCATATTGAGGTTTCTAAATATGGACCAGATTTCAACATTTCATTGTGGTCGGGGCAAACTTGGTAGGGTGCTTCCAATGTTCCGTTCCTTGGGCTGCGCAGGCCGCGGATGAACAGACCGTGCCCATCCCTGTTCTCGATGTGGGCACCTCAGATTCTTCGGCCCACCTGAATATATATTTGTTTAGACTACCTTGATAAGGATTCTCACCAGGGGAACCATGACCGTGGCCCGCATGAGAAGCTTTGAAGCTTTGACTGTGGCGACTGTGGCTCAAAAATGGGCAGGGTTGCTCCGGACCTCAACAAGGGCAGGGTTGCTGCGGACCTCCAAAATGACCAATCACCCTGCTAGAAGGGGTCTTCGGTGCACCCCGGTGCTTTTTTTGCAGGGAAACCTAGAAGAAATCAATTTGTTCGGGTGCATCCCCTATGTCAAGAGCAGAGAGACACACACACACACACATCGGTCTTTTTGGAAGGGTGGCCCAAAGCCATCAGTCACCAGGGCGGCTCTCATTTGAATCGCCCACAGCTGCGCCAGTGGCCCGAAACCTGATCATTTCAGGTCTTTGGGGGTCAAAGGTCTTGTTTTATTTTGGGAAGCCATTTTTCAGAAGATGACCATGGTGAGTTCACTTCCCCATCATGTTGAGACCTACCTCTGCCTATATTATAGCGAGCTCGCCAATTCGGGGGTATGACGAGCGAGCTCACCACGACAAAGGTATTTTACTTTGGAATCCGAGTCTTTATTATTCCTTTCCTCAAATCAGAAGTAGCAATTTGGCCCCTTTTTTGGGGGAGGCCCCAGAAGAAAACAACCTTGGTGACTTCGTTTTCCCCTCATCTTCGGTTTGGACCTTTGCTCAAATCAGAAGTAGCGACCTTGGTTGGTTGGTCCACCTGGCCCCAGGGCCCAGAGCTTCCGAGGCTCATGCTGGCGGTGCTGCGGCCGTGCCTCGCCTTCGGCGCTTTGATCTGTGCCTTCTGCGGCCCAGAGCCTGTGGAGCGCCTGCAGAGCCACGTGCGGACCATGAGCAACCGCCGCAGCCTCAGGTCGGACCAAAGGCCACCCCAGGAGCCAGGAGCCGGCGGTGTGTTTGGAGCTTCCATTTGTTTGGACCCACGTGGCGTTTGTTTTTTGGTTTCGGCTCCCTCCCTTTGCTATTTCAGAACATGTGTTGCTAGTTATGGTTGGTTTGAAGGGGATTTGTTTTTCGCTACTGGAAATATTGTCCACTTTTTCCGGGGGGCGGAAACGCAAATGGAAGCGAACTAACTTGTCTGTCCTGTCTTTGATTCCAAGCAAGAGGTAGACAAGCAGACAACAAGTGGGGTTGGAAACGCCGAGTCTCCGAAACTGTGGTACTCAGTCGTTGGTTAGAACCCCTGGCGTGTGCTACCTCCGAAGAACCAGGATTTCCAGAGTAAATTCCATTCATCATGTCTTTTTTCGGGTGGGGACTTTGGTGTCGGGTATGGTCACCGACCCTGTGAGTTGAATACTTAAGTTTGCAGTGAGCTTCGTGTTGTGAATGTGAGGTCCATGCAGGTCGCAGGGTCCCTTGGGGATTTCTTGTTTCATGTGAAGCATAGTGATTTACCCAGACCGGTGGCAAGCGAGAGAGCACCGGGCCGGGCGGTTGGGCCAAGAGACATGGACTGAATAAAAGTTATTGAGTTCTTTGGTTTTCCGCGGAGAACTTGATTGTGTGGTTCTGTTCATTTGTAGTTAGGGGAAACAAAGTTGTTTTGCTCACCAAACAAGCCCGTTCCGTGTGAAATCCGAACTGGGGGGAGGGGCTACCTCGGCACACCTACAGTTCCAGTTCTGGCATAGCACATCCGACAACCAATGATTCATTTCTATCTTCCTGAGTTATCCTCTCAGCAAAAGGACTGGACTAGGGACCACTCCTGGAAGACTGTTTTCCTCCAACAGGGATGGGTTTAGTCATTTCGTTCCAGACCCCAAGCGAATTATGTTTGCCCAGTTTGCAGGCGCCCCAACATCGAAACGATCTAATTTCCGGGGGGTGGGGGGTTGGAAGTGGTTCGCTTTTTCCGGAGAGGAGTAGGAGTTTGCAAGCAACTGTGACACTGTGACCTTGACCGGATATCCACATGAGACTCAAAATTTCCACAGGGATCCAACCTCACCCTCACCCTGCCCCCTCTCCCACAGGGGGCACAGGATTTCATCCTACGAAGACGTACCGAAAAAGCCGTGACAGCCTGGCGTTTGAGGGGACAGTATGAGGGACTGGGGATCCGCTGATGCATGAAGTCTGAAGTTTGGAAGGAGGCAAAGCATGTGAAGAGCTCAAAAGGTGTTCCCTCAGTTGTTCAGTGGCTCCCTTTTTCCTTTGTTTTTTGGTGGCCCCACTAAAATGGTCCAAGCCCACAAAAGGGGTCCTTTTTTTTTCAGGGTCACTGAACAACCGAGTTCCGATGCCAACAGTTGGCCGAATCAAGGACCGATGCCAAACCAAGGGCCTCCGGAAAGTGCACATACCTTGCGTGGTGGGTGCTCCACCGATACAAAGTCTATAGGTTGCTGGCCTCTCCTAGATTGCCTGAAATAAAGAACCAGAACCCAGCATCATTTTTTGTCGAACATGGGTGGTGCCATGTTGGGCGCTCAAAGCGTGCCTTTGGGAAGGTCTGGGAAGAATGCGGTCCCCCGCACCTGCAGCTCTTCACTTCAATACATTTTTGAAAGCAGCCTCAGCTTTCCAACATCTATCTACCTCCCTCTCATGAACACAGCACCTGATCCTGGATGAGAAACTTCATGTGCAGTGACCCGCTGCCACTTGCCAGGTTAATAGGTGACCGCATTGAGTGCACGTATGGGGCAGACTGTTTCACTTCTAGCAGGACAAGCCACTACTCTTATCATTTGGGTTCCTCGCTCCCCCGCCGTAAGCATTGGGACCCCATAATTTACCCCGTTTCCAACAATGAAAGTGGACAGGAGTGCTTTGGAACTATTCTCTTTAAAAAATGGCCAAAAGATCCACTCCAATTTGATGTTTTCAGTAAGATACCTTTTCTTTTGGGTGTTTTATGTGAGTTCCTTATTGGCAAAGCGCCCCGACTCTGAGTCGGCAGCTTCACGGGTCGGATGGGAACTGGCCTGGGCCTCGGTTTTCGCGAAGAGTCACCTTTGCCAGCTGAACATTCGTGGGGTTTGGATGCATCCGTTAAGGCAATCGGGGACATGGTTGCTTCCAGATTTTGGACCCCTGCTTTTTGGCCTGGAATAAGGATTGCCTTCCGAAGGCAACAGTGATTAGAACCGCGTTCTTGGCACGTTGCTGCTTTGGCTTTGGTCGTTCTGTGCCATTGTTTCGCAATGATTCAACCTTTCATCACCAAAAAGGACCTAAGGACCTGGGCTTGTGCTAGGCTTGCCTCATGCAGAACCGCCAGTCTGCCGCTCTTTTTCTGAAATGAAAGTGTTGGCCAGCCGGGGTGGCAAGCTGTGTTCCAGTCGGTTGGTGCTGTCCCGTTTGCGGAACCTGGGCCCAAAAGGCCATGTTGTTCTGAAAAACTTTGGGTGGTCCATGGAGGGAGCAGCTCGCCAACTCAAAGGACTAAAAGTGGCCAGCCATGGTATTCCATTTGCTTCTCCCGTGCTGGCTGGGCAACCAAAGATGCATTTGTTTGCCGGCTGCGGGAGATCGAGACAAGAGTCATGCCTTGGGCTTCCTCTCGGAGCAATGTGTTCTTAGCTCTTGCCTTCTCTAAACAGCTACTTGTATACCTGGAACCTCCGTCCGGCCAAAATTTTAGCCGCTTTGCGTTCAGCAAGAATTTCAGCCGCAAGTAGAACAAATCGCCGGCAGCTCTGAAAAACGCCGGCAGCCAGAAAAAACAGCCGCAAAGCCTGGTCTAGAACATCATAAACTGAACCAAGCACTTGCTCCCACAATGTAAAGCCAACCGGCATGTCTTTGATTTGCTCACAAACGCTGCTGAAAGTTACGAATATGGGCACTGGGCACGCAGCAACAACCCCACCCATCCAGAGAACAACGCGTAGGCCGGAAATGGCAAGCACTTGCACATCAATACACGAGCTTTGGCACTGTCGGTGCCCGCAACTACATAGCCAACTGCATGCATCATGATTTCCGCCGGCAATGCAATTGTGACCAGACGTGCTTTGCACAGTGATGCTAATAACAGCACGAATCGAAGGTAAGGAGATCAAGCATCAAGCACAATCAAAGGCCCTGAGAACGTCCACTGGTTGGACGCGTTTTTTGCGCCGTAATCCCGCGTGTTTCTGCCGTAATCCCGCGTGTTTCCGCCGTAGCCCGAAACACCAACAAAATTCAAAACCGTCTATTGAACCGTGCATGCAGGAAAAAAGCACTTTGGGGCAACCAGCCCCTTGAAGCCAGAAGCAGTGGAGACAAAGAGGGCTCCGTACTCGCCACAAACATAATTCATACACCCGGGCTGCGTCATGCCCTGATTGAAGAGATTGGCGGTAGGTACTGCGGTGGCTGCAAGTTGCAAAAGGCTGCTTTGTGGCTGCATATATTCAATATAATGAGACAAAAGGCGGTTTGCACAATCAACGCTGGTCACATTGGCGAATGCTCATGGGTCAAAGCAAAGGTTGTGGCAGCAATACTCTTTAAGGCCGCGTTTGAAAAACGCCGCCAGAAAAGCAAAAACGCCGCACGATTTTTGGGAGACCCCAATTTCCGCCGGCGGACGCAAAAAGGCGCCTTTTTGAGTCCGCGGCTGAAATTTTGGCCGGAAGGAGTTTCCAGGTATTTCTTTAGTGAAGTGTTTTTTTTCTTTCGAGCATGTCACAAGAGGATGAATGGTTTGGTTGTACTTTATCGTCCTTGGCGTTGTTGTTTGGTCCGCTTGTTGTAAACGGGGTTGTGTGCCGTCGAATTCCCAGCATCAAGATGGGTCTCGGTGTTTCCCTTGCGTTTTTTGAGGGTACCCGTTGTTGTATTGCTTAAAGAGCAACCAGAAGGACAACCACTTAATTATTTTGCACGGGGCTCCTGAAAAATTGTTTTTTTCAACACCAAAATAAAGAGAAACCACCATTTACAAGGCGATGAGGTGTATGCTGTAAGGATCCCTGTTGCAGGTCCCCCTATTGTGACACATTTTTCATGGACCCTCCGCAGGCGGGCTCTCCTGCACTTCCTTCACCTCTACCTCTTGCTCCTCTTTGGCCTCGGACTCCAGCGACGAGGAAGGCCATGACGAGGAAGGCGCGGATGAGCCCGGCATTTGTCCAAGAGAGCGGGTCGGCATTATTCTTGCATCCCCACCCCCTTCAAAATGGAATTGGGGGAGGGGGGTGACCCTGGCATTCCCATTTAGGGTTCCATGTTCCCTTTTGTGCGGAAGACTGAACAAATGGAATTGTGGGACCCCCCACCCCCCTCCCCCTTAAGGTAGGGGGGATATGGGTATGGGTCAAATTAAACCACGAGGGGACCGCAGGTTTTGCTCCATGTTTCCACTTACCAGGGTTCCATTTTGGAACATTGTTTTTGAGCCACAACCATATTCTTGCAAGATGCGCGTGGGGCTGCAGTTGCAGAAGGTTCGCGGAATGGTATGCCCCATGGAAGCTTCGCGGAAGGTGTATGCGTGAAAGCAAGGCCCAAAACAGGGCACTGTGTCCGCAGCAGAGAAATTACTGCAAGCAACGTATGCCCGCAGAAGCAATGGTCCACGCCGTGGAAGCTTTTCAGAAGGGTCGGCAGACAGAAATATATAGAGCTTACCCAGTTTGGTACCGTGTTAGTACTCTTTTGCTACCTTTTCAGGGGTGGGTCGGCAGAAGGATTCCGCAATCCCGCGCGCGCACAACCTGCTATGCAAACAAAGGACACGTAGCAGGCTTCTAGTTTGCATTGGGCGGTTCTGGGTGTGTTGCTGTGGAGCGCGAAGCCTGTTCTGTAGCATTCGTAGAGTGCAGCCAAGACCCTGCCCAAGGGCCTGTGTTGCCTATGATTTTAGATGTGCCCATGTCTAGGTAGCAGCCAGTTGAACACTTGATGCAGTCGAATATGTACTACGCGTCGTGTGTTGCTCAAAGTTGGCACGCCACTATCGTGCAATTTGCATTGTCCAAACATGAATTTGGTGTTTGATCATTGGAACGCGCAAGTAAGATCAAGGGAGTTCTGGAAAGCCCCTTCATTCGGCCGGACGAGTGGGTAGCCTAGCCCCCGCATTCAGAAACAAACTGTCACAAGTTCCTTAGCTGCAAGACCCTATAAACCACTCCCAGATCCGCCAAACCTGGAGGGCCTGTGGCTCAAGAATGTTTGCCCTAAAGCTTACCCTAGGGTTCAACCCCCAGAAAAAGAAAGGTTGACCCAATTTGGATGATGACAATCCTTAGGCAAACAATGGTGGTTGTACGACCCCCCAATGTTTTGATGGTGTGAATCCCAGGGCCTCAGGAAGCCCCGGCCGGTCTTTTGGGTGCAGGTAGAAGTGAGCCTTCAGGAAGTGATCGAGACTTACGTAGTCAAAAGTCCGATTTCTATGGATCAGTGCAAGAAGAGTCACTGTAATTCGTGAGCACAGGCACAGCCCTGTTTTGCCACGCCCCGTTGGATGTTCTGGTTGACCCAAAATGCCGGCATGATCGGGGATTTGACCCTAGAAGTTGGATTTGTAAATATATATATATATGTATATATATATATATATAGACAATGGCAGCTTTGAGAGATTTCGCCCACGTGTTTGGATGTCCATCGGAGTTTTGTGGAGACCACCTGGTGGTCTGGATGTTTTGGCCATGTAAAGTGTCGGAGCGAGTCCAAGCGGCCAAAGGCCCCTTTTTCGCAAAAAGCTCCCGCAAGCGGATCCTGCGACTAAGCTGAGCGCAGCTGAGCGAAGCTGGCGTGGGTGATGGCTGGGTAGATGGCACTTTTCTTCCTGAACTAGAGTTCAGGGAATGTTTGAGTGCCCCTGTGGTATTCCACTCGCCTGTCTTCAAGGTAGCGCACCCTGTTGAACTGTGGGGAAGGCCTTCTACATCATTGCAGTGCCGTGCAGCATCTCTCCATGTGGGTGTCTCTGTTTGAGGGTACTAATTTTGAAAACAACGAGAAAACTGAAGACCATGTTTGTTGTCCCCTATTTTGAGACATGCCCATGTGTGCCATCAATGCCTGTGTCCATATATACGTATTATATACAGTACTGCTTTCTGCGAAGCAGTGAACCTTGTGTATTTGCAGGTTCTGGTGCCTAACTAAGGTAAGGAAGGGCCCCAATGCAGGATGTTCCCTCTCTTTTTTCGCGGCAACATGTAAATTGTTCACTCATGGAGGAGAGACTGACTTGGGGGTGGATTTAGATTGCCAGCTTTGGGGTATGAGATTCTGTAGGGCTTAGTTCCCCATTCCCTTCACCCATCCTTTTGAAGCCCATCTCCGCTTTGCCTGGGCCATGTTCTGAGAAGGATCCCGAGCAGGACAGGACTGAGGAAGCCAGCTGAGGCATTGAGGGGCTGTCCTGTGGGAAGGTGCCCCACCCTTTCAGGGCGCCATAGGTTTCTTGTTGTTTGGGGCGGGGGGGGGGGGGGGATTGTTTGGCACATGATGTGAGCTCAAGAATTCGCACTTTCTTTGTCGCAATCCATGTTTGGTGACCTTGGACATTGCCATGACTGGTAGCATAGGGGGTTAAATGATGGCTCATCATGGCACAACTTGGTTCAGTAGTACAGTACAACCCCATTCCAATATCTGTGGCCCTTATAGTAAGCCGGCGACGCCGATTTGTTGGCGGCTTCTCAAGCATATTATACTGTGGATGGACGAAATCCTGCACTACCTAAGAAACCCAAAAAATATAATTCCCCTGTAACAATGCAAGTACCAACAAACGGTATGGTTTCCCATGGGTTCACAATGGTGCGAACGGATGTTGTCCACCCACCGTATGTCTGTTTTGCAGTGGCCGGATATTCGTCCGCGCGTCCGCCTGTAGCCGTGGCCGGACCTAAGCGTGTCTCAGGCGCCATGTGTTTTTTTTCTGGTCGGGGTGGGCGGAAACAGCGGCAGAGCCTTTCCATGCGGCGAGGCCAGCGAAAAGTAAGAGGCTTTTAGCAGGAAAGCTGGTCCAACCTGGCACCGCACTGGCACCAAACTGATTGATCAGACCACTTGCCCAACAAGGGCAGCAATGAAGCAACACGGAGACGGATATTGTCGCATGCCCGAGGTGCCGATTCGCATACACTCGCGGGCGTTCGTTCTTGAGATTGCTTTCTGTGGCGCGCTTTGCCGTTGCAATGTACTCCGACAAGGGCAAGGGCAAGGGCAAGCGCTCAGACTCGGCGTATTTGGACTACTGCGTGTCTCGTGTGGACCCAGATGACCAAGGCAGCTCGATGCAGTCAGCGTAGTTTTCGTTGTTAGAGGTGCCGTTTGCAACAGCTTTCAATGTTCAATGGTTGGAGCATGGCCCTTCTCAGCATGCAGGATGAGTTCACTTCAATCACAACTTGAGGGACACCGTCTGTGTAAAACTCTTAAAAGAATCCTTGGAGCAGTTTCCTAGTCAGACATCCCACAACTTGTGACCCGTTTTGCGCAGTAGCAAGGAAATTGCTGGATACCCATCCCCCCACCCCCCCCCACCCTCGAGACAGTCTTGTTGATCCTGCGCCAGGTTTGTTCTTGGCATAGGTGGGTTGCAGGCAGTCGGCTTGTTAAGCTCAGCTAGTGCTTGTCCATAGTCATGCTCCCAAAAGCCGGCACGTGCCGACAAACGAATCGAGGTATGTTTGGCAAGTGAGGATTTCCCAACTGCACGGCAGGTCATGCTACTGCCTGCACGGATGTGATAGCATGCCGCGACCGCATGATATGAATTCGTAAATCCTAGCATCTTGGCATTATCTTGGCTAAACACAGGTGCATTCCCACTTGTGTCGAACCTATCAACTACATATGTTGACACCATGTCTGAGGGCCAATGGATGCATACCTGCTCAACTGTTCAAGTTCAAGCGTACTTTCCTCGAGGACTGGTCTGGGCCCGTACCTGATTGCGGTCCCAAAGGGTAAAGCCTTTGCTTCCAGTTCGCTTCAACAAGTGAAGTCCAGCTGGTACTGTGCTGGTCTCATCAATGTAAGCAGTGGTCCAGCTTGGCAACCCGCTGCCTGGCCACTTGAACGTTCACAAGACACCATATGGACCATACCCACTTGCTCTTTGCTTGGAAGCCAACTCAGCGAAATGGGACCCACTCCCAAAGTCGCAAAAGTCTTTGGGATGGATATCCCAGGTGCTGCCTTCCCCCTTGGCCATGTATGGAAGACCCCCGAGTGTTTCTTTGCGGGGATCCCAGGCGAGGGTGCGAAGTAGCGAATCTTCCTGGATTGTTTTTTCTAGGAAAGCCCTTCAAAGGGACGGATCATTTGCTAATATTCTGTTACGCAGAACCCTAGATGGATATGGATGGATCATTTGCCAATTTCCACGGATGGGCTTCATTGCGGGGCCGGCGGGCCGGCGGGCCGGCGGCGAAGCCCCGAGCTAAGGCGCCTTGGATCCGCGGTTGCTGCCGCTGTCCCGGATGCTGGCGCAACGGCTGCGCTACAAGGACCCCTTTCTGCGGCGCATGGGCGTGGCCTCGAGTCTGCGCTGAGTCGGACATGGCCATGGGTCAAAAGCCAAGACCGTAGCCCCAGTGAACGGGACCCAATCCAACCACTAAAATGAGCTAAAGTGGGTGGTGCACCGACCCCCAAATGGTACCATTGGTGTTGACCCACGGCCACTGACATGTCGTTTCTGTTTGGAAGATAGCTCACTTCAAACAATTGTTTTTTGTCAGATAATTCACATTTGTCTTTCTTGACCCTGCATGTTGAAGAGCACAAAGTTGTGAGAAGTACCCTCAAGCAAGCCACACGGGAATATGTCTATTGTTCAGATGGCTATCAACTCACTGGGCAATAGTCTCAAAATGCTTGGTGCACATGGCTCCCCGTACAAATATGGTCCACGAAAGGATGCGGAAAGGAAGCCAACCATCTTGGGGCTTCAGTTTATTTGCTGATAGGCTTGCGGCCATGAGGCTATTGATGAGGAGGGCTGGGCAGACTTGGCGCAGGCGGAACCGGTTGCGGAACTGGCCGCCCATCCCGGCAGGGGTGTGATTTGGGCCCTGAGTTCTACTGAACAGTTCACCATGTCGAATTTACCCGGAAGAAGAACCGCCCAAAGCGGATGGATCGATCTTTTAAATCTCATTTTCTGAGTTCATGGGCTTTAGTCACTGTTTGGGGTTGGACCATTTTAGTGCCCAGAGGCTCCCGATTGATTTGGGGCCTTCAATACCTGGTTTTGAGACGCCCAACCTATGGAGGGGTCGGGTCCATTGAAAGCCGAAGCCCGGAGCATCTGGGTGGTAAATCAAAAGTTCAGGGACTCTTGGTTTGCCAATCCATATTTTTCGGACGTGAGTGATGCCAATCCAACACGTCAGCCAGGTGCTGTCCCTGGACGACTTCCTGGGTTTCAACGCCCAGGACGTCCGGCAGGTGGTGAAGGACCACACCGGCGCATCACCGTCAGTCGGTCGGTTTGGTGGGTGGATGTCGGTGGTTTGCAACAGGTGTTGTTCTAGGGCTACCTTCCCCATTTGCTTAAGATTTGTTTCCTTGGCTCTAAAAGGAATTTATCTCTACTGGACATATTTTATCATTTTGCCGGGGGTCTTAACCAAATGGAAGCTACCAAGAGAGCGGGTGGGCAGTATTCTCCTAGGGGTACCTTCCAATTCCATTCTTAGCCAACGGATCCGAATCTTTCTAGAAAACCTCCGGAAACCCAGGGGAAACGGATCCGGTTTTTGGAAAGAAGGATGCTTGAAAAGAATGGAAACGGAATCTAACCCTAGAGTTGCCTTGACTGCTATTGATTAACGGATCTTTAGACTTTAATGTTTTGGTTGAAATCAAGTTGGGTTTTCCAGTCAACCCCCAAAAAAGTGATCAACTGTTTTTGCAGGGGGGTCAACAGCAACCAAGGATTGCTATGGTAGCGGATCTTTAGACCTTTTTAATTGTTTGGTGGAAATCGTGCGTGGGTTTTCCAGATTAAACCCAGCAGAAGTTGAAGCAACCTTTTGCAGAGGGGTCAAGAGCAAGCAAGTTTGATCCCGTAACTCCAAGAAAGCCTCAAAGGTAGATCCTTTTGAGCGGGATGGATTGCAATGGTACGAGAGAGAGAGAGAGAGAGAGAGAGAGAGAGAGAGAGAGAGAGAGAGAGAGAAGAGAGAGAGAGAGAGCCCCTTTTGAAGAAACCCAAACTGAGTGTGCTGCCAGTTGGTAGCGCTCTCAAGGCTAGTTCCCAACGAAGGTGTCGAGACCAGTCGGCAGGAATTAGGATGCCGGGCGTTCAAATGAAGCAATCAAGATGATACATGTTTGTTTGAAAACCGCGGCACAAGTCCAACCATGACACTTAATATGTTGTTTGTCATCCCCAAGCTTGAGCAAAGGATACGTAGCCAAGCCATGTGCTGCCAAGGGGCCAACTTGGGGCAAAGCGCACGCTTGCGCTTGCTCAGGCTGAAACTCAGCCTGCCTCAGGAGAGCTACTCCAAAGACCGCCCACGCTTCGAGACCAAGACGGAAGGCAGCGACATGTGTTTTTCGGTGTCGGCAAATGAGGTGACGACCAATGAAGCGTTTGGCAAGACCGCCTGGAGGAGGTTAACTTTGGCAAAAATCAGCGCCGACCAGCTTTGGCACCAGACCATAAATAAAGTCCAGAAAGGGCAAGGCCGATCTTCTTACAGGCTCGTTGGTGGATGCTTGGCCCATCTTGGCCCCCTTTGAACTCCAAAATGGTCGAGTTGCAGCCTTTGCGGAAGAGTCACTTAGCTCAGCTGCAGCTCAGCCGCCATCCTCTTGAATCAGGTGGCCGACTGTACATCCGTGCGGCGCACAAGCGACCGGAGCGTGGCTACCGAGGTGCTCGCATTCGGGGGTGGGTTGGCTTCACTCGGCCGCTGAGTTTGCAAAGGCCCCTTCGGGAGATGCATTTAAACTGGAATAGATTGTAGACCTGCAAGAGTAAGTGATACAGTGTCCAGGATGGGCCTCGTCTGAAGAGTCCTGAGATGTCCTGCGATGTGTGCAAACATGTGCAAACAACTTTGGGGCTATAGCCGCAATGCTCTTGACTCTTAGCCACCATCTTTGCCCCTTCGTATTGTCAGATGTTTGGCAGGAACCTCTAATTCATGATTGAACATAGGTCACCAGATGGGGGTGCACTCAAGAAAAGCACTGCATCACCAACCTGCCCAACGGGCACCGGCGGCATTCATCATCCATTCATTCCTTCCGGGCGTGCTGTTTATAACCCCAATCCATGCGTTCCGCCCCACAGGACCTTAGGGTTTAGGTTTAGGGTTCAGATCTTTTTTGATGGTTTAAGGTTTAAAGGTTTAGGTTTAGGGATTTAGAATTTAGGTTTGGCCTCAAAACCCCGAGGTTTTGGTTTAGGATTTTGAGGGTTTACTTTCCGTAGCCGTGTTTGCAAGTTGGGCTTCCGGGACCGTATCTGGAGCTAAGCCCTGCAATGTCCCAAAAGTCGCCCTGCGCAGTTGCGGCCAACCTGTGCCGACGGGCGTTGGGGCAGATCACGTGGACGGCCATATTTATAGCACGTTGTGGTTTTTGACACGCAGAATCATGTAGTGGCGCTCTGCAACCCCCTTAATGCAGGAGAGACCTGAAGCACACAACTGGCTGGCCAAGGCATAGCGGGACAAACTGTGTGCTGAATGCTCAAAAGACCTGAATACCCGACAATATCAGGACCAGACACAATAGGGGCCTTCAAAACACCGACAGCTATCAGTAGGGCTGAGGATAGCGCAGGGAAAATCAGCCTCAGAACTCATGGCGGGCCACCCGTTGAGCTGCACGGTGGATCACACTTACCCCTATAAAAGTTTGCAAGGCGGTTGGCTTTCAGTCGGATACGGAGACACTAGGGCGAAAGTAGATAGCACGACTCCCCTTATGTTGGCAAGGAATACCAACATAAGGGTCAAAGGGTTAGGTTACAGGAAATTCTACAGGAAAACAGCTTATTTAGGGTGTTTTTGGGGCCATGTCCTGTAGAATTCCCGCGACGAACCCCCTTTGAAAGGGGGAAGTGGTGGCATCGACTTTCGCCGGTTCTGGTCCGCTCTCCGGGGCTGGTTCAACCCGACGAAGCTCTGCGCAGTGTGCGGATGGATGGGGACGGTCAGACCAACCATTTGTGCGGAGTTACACGCACACAGACTGAGCATGCCATGTTAGATCACTAGTTCCAACTTGCACAAGACATGGAGCTTTGTCATAGTCAAGCATGGAGGCCCTTCCAACTGGCTGGTGAACACCACCACCACAACCACAACAACCACAACCACACCTCCAAGTGGTTTCAAACTCTGCTAGCAGGGGGTCAAGTGCCACCTGCGCAGGCCGGCGCCCAAGCCCGGGGCCGCCAACCCTGGAGGCAGAGGGTCCAAGAAGATTTTTCGGGTGAAGATATGGCCATGGGTCAAAATCCAAATCGTACCCCCAGTGAACATCCCATCCCCACTACAATAGGTTCTAAAATGGGTGGTGCACCGAATCCCCCAAAATGGTACCATTGGTTTTGACCCACAGCCATATTGCTTTTCCAGCTCCTTTGCTAAAAAATGGCTCAACGAGACTTTGATCTCACCTTTCTGGTTGAATTTATGTGGGGTTTTTCATTGACTCACTTTCTGAGTTCATGGACTTTGGTCACTTTCGGGGTTTGGACCTGCTACACGCCTTTGAACATCCTGTGTCTGAAGGCGCTTGCGCACCACAGCTGTCGTGGGGAGGGCATGTGCTTGTCCCACTGGCCATTTGTGGTTTGCTTTCCTTGCTTCTACCATCGCAGACACGGACGGCTCTTTGCTTTTCTAGTTCTCCATGCGCATCAATGAACCATGTCCGGGGTCGGGGGGGATGCGCTGGGCCAGAACAAGAGCCACCGCTTGAAGAAGGAGGCCAGTGAGCCAGCCGTCCCTTTGTCAGGATGTGCCTTTCGTGGCGAACCCGAGCGGCAAGAAGAACAAGATGGGCGGAGGCTACGCAGTGCCTAGCGCGGGGAGAAGGTGGTGTGTGATGGCTAAGAGCCTGTTTGGATGTAGGGTTCCCCTTCTGGATCCCCACCCCCAATATGGAATTGGGGGAGGGGGTTGACCCCTGGAATTCAATTTATGGTTCCATTTCCTTAAGGGGAGACTAGACTGGGATTGGGTTGACCCACCCGGGTCCCGCCCCCTGAGGGTAGGGATCATCCTTCTGGTATAAAAATAGGCCACCTGCTTTGGCACAAGGCTGGAAGTCCCGATGCGCCGTGTGGCATCAAAGAGCAGCACGGCATTGCTGCTTTGAGCATTTGTTTCCGTGAGGTTGGCCAAAGATGTTGAAGGTTTCTTCAACCTAACAGCTTTGCGATTGGGACCAGTACCTCGACCATTGGTAGCCCCCCTTGCTGCTCAAATTGGTCTCCTATGAATGGCAGTCCAAAAGGACCAGCTTATGCTAGGCGCGCACCTCCGGAAGGCCAGGTCCACCGGCCTAAACGAGTCCAATTGCCAGAGTGGCGTTTTGCTTGGCGTCTCTCACGTGGAAGTCGTTGATGGATTTGCGCCGCGAGCCATGCGCCAGCAGAAAGTTGCCTGGACCCTGACCGCATGTTAAGCTACTGCACCTGGAAATTGCCATGGGTAAATGCTGGTAGTGAGAGCGCGCATTTTTGGCCAGACTCCTGGCTTGAGAAGAGGGACACCCTGTGAAGGGCCGGGTTAGTGAAAAAGTTATCAATGATGCGCCTGGTGTTTTGGTGTTTCCGTTCGCACCATGTATGGCGACCTCACAACGGGGGCTGGCGACCTCTCCCATGACGAAGGTTTCATCCTTAGAATCCTTGGTTTCATGTTGGTGTGCCTTGTCCCCTTTTCTAGTAATCATGGAAGTCGACAGGGGGCCTTCTTATGATGATGCCATCATGCGGAATGCCCCATCGGAAATCCTCACTTGCGAATTTTGTGCCAGGCAGCCCGCAGTACTTCGACATCGGCAAAGAGGTTCCGTTTTGGGGTTGGGCAATGGACTTAGCTAAGGCGTGTCAGCAACCCAAGTGGGGCTTTGTGGGGATGGATTCCCGAGCGTGCACCAAAGCTCATCCGGGCTTACAAGTTCATTTGAACGTGCAAAAACGCGGGAACAGTTGCTCAGGCTTGTTCTCAAGTAAAGATGTGTTTCTGGACCAAAGGGCAAACGGTGTTGTTCCTTTCAAAGACAAGAGAGCAGGCCCTGTGTGAACGAGGTTTTGGTTTCAGGTCTGCTGAACCAGTGTTTCGCACCCGCTGAAAGGAACTTGATTGCCTGCTTCCCCGGGTTTTTTGCCCAGGAAGAAAGTTGCGCAAAAGTGGACCAACCCCACGACCTCGAGCTGGCTCCCTTAGAAATGAACGTCTCGAACTGAAAGTCTAGGTCTTCCAGTAGAGCCCTTTTACCGTTTCTTTTTGGGGGAGGGTTCCCCCACTAAAATAGACTACAGAAAAAAAGTTGGTACCCTTGTTCGAACCACTCTACTGGAGGACTAAACCCACCGTTAGGGCAATCGCCTGAGCCGTCCCTCGACCTTTTGGGCGGGCAAGGAGGAAGCGGCGAAGAATTTCTCCAGCCTCGGGGTGGAGTGGTCCAGGCGGGCTCAGAATTTTACTCCCTTCAGGGGATTGGGGTGTCCATTTTGAGCAGGGTTGTGGGATCAAGGGGTTTCTCCCCACGTCTGTGATACAAGGGAATCCCCCTTTATATGAACAAAATAGTCTTTGGGAAGCCCTTTCTGTTGTATCGCAGAAGTGGTCATTCCCCACAGCCCTGATTTTGAGACTTGGGAAAAGGCTGCTTGGAATGTTTCAGTCTTTCAGTTTCCAGATGCTGCTTCTGTTGCCAGGAGTTTTTCTCATCGTGGCGTAATGTCAAAATGTCATTTCTTTTAGCCAGATCAGCCTATGCGCCCCAATGTTGGGTTACAAACGCCTTGTTGGGAAGGGTCTATTGAAGGTGTCATGTTTAGAGGCGGGATATTTCCTGGAACCGCTCCCAGCCTGAAGGCCAGTACCAAACCACATGTGCGTGTGTGTGTGTGTGTGTGTGTTAAAAGCATCGCCAACGGTTTCCGTCGGTTTCCCTTTACCAAGGGTCCCAGCCATCCAGCCTGACGACAAAGCCGCGTGAATCAACCACCGGCATAGCTTGTCCCACCTCTATCGTGGTCCCCGTCCCACCCTCTAACGGTTGCCTTGTTTTTGTGCAAGGCCATATGAAATTGTTTTTTCGACCCTTCCCTAGCCCAATACGTCATAGGCCTTTGGAGGTTCAAGGCCAGGGGCTCCTAGGGCTTGGTTCTTGCCCGTCGAATCTCACCCATCCCATTGAGAGCGGCGGGGTCCAACCGGCTGTCAAGTTGGGGACCGAGGGATCGAGAAGTACTTCAACCAGGTCCTCCAGTAGTGCCCTTCTCTCCTGTTTCTTTTTTGGGGGAGGGTTCCCCGACTTAAATAGACTACAGAAAAAAATCGGGTACCCTTATTCGAACCTCTCTACTGGAGGACCTAGTGAAGTTGAAGCTCCTTGCCACCTGGCCTCCCAAGCCTCACGTGTTTCTGAGTTGCGGCTTGGTCAGCGCGAAAAGCTCAAACCTCAGGCATGGAAGCAGTGGGTCACTGTTTTTTGTTGGGAATGGTACCTCATGTTGGGCTGAAGACATTGGATATTGTGGTAGGCTTGGGCCGCTGCCACCTGCAATTTAAGCATCCACCCGCTGCTGGACAAGTCCAAGAAAATCACAAGCAGCAGCAAGAACAAAAACCAGGGCCCTCAGCTCTCCTTTTGTTTCCAAAGCAAGACGCTTTGGAAAGCAAAACTGGAATGGCCCTCCCAAATCGGCGAATCTTCAAATGCCACAATGTGGAACCTCTAAATGTGCAGATTCCCTAAGTTCCGGCTACTACAATCCCAAGAAGGGTAGCCTCAAGCAAAAGCCTCGCATGTATTTCCCTACTCCGATGGGTTTGGCGTTCTGTGACTTTCCTATGAGGGTTTTGGAGGAATTTTGGATTGATAGGCGTCCCATTTGAGAGAGATTCTGCAGGTTCAGGTTGAATTGGGGTCGGCAAGACAGGTCGAAATGGCTTGGGCAAGCTCCAAACACATTCCCTGCAAAGGGTCCTAAACCCATGTTTTCACTTCCCCAGAATTAGCTCCCCTTTTTCCTTTTTTGCTTTTTTGGGGGTCCCCTTTTTTTCCACTAACCAGGCAAAAATATATTGTTTTGTTGGGGTCCTAATTCCAGCCTAGTTCATTAAGAGTAGACGATGCATGCACTGTTACATTGGAATTCGCAAGGATAGTACACAGAGAGAGATGTACGCATAATATTACAACCCAGAGCATCCAATGTGTAAAACTTCGCCGCTTCTGACGAAGCACACATGTGCGCCGTTTCAGTTCACACCTGCCGTTTCGATTCAAGAGTGCCTTTTGGAAGCCTTGCTCCCTTCCCTAGTCCCTAGTTTTCCTGTAGCGGGCAGCGTGTTCAAAGGCAGGAGAATCCGTCATTTGACCGGGAAAATCCGCTTTTTGACCGGCCGGCAAAATCAGCTTTTGCTCGAAACACTCATGAGAGCAGAATTTGCAGAGTTGTCCAGATTCCATAATTGGAACAAAAAGTGCTCGCAAATTTAAAAAGCGCTCGCAGAAGCGGAGAAGCAGTAATTTACGGGAAACATATTGCACACGCAACGGAGGTCCTAGGTATACATATTATCATGTATACATATATACCTATATTTACACATGCATGTATATCTCCGCATACAGAAATAATATCTGGAATACATCTCTCTATGTATCCATCTCCCCGTTTCCGGTCACCAGCCGCGCGCGAAAAAACGTGAGACGCGAGGCTGGAGCTCAAGGAGGGCCTCTTCGGGTGGTGGGCCTTGCGCGAGGGCACGGAGGAAGGCTTCGCGGAGCTGGCGCCGGACGCTTCTGGAGGGCGGTGGCGGAGTTGGCCCCGGGTGGTTTTCGGTGGAGTCCATCCAATGTCTTTCAGCTTTTGAGTGATTTTTCTTGAACATAGCTCAACACTTGAAACTCGTTCGATCAAAAGGTGCGTTTTGGCCCCAGGTGTTTGTTGCAAGTCAAATTCAAAACTCGAGAAACTCAATAAAGGATCCTGTGCCTTGTTGTTTTTGCCCATGGCTTTCTTCTGAGTAAATCAATGGAATGCGGTTGTGCGGTGCTTTGAAATGCTGATGACAATGCGAACATGTCGACAGTTCGTTCAATGTTGCTGTTTTTGCAATTTCCTCATTCTGATTTGGCCATTTCCTTTACTCATCCGCAACCAGGGACTGCTTTGTCACCCTGGTCCATTTTTTTTAATGAGGGACGAAGTGATTGCTAACATGTTGCTCGCATGAGAATACTTGACTTGAAAGCACCTCCAAAAGCCCATGCTACTTGTTTAGGCGCTTGTAGCATGCCTTGGATCAGCGGATTCCGGGCCCTTCAACTACCTTTTTTTGGCGCGCTCGGGACCCAGCAAAATGGCCGACCCGGCCCTGAACGGGGAAGTTGACGCGAGCCCTGATGTGCGTTTCAGTTCGGCCTTCGTGCCGTTTGGTGCCTGCCTTCAAAGGGGGGAGATGGGCAGGATGAAGGGGCAGCGAGGCTGATGGCAGGGTTTGGAATCGTTGGCCTTGATCGTTTTGTACGACAAATGGCTCGCAGGATGGCTATTTTTCTTGTGTGCTGATAGGGAGGTGTCCTTTCACGGGGAACGGCCGTTCCATTCCCTTCTCCCACAAAAAACAGGGTGGCGTGTTCTCGGTTCAGACCTTGGTTGAAGGCAAATCCTCAATACTTCTTTTGGGTCATGGTCTCCTTTGCTGTCAACCAGGGCGCTTTCTTTCTAGCGATGAACCCCACTGAGGGGCACGCTCTCCCCCCCTTGTCCCTGTTTGGCTTGCTCCTTTTGGAACTGGGTAGTCGAGTCCAGGTGCTAGATTTGGTGCTTGTCACTGCATGTGCAAGTTTAACATGTTGGATTCAAGCCAACAAGATCAGGCTCCCAAAGCCTTACTCGACCCGTCTCAAAGCCTTACTCGACCCAGAGGGACCTATAAGAAATATGTGTATTATTTGGTGTTCCTTGCTTCTACGACCCTTCGCTGCCTTCCTCCGAGGACCCGTGGATGTTTATCGGCGCAGGGGAGGTGGAGGAGCTGGAGACGCCCAGTGGCACTTGGAACCGGCCGACGGTTGCCCCCATCCGCCGCTTTCGGCGCGAAAGAACTGAAACCCTTTTTGGGATTGACGGGTTGGCTGGAGAAGGCGCGCGATTACAAACAATTACAACGCCGGACAACGGGCCTATAAAGAAGCAAGGGGTTGGGGGGCGCAGCCCCCCCCCCCAAATCAAAACAAATCAGCACACTATATAATGCAGAAATTGCGCGACGACAAACCAGGATCACAATCACAAAGCCAAGCGAAGCGCGGGGTTGGGAGGGGCAGCCCCCTTCAGAAAATGAACAAGGACGCCAATGACAACAGTGCGACGAGTTACTCCAAGCCATGGAAGCCCTTCATGTCCCGTGTCCAGGCACCCGTGCTGGTACAACACAGAGTCCACGGAGTACTTCTTCGTGAGCCCGGAGGACCTGCCACAAGAGCTCACCTAGCCGGCGCCAGTGCGTCAAAAAGGGCGGTGGTGGGCGCCCGCGGCGCGAGCTCGGGCGAAGTTTGCGCTCATGTTTTTTGGTTCTTTGGATTTGGCTCCTTTTCGCCACTTTTTTGCCAGGGGCAATTGGTGGGCAATTGGGGGTAGAGCATTTCTTGCGGATGTATGGATGGTCGTTCTTATGGGTGGAGTTTGCTGCAAGGCGTGAATATTTGCTTGAGGGCGCTGGGGATGGTCATTGGATCTGTTAGGGTCTCGAGAGCTTCCGCAGCCGCTGGTTCCGGCACCTGGCCCTGGCCGCGCCTGGCGATAGGGGAGAGGGCTACATGCCAAGACAACCCCGATCATGTACTTACATATTTTGGGGAATGAAATCAGGCGGCAATGGTTCACTTCAAATATATATATATATATATATTCAAAGATGCTCCAACGGTGATTGGCAGCAAAGAGGCAGCATGGCCCACAACTTGCCCCACTTGGTCTTAAAGAGTGGGTGGGTCAGGTTACCTGGCATCTTTTTTAGTGACCTTCTTCCGGAGCTTTTTTGGGGCGTCCCAAATCCTGGTTGGTTTCCCCCAAAGGAGTCCAACAAAGGGAAGAGTTTGCGACTGGCCCGGGTCCCTCGGCACGGCTCCCGTCCGGATTCGCATTGGAGCCATGGCGAACTTCGAGATCAGCCCGCGGGCGCCGCTGAGGGCCCCGGATGAGGAAGCCGGGGAGGCTCCGAGCAGACGAAACCTCAACGGGGGGGGCTGGTTTGGGTGGACCGTGCCCAGCCTTCACCGTCTCAAAAAAAAGACATGGCAGTGGCCCCAAAAATGCTGGCAAGCAAATGCTGGTAAGCCTAAGTGAGGCTTACCGACGCTTGGTACGCCTTAGCCAGAGAGCAATAGGCGCGGCTACTGTTCTGTACACACTTTTAGTTTGACCCGTTCAGGGTTTACCTTCATAAATCTTGGCGCTGGGCAGAAGAAAGAAAAGCCCTTGCCTTGCTGGCACTTCGCCGGTTTCCCGGAAAACCGAAAGAATCCCGAAACCCAGAGCTGGACCTTGGCAATTCCGCCCTGGGTTCCTGGACTTGAAGCTTCTCTTTGGTCCATTTTGCCAAAAGATGTTCGGACTTTAACTTTTGGCCAACTAGTGGGTCCTTGATCCAACCACTAGTTAAAAGTTAGTCACTTTTAGCAGGGGAGCCGGAAGCAACCGAGGATTCTTTCGGCTGACGACCAAGCCACTGGTGAGTTGGAATGAAGCCATCCGACTGAGGTGACTCCGAGATCGGCCATCGAAGACTTCGTGGTGCATTCCCGTGCCAAACTGCACTCCCACCGAGCGAAGCGCAGCTTTATCCGTGACTCACTGCTGAAGCTTATGGGTGCTGCTTTATGTCTTCCTTTGTTGCCTGCTTCCATCCGATGGTTGTATTTATGTATTCCTTTCTTGCCTGGTTCGTTTGTTTTTTTTGGTTTTTTCTTTTTTCGTAAAGGAGAATGGGACTTGTCCGTTTTTTTTGGTTTGGTAAGGTCTCAGCATTGTTTTTCAAACGGAAACAGTCATGACACGCCTTTTTTAACACCATGGAAAGCTTTTCACTACCCAGAGGCTCCTGGGGCTTCCAATGGAAGACCCGACCCCTCCATTAGACACCCCGGGAATTGGTGGTTAGAGGTCTCAAAACTAGGTGATTTGAAGGCCCCAAGACATCGGGAGCCTCTGGGCTGACAAGCAGTCCCAGGGTTGTTGTGCCCGGCCCGGCAACGGCGGTTATTTGAAGGCCCTAAATCAATCGAATTGGAGCCTCTGGTCAGAGGTGACGTGCAAATCAGCATCCTTGTGGCCACGTGGACGGTGATCCTCTCGCTGCCGATCCTCATTTGGCCCTGGGCGGGGTACCTGAACCATGAGTGGTGCCGCGGCCTCGCGGCTGTCAAACGGTGGTTTCCTGCATCTTTCCCTTTTGAAAAAAAAACACATCACCCTTTTGGTGAGTAAACGGTGGTTTCCTGCATCTTTCCCTTTCCTTTGAAAAACAAGCATCACCCTTTTGGTAGGGTGATTACGGGCTGGACGAGTAGTTGGAACAGTGAACTTTTGATTTCGTGCCTGGTCGGTGTGTGGCAACATCTAGCATTTAAGGCTCTTTATTCGAATAATGATAGATGGTTGAAAGAAGATCATTGAATGACAGGTTCATGGATTCAATGATCCTAATCTTGTCATTTGCTGATTTTATTTATTATTTTCTTCTGTCAGTTTGTCACTGAATTATTGAACAGTATCTGTATTCAACTGTTCTTTTGCAATACGCAATGACCAATTTATTGAACACTTCACTGTTCTTGGCATGTGTTTTGCTTTTTTAGTTTTTTGGCTCTGTTCATTGTTACTGGGGGTCTGCAAGAGTAGAGATGAACAGTTGCTTTGCTCAGAGAATGACAGAAGATCATCGAATCCTGGGTTCGGAGTTGAAGGGTCTGCCAGATGCAGTGAAGCCCCGAAGCCCCGAAGGGCGGCTCATGAACCTCGGAGGGCAATTCATGGTTGTTGTTGGGAAACAGTTTCCCCATTTTTGCTTGTTGTGGTTTAGTGCTTGAAATCCAAATCCACTTAACTGAAATCCCCACTTAACTGCTGAAATCTATTTGTTGTTCTCCCCTTCCAACGTCAACCAAGTATTCCTTGGATGTGCCGAGACAAGGATCAATCCATAAGAAGTGGTTTTTTTTGTCGTTGAACACGGCATGGCCTAAGCTTGGAGCTATGAAGGCCCCTCAGGTTTGGATGTCTACCACTGCGGCATCGAGCAGGCCAGGCCGGAAGCTGTCTGCCGGGTGTCCTGGTCCTTCACAGGCCTTCATTGCGCGCCAGCCACTCGGCCATGGGGCACTTTGTCCGGGAAACCAACTAGGGATACAGGGGGGAGCCAGGGATACTGGAAAATTCCCCCTAAATGCACCTTGACTAAGTTAGATATGGGAAATGGCGCCAAGTGAATCCGCCCATATCCCCGCTCCCTCCGTATCCCCGCGGAAGTTCGTTTGTCCAACTTTGGGTGCAATTCTTCGCCGTCTGGAAAAGTCGCAGAATCGACCCCACGGTAGGATCTCGCTTTCATAGCCGCTGCATGTAACATTCCTTGGCACAGTTTGCTTGAGAAGCCACCGCTGGAACACCACACCCGAGACGGCCACGGAAAGTTGGCTTCAGCCTTGTTAAGAGCAGACATTCGAACTCACGCGTGATTTGCCTGACATGTTGCCCGGTTATTGTAATTTTGCCGTCCTGCTGACGGTAGCTTTTGAGAGATGGCAAGCATCTCTAGGATGCTCTTGTTGGTAGGAGCCTGAATCTCATGTTGAAAGATGTTTTGTTGCCTCTAGCAACTTACAACACACTCGCAACATGTTTTGAAGAGAGCCGTCAAGAGCCTTGCGACATTTGGGCCTATCGATTTTTAACAGGGGCAGATGAAGCTGCCGAAGCTGTTGACAGCAACCCAAGCGTTTGCTGTCGCAAGAGAAGGGCTGCCTTGAAGCAATTGTTGAGGGACACGGCAAAAATGAGGACCTTACGTGTGACACTATAGCAAGTGTAGGCAGTATGTATGCTAGACTGGCCAGAAATGTGGCAAAAGACCAGCCTGTTTTGGGTAGCAATCCAAGTCAAGCCAATGTATATAGGGCCTTTTTCGGGGATCTACATCCAGGAATGCCTTTTGCCGGGGGGGTTGCTCAGTTTGGGTAAAAGGGAAAGCCACGTACCTACCCCGTATCCCGCTGAGAAGTGATCCGACGCGAGGCGAAGCCGAGTGCGTTCCTGAACCTTTGGGGCACCATGCTGCTGCAGATGCTCGGCTTGATGGGGGGGCGGGGTGGGGGGGGGGCGGGGGGGCCTTCAGGGTCCGAAGCCGCAAAAGGGCCAAGCTGGGAAGCCATGGGGTTTGATCGTTCGGGGAATATCCCCACCTCAACAATGGAAGTGGGGGAGGGTTTTGGTGACTGGAGATCTCCATTTGTGGTTCCATTGTCCCTTTGATGGGGAAGGCTAGATAAATGGAATTGGGGCCTTCCCCTTCAAGGTAGGGGGGATGGTCCTTGGAGAATGGTACTGAGGCCAGACTTCAGGGCAACGGTTTAGGGCTGTTTGGAGTTGGTTTACTTGAGAATCCCTCCCATCCACTCACGGAACCTGACGGAAGGCAGGTCCTGGAACACACTGTTCCAAGACTTTTAGAGGGAGCCTTTGGAGGCTTCCATATTGGTGCACTGGTGGGCAGGAACTACTTGCTTTCCCTTTCGCACCCACGCCTTTATTTTTGCTACATGATGTGAAGGCCAAGCATCAGATGGACCAGAGTCAGGAGTCATCCCAAGTAGAGAAAAAAAGGAACAGCGTTGCAATAGTTCCTACGTTGCGAAGGTACGGTGTGAAGCCAACCAAGAGGGGCCTCGTTGCAACAGTGGCTACGTTGCGAAGGTACCTGGGTTGAAGCCAACCAAGAGGGGACGTTGCGAAGGTTCCTGGTTTGAAGCCAAGCAAGAGGGGCCCCGTTGCAACAGTTGCTACGTTGCGAAGGTAGCTGGTTTGAAGCCAACCAAGAGGGGCCCCGTTGCAATTGTTGCCACGTTCGAAGGTACCTGGTTTGAAGCCAACCAAGAGGGGCCCCGTTGCAAAAGTTGCTACGTTGCGAAGGTACCTGGTTTGAAGCCAACCAAGAGGGGCCCCGTTGCAACAATTGCTACGTTGCCAAAGTACCTGTTTTGAAGCCAATTAAGAGGGGCCGTGAAACCCACTGACCGACACGCGCAAGGCCAACTAAAACAGATTCACGTTTTGTTTTTGTTTTTTGTTTTTTTTTTCCCCGATCATGTGTGGTTTCTTTTTGAATTGAGTTGACCGACATCTCGCAACACATGGAACACCCTTTGTGGTTGGAAGAGACACATGGAACACAATTCACCCCAACCTGAAGGTACTTGGGGCTTGGTTGCTCACACGTGTGTAGCCGTGTAGCTGTATGGTCACCCCTCCCCCCCAGGGCCTACCTTTGCTCTCTTCTAGTTGAAGGTGTCAACTCTTATATATGTATATATATATATATGTGCACTTTTAGGAGGGACCAACCACTCTGAGCCAACCCTAAACCAACTGCCGGGGTCCTTATAATGCCCACACCCTATTTGCCGGAATCCACCCCAAGACAGGGTCCCTGAAAGGATTCATATGGGCTGATTTGGAGCGTCTCCTTGTGAAGTAGTTGGTGTTTCGGGCATATGCCAGGAACCTTGCAAGAACAGTGGTTTCATTGTGTTTTTTTTAGTGGTGAGGTTCCTACTAAAAATAAGCTCAGGTGATATCCCCAACAGTTTTTAGTGCTCGCACCGCAGCCCTCGCAGAACCTCGTGGAGCCCTCGTGGAACCTTACCTCCGGACCACCCCGGAGCCTATCGGGGCTGAGACCCCAAAGCTCTCAGCTGTTGGGGAAAAATGGTCAACCCGAACTAAGAAGCAAGCATTCTACAGGACCTGCGCCAAGCCCTCGTATTTACAGGCTTATTTTGCAAACGTTCTGCTCTGGTGAAGCGCCATGTGGATGGATGAATTCCTGCACCACCCAATAAACCCCAGAAGGATGATTCCCCCCTGTAAATACGAACCTGCGTTGTGGTTTCAACCGAAAATGAATTCCGTCCATCCGAGGTAGTAAGAATGGTCAGCGGATGGCTGTTGGTCAAAAATAGGGTAACCCAAACTGAGCCCTAAATGGAGCCAAAGACTAAAACCTGCGGTCCTCTGGTTAAGTTTTGACCCATCACATGGTCAGCCCCAGGTGAGCCACAATCACAATCCGGGCTGATGAAAAGTAGTAAGGGACAATCTCAACCATAAATGGCCGCTGTCTGAAAATTCTTGCAGCGTGGTTCCAGGGATCGACCCGTGTTAATACCGGGTTTGAATATGACACAGGTGTTGTTCTAGGCATACCTTCCCCATTCTTTCCAGGGATCCGAATCTTTCTAGCAAACCTCCGGAAACCCATGGGAAACGGATCTGGTTTTTGGAAAGAAGGATGGTTGAAACGAATGGAAAAGGAATCAAACCCTAGAGTTGCCTTGACTGCTATTGGGTAACGGATCTTTAGACTGTAACGTTTTGGTTGAAATCAAGTTGGGTTTCCCACTAACCCCCCCAAAAGTGATCAACTTTTTGCAGGGGGGTCAGCAGTAACCAAGTTGCGTGCGTTTTTTTTTCAGCTGCAAACCCCACCAGATTCATCTTCTCGGTGAGCGTGGACCTGGGCAGCACGGTGCAGCTCACGCTCCAAGGCTTTGCGGGCACTTTCTTGGCCTGGCTGCCCCTTGGAGCAATCGGTGTGGTTTCGCTCTCGTTTTCAAAACGGTGAAAACAAAGACGCAGAGAAACACATGTTTCACGTTGTATTTGTTTTTTGGTGTGCTGTATTTTTACAATACAAATATGCATACGCATATGTACTACACATATTGCGTTTGTGTTCCATGTGATGCCACATGTTCATCGTGACTCGTGGACTCCACGCTTTTGCCATTTTTGATTGGCGTGTTGGGACCCAACAAATTTTGAATCGCCGTAAGCCGAAACGCTTCCAGTTTTGCTTCTAGCTTCGGGCCAACGGTGGCGACTGAGCAATGTACAAGGCTGGAAGCGTGGTGAGTGGCCGTTTTCCCTTTCCCCGCGAAGGCCTTCCAAATTACCTCAGCCATGCTTAGTCAAGGAGCCGACATGATTCTGAAAAAGCTGTCCCAGAGCCCACGTTCGGAAGCCCACGCAAGGTGTTCAAGCAGTCTCCTCCGTTGGAAGCTCCGCAGAAAGACTAAGAAGACTACCCCCGGACCGACTAACATGGAATTGCACAGACCCCTGTAGAAAGACGACTTGCTGCAATTTGCTTTCTGTCTGACTTTCGGCGGGAGGCCCACGACGGAAGTTCTCGGCCCAGGCCATCTGGTTGGGTTGGTTGGTTGGTTGGTTGGTTGGTTGGTTGGTTGGTTGGTTGGTTGGTTGGTTGGTTGGTTGGTTGGTTGGTTGGTTGGTTGGTTCGTTGGTTCGTTGGTTCGTTGTTCTGTCAAACCATTTGGACCACGTTCGGCACAGGCACGCCCGCACACCCGCGGAAGCCACAACGAGCCTCGCGGAAGCCCACGGAAGCATTTTGGAACAAGGGCGCGGACGGGTTTGCGGAACCGGCAAGAATGTCAACATCATATCATGGTTGTTCTTGGGAAATATTTAACATTCTTGCTTATGGTGGTTTAGTGGGGAATCCAACCACTTGCCTGCTGAAGTTCAAAATTTTTGCTCCCCTTCCAACGTCGACCAAGAAGGGCGGCAGCTTAGAACAGTGCTGCTCCAACTCTCCACGGATGTCGGGCCTGAGGAACGCGATGTTCCTGAACCGCGGGCTCGGCTTCTTGCTGGGTGGGGGCGCCTATGCGCACAGCTTCAACGTCACGGATCCGGACGGGAACCAGGAGCGGGGCCTCTTTTTTTTTGTCCGGCCGAAAGAGATTGAAAAGAAGGAGGTCCAACAACGCGCCGAGCTTGGGCAAGCAAAAGCAGGGTCCGGCCGGAGCAAGGCAGAGCCGAAGCACCCCAAAAGGATCCAAAAGGGGCAGTACCGAAAGGTTGCCCCAGAGCAACGGATGAACAGGGTTCTCCCAAGATACATCCATGATTCACCAAAGTCATCCAAATCAGCTAGCTAAAGTGATATTCCTGAATAGCACTGCATTTGTTTAACAATCCAGTGGAAAGGCTGCTAATTTGAGTGTCGGCTTGGAGTGATGCTCAAGGGAAAAGTACAGAGAACCCAACCCAAGAAGCACCTATGTGTGTGTATATAAAAAGTGGCACCATCGGGCCTAGTCGTGTCCTTCTTGGCATCGTTGGTTGAAGAGTGTCCTTTTTCATGTTTTTTTTTGGGATGCTTGCAACGCGTAGAACAGATGGCGGGTTGCAAACAACAACTTCCTGATGGCACCGTCAACTTTCGATGGGATCCCCCTTTCTACAAGTGGGGTGTGGGCCTTCTCTTTTTTGAAACCATACCCCAAGAAACCTCTCTTTGTGAAACCACAAGGCAAACATACCCAGGGAAACTGACCCATGCACCAAACCGACCCATCAACCCTGTCCCAGCTACGTGCCACGCGTTCGGCTGGAGGTAACTTTGTCCAAGTGGCTGCCGCTGTGCAACAACGGGGTGCAGCGCCTGGCGAGCGAATCAGCCCATTGCTTCCTGAACGTTTGGCTCGATCAGGCCCGTTGCTTCTTTTTTCATTCTTTTTTTTGGGGGGGCCACCAGAAAAATGCGGGGATCTTGTTTTGGGGTTGGTTGGGTTGGACTCAAGGCAGGGTGGTTGGTCCCTCCAAAACGGGGAGAGAAAAGGACCCGGCACGTGTGTCCTGAGTTTGAATGGTTTTGTGGGTGTATCCAAAATCTGGCTTGGACCTCCACAAATGCTTGGAGCGTCCTTCTGGCATACCTCTACTCTTCTTTTTCACCCCATCCTCAGATTACTGGCAGCCAGCATCCCACAAACATATTCCTTTGGAGGGGCCCCGGGCTCGTAGTGTGTGAAGCCGAAGTGTTTTAAAGTGAGCATCCAGCCCTTCTACATGAGCCCCACTTTCTTTACTCGTCATTCACGCGGGGACTTACTAAATTGGGTCATTAGCTACTTACCAACTGGGCTGGTCATCCAAATGGGTGCCACTCGACTTCACAGACCGCAAGTTGAATCAGACATTGCTTCGCAGCATGCGGCATTCCACACGCGCCAGGTTTCCGCGAGAGGATTCCTGTCATTCTTCGCCGTGTCCATAGACTTTGTGCTGTTCGTCATCTTTTGCGCCTGGCTTTGGGAGGGGTTTCGTTTCGGCGGGAAATGCTTGACCGTCTTCATGTTCTCCAAGCTCGGTTGCTCCATTTCTATCCAGGAGTTTCACCTACTCACCAAGTGGGGGCATATAGGTATGCAGAGAGTATCTATGCAAGTATGCATCCATTTCGCCTGGTGATGTGCACCGAAGTGCATTACTGCCAGCAGACTCCCACGGACCAACCCACACTCACAGGAGCCACCGTCAATGTCCATATGGGCACTACTATTTATTTTGCCCCTCAAATCCGTATCATGGCCTCATGGCCCTTCTCATAGCTTCCGAGCCAGTGAGATGCCGGCAGATCTGAGGCTTGTCTTTGCCGTTCGCGGCGAACCCTCGGATCTTTGCGCTGTCCACACACGTCTCTTTCCTGACGCCTGGCTGAACGTCGCGGCGGGTAGGATTTTCTGCAGGGGCCTGCCAGGCGCTCAGGGGCTTCAAACCCCAGGCGCAAGGACTGCACTGCCAACTGCTGCTTAAACAACGCAGACACATGGATGGCTCCGAATTTGAGCAGGGAACCCGGGAACCCCTCAATGATGTCCACAATTCCAGACCCCGGTGTCCAAAGGCGGTTTCTTGTGCGTGTTTTCTGTGAAAGGCGAGTATGTTTGTCCAAGCTCAGCTGATATCATTGAACAATTCGGGCGCCGCACGTGCTCAGGACCAAAGTGTGCAAAGACTTGACCTATTCCAACAAAACAAGCGGACGGATTACCAAAGGACAGGCTGCAACACATAGATTCACCGGTGTAAAAATTAATGGCAGCAAACGTGCTTTCACGCTACAAAACAAGCTTTCAGGCCAATTTCCCGGTATTTTCACGGTGATTTCACCCTGCTTTGTCGTAGATTACGGACCGCTATATTCACACCAAAATTGGTGTGTCAAGACATGTTGGGGTGGAACTGGCTTTGTAGAATCTAAAGGTGGCAACAACATGAGTAATCCATCAAATACCACGCCACGGCTCATTGCAGGCGCAAAAAGCAGGTTTCAGCTTCAACAAATCAGGCGAAGTGCAAGGGACGTTTAAAAAACAGTCATGGATTTCCAGGGCAGAGGAATCTCTTGCAATTGAAAACTCACCTGCCGGGAAAGGGCGAGATATTCCAGAGCTGGTTTCATTGCAGCTCGTCAGTTAGTTCTTGCCTAGCTTCGTCCCAAACCCGCAACTCGAGCCGAAAATTGTGGGTTGTCCTTTGGTGTGATTTGTTTAACAACCCTACGCATGCAACCCCCAAGAAGACACACCTGTGTTTGATTCATATTAGGATCCCGAGACTTTTCAGAAGGTTCTCGGAAGAGTCCCTTCAATCAGAAGGTTCCTTCAGAACCCTTTCGAACCCTTTCCGGGGGATGGAGTTTAGGTTCTCTGACTTTCTTGCTAATGGCGATTTTCCTTTGAAACAAGCCAAGGTCGTCTTTGGTCTCTCCCAGTTACCACTAGTCGGCAACCAAACATGTTCCATGTGGATTCTACAGAGTGGTTCCTTGGTTGCCAGCCATGCTGCTAAATGACTCACCGGGTTCGGTTTCAATCATTGTGCCGAACACCCGGGTCAAATTTCCTCCCTTGAAGGTACCAAGGGGCGCTTAGAGAAAGACACCGGCTGCCTCCACTCGGCATGTTCTATTAGGTTCTATTTTGAAGATTCACACCCATACCGTGGATGGACAGAATCCATTTCACACCAGTTGGAAACCATGGTTGAAACCAAATGTGTTGTTGGTATTTACAGAGGGAATCATCCGAAACCAGGGTCTCTGAGGTGGTGCGTTGGATGGATTTCGCAACCATCCACAGTATGGTTTTTCAGAAACCTCCTGGTGGAGCCACATTTCCCCACCCTTGGCCCGAGGATGGTCTTCGTGGACCCTTCCGGAGACAGCTTTTCCACAGAGCCCACCTACGCCACAGCCGCTTTGCTTCGCCGACCTTGGCACTGCGAGGGGTTGGAGGGTTTGAACAGGGCCGCTCTTTTCAAAAGTTGGCACTTGAGATGGGGGGCTGGCCATTCCTATGCTGTGCTTTGTCCAGAGCTTTGTCCAGAGTTTTTCTTTGCAAGCGCAATTGACACCAGGTCTCCAACAGTGAGTATCAAAAAGTCCCCACCGCGTCACCACCGTTCGTTTTCGTTAGATCCGATCCCACTCAAACATTGAGTATTTGCATGCTCCCAAGATCCGAGGACTACTCAACAAAGTATCAAAAAGTCCCACCACCTTTGTTCTTAACCTGTCCATAACGACGTTCTTTTTCCTTAGATCCCACCTGCGTCCGCCTTTTTGCTCCACTCAAAAAAATCCCCACCTTGTCCCCCCGTTTTCTCTGCCTCAGAAATCGAGTAGCAACAAATCCCACGTCCCCCCTCCCAAAAAAAACATTTGGCCCAAAAAATCCCAGGACCTGTGGACGTTTCGTTCGCTCCCAGGACTACCTCTGGATGATCGCCCTGGCCTCCGTGATGGCCTTGACCCTCAGTTGTTCAGTGGCACCAATTCCTTTTTCCCCTTTTTTTTGGTGGCTGCCCCCACTAAAAATGGTCCAAGCCCTTAAAAAAAAGGTTCCTTTTTGCACCTTTTTTCCTTTTTTTTGGGGTGGCTGCCAAAAACTACAAATGGTCCACGCCCCACACAGAGCCAATTATTTGTTCCATTGTCACTGAACAGCTGAACAACTGAGATTTGGGTCGTGGTTTTTTGGAGGTCGAAAGCTCAAGGGATCCCCTTCAACACCCCTTCAACACCCACAGAATTCCGTCCCAAAGTTCCCAGCTTCCATTTGCTAAAGCATGTGGTTTGTTTGCCCTTGGTTGAGCAGAGGACTCCGAATTCTGTCCAAAAGTTCCAAATAAGAGCTTCCATTTGCTAAAGCATGTGGTTTGTTTGCCCTTGAGCAGAGGACCCCGAATTCTGTCCAAGAGTTCCCCATGAGCGTCCCCATTTGCGAAAGCTTTTGGTCTATTTTTGTTTCCCCTTTGCGAGGACCTGCTTCTTCGTGCCCAAGCGCCGCTTCACCGCCACGGAGGCGGCGGCCCGCTGGGCCGCCGAGGCCACCGCCACCAGCGCCGCCCTGCTGCCCCTGAGCTGAGCGAAGGGAAGCGAAGCCCCGGGGGGGGGCGCCACGCAGCGGAATAACCCGAAGCAGCCGGAAACCCAAAGCAGTGGATTTTCGTTTGGCAGGTGTGTCTAAAGAAAGGGTCTGACATGAGTTCTTTTGTGACATTTTGGGTCTTCCTGTTTGTTTGTTGTTTGTTTGTTTTTTTTACTTGCTGACTGGCACCCATCCGTGTGAGTAGCTCGTGGGGTTCGCCTGAACCCGGACGTCGCCGAGGCGGCACCTGCCGGACACGCTGGACGAGGTGCTGAAGCTCAGGGCGAAGTCCGCGCTCGAGGCGGCCGAGAAGACCGTACAGGACACAAAATTTAGATGGGTAGTTTCTCACCCAGCCAGTGGACACCACCACCACCACCACCACCACCACCACCACCACACCACCACTTCTTTCTTGGTCTGCTCTCCCTTTATTTTAAATAGTGGTGGCCCAAAAAGTCTAGTGTACACTTTCTTGGGCTGCTCACTGGCCAAGGATTGGATGCCCAGAGGCTCCTGGAGGCTCCTGGCTTCGGATTTCAATGGAAGACCCAACCCCGAAGCATCAGACACCCCCGGGAATTTGGTGGTTGGGACCCGGTCTCAAAACCAGGTGGCTTGAAGGCCCCAAATCAATCGGTTTTTTTTGGGTGGGCAGATTCCTTGGGTCTCCCAACCCTTCATTTGTTGGATATATTCGAGCCTAGATTCAAGGGTAGGCATATTAGTTGTTTCCTGTGTGGTTTAGATGGAGTTTCCTGCTGGTTGTCGTTTTTTGGTGGCTTCTCAAATATTGGCTTGGTGTTGCCTTGATGGGGGAGGCACCTGGGGTCTACTCCGGAACCGATTCTATGTTTGTAAGATAGGCTAAGGTTGAAGCATACTTTGACCACATTATTTGTTTCCTGTGCAGCTCAGATCTTGGCCAAGATTGAACAAACAGATATAAAGTCACTATACAGCCACTGTATACACTATATACGCAATTCAACCCCGGTCCCTTTTGGGCTGTTCTACATCAAGCCTCAATCTTTATGCTTGATAGTAGCTCCCTCCTTACAAATGCAATTTGTCGAGAGGGGTTCCCTGGAATTTCCCTGTAAATAGTTACGTAGTGTCGAGTCGGATGAATCAACTTGGTGGATTACTTGGTCAAGTTGCACCCAAAAGTCCACCTAGAAGTGAAGGGTTCCATAGTACATTAGCACCCACCACGGGGCATCGCTGAAGAATTCCAACCTGTATACCCTTCCGTCATTGAAGCCTCGGAGAAAATGGTCCAAAGCAGGACCCTGCAGTTAGATTCCATTGGACGAGAAGGTAGGCCACCGCGCAAGAGCAACAAAGGAAGCCAAGCAGAAAAGCACCCTTGTTTGTCATTCTACCCTGGCAGAAGCTTCTTGTTTGTTGTTTTGATGCTTTCCAAATTTTCATGCGTCAACCGTCGATATTTGCCGCGCAGGAGCTGGAAAAGACGTTGGCCAGCTCCTGTTTCGAGCGTTTCGCTTGGCTCAAATGCGGGGAGGCATCGCTCCGCCACCGGCGCCTCTACCTCACCGCCAGCTGATCCTCGGCGAACTCAGTCGGTCGTCACGCGTCGCCCGCAACGTTCGTGGAGGAGGGAGCGGCAAACCTAAAACGACAACGGTGGCTTCGCTGTGCCCCTCTTGCATAGGAAACGGAAAATAGGCTTGCAGGTCCCTATTTCCCCGAGTTGAGACTCTTTGGCAATTTGGGATCAGAACCCCCCCCCACAATCTACACGCAACCATGGTACAGATAGACTCTTTTGACATCCTGAAAGAAAGACCTCAGGTTGCAGGCACGGAGCAATAGACTATAATAGACTCTTTCTGTGGATCAGGCGATTATTCCCCCCCCCCAAAAAAATAAGCTCGGGCGATATCCCCAACAGCACCACGCCCTCCCACAATCCTCGCGGAACGCCCCGGGACCATCCTTACCGCCGGTGTTGCTGAGGATGCCGCCTTGTAAAGCAAAGCTACGAGTGACAGCGCAATCTCGCCCTGATCGGGGCCCGACGGCGCAATCGGGGCCCGATCGGGGCCCGACGGCGCAATCGGGGCCGATCGGGGCCCGACGGTGCAATCGGGGCCCGATCGGGGCCCGACAGTGCAATCGGGGCCCGATCGAAGCCCCCGACGGTGCAATCGGGCCCTGGTGCAACCCCAGCCACCCATATTATAGCTCATCGCCGGTTTTCTTTAGCATGCGGATTGCAACTGTATCTATAGCAAAAACGAGGCGATGCCAGCTTGGTACAATTGACGGGGCCCGACTGAGTCGGGCCCCGATCGGGGCGCGATGGCGCAATCGGGGCCGATCGGGCCCAAACGGTGCAATCGGGCCCCGACAGTGCAATCGGGCCCCGACCTAGGCCCGGTGAACCTCGCAAACCGTTCTCATGCAACTTTCGTGGAGCTCAGCGTGAAACTTTGTTGGAACCTTTCCTCAGGGCTGCCCCATAGCTTTTGCAGAATTTGGTGGAAACCTTCTGACTTCATAGCCCACCCTGCAGCCCTCTCCGAACCTGGTGAAACCCTGGCAGAACCCTGGTGGAAATCTGGTGGAACCCTCGTGGAACCTTACCTCAAACCACCCCACCCTTGCAGATGGTGGAACCCTGGTGGAACCCTGGTGGAACCCTTGTGGAACCTTTTTGAAAGCCCGGACCACCCCGCAGCCCTCGAAGAAATTGCCTCGTGGAACCTTACCTCAAACCAGCCCAGACCACCCCGCAGCCCTTGCAGAACCTGGTGGAACCCTGGTGGAAACCTCGCAGATGGTGGAATTATGGTGGAACCCTGGTGGAACCCTGGTGGAACCTTAGCTCAGGGTCGCCCCGAACCACCCCGGAGCCTATCTGGGCTGAGACCCCAAAGCTTTCAGCTGTTGGGGAAAAAGAACAAAAACCTTCTCCCCCCCCCATGTTTTTTTTAAACTTATCCACCCCCCCAAAACAAAAGAAATAGAACGGAACAAACAGGGGCCGGATCCACAGGTCTGCGCCGGATCCTGCAGCGGCTCCCCTCCGCCTTGCGTGCCGCCGAGGAGGCCAAGGCCGCCGAGGCGCCGACGGGCGGGCGAGCGCGTGGCTTTAGGTAAACCCAAGTTGGTGGTTTTGGGGGGGGGGGGGGGGTATTTTGGGAAACAAATCCTATAACCTCCAAACCACCAATCTCAAGCACCAACCAAAGGTCAAAACCAAGAAGGTGAAAACCAAGTCTCTGTTTCCTTTTTTTTCAGCAAAATAGCTTGAAAAGAATTGCTTTTTAAGCAATTGAGCTGGAAAAGCAATGTGGCTGTGGGTCAAAACCAATGGTACCATTTTTGGTTGGTAGGTGAATTCACCACCCATGTTAGAACCGATTTTAGCAGGGATTGGGATGTTCACTGGGGGTACAGGCTTTTGACCCATGGCCAAATGGGTGGTTGGGTGATTTTGGCCAACAAGACCTATAACCTTTTGTGGTTTGGCTGATTTTGGCAAATTCAGGACCTACAACCTTTGGTGGTTTGGGATTTTGGCAAGCAAGACCGATAACCTTGCTGGTTTGGTGGATTTTGGCAAATTCAAGACCTACAACCTTTGGTTATTTCGATAATTTTGGGAAATTCAACACATACAACATTTGGTGGTTTGGGGGATTTTGGCAAACAAGACCTACAACCTTTGGTGGTTTCGGGGGTTTTGGCAAGCAAGACCTATAACCTTTGGTTGTTTCGGAGATTTGGGGAAATTCAAAACCTATATAACCTTTGGTGGTTTGGGGGATTTTGGCAACAAGACCGATTTTGGCAAATTCAAGACCTAATTACAGCCTTTGGTGGTTTCGGGGATTTTGGCAAGCAAGACCTATAACCTTTGGTGGTTTCGGGGATTTTGGCAAGCAAGACCTATAACCTTTGGTGGTTTCAGGGATTTTGGCAAGCAAGACCTATTATAACCTTTGGTGGTTTCGCGGATTTTGGCAAGCAAGACCTATAACCGTTGGTGGTTTCGCGGATTTTGGCAAGCAAGACATAACCTTTGGTGGTTTCGTGGATTTTGGCCAACAAGACCTATCACCTTTGGTGGTTTGGGGGATTCTGGGCAAAGAAAACCTACCTCCAAAGCACCAATCTCAAGCACCAACTAGAGGGAAGCGGATTCTTTGCTCTCTTTGAGCTCGAGCTGGGCAGTCCTTCCTTCCAACTGGCGGATTGGAGTTTGGCGGTGTGGATTGGTGGTTTGGTTCAGGAGGGGTTTCCTGCTTCCAAACCAGCAATCCAAACCAGGGCTTGCAAAAGCCAGGGCTTCAAATCCAAACCAATTGCAATGGATGACCCTAGCAATCAAGACCAAACCCCAGCACCCCCTAGCTGGCAAATGGCCGCAACAAATCGCCATTCGGAGGTCACTTAGCAGACTATGAGACAGACCAAGGCTGGCTTTCCCAAGACCCAAACCTTTCGAAGTTGTCGAATGGTTCGCGGATTTCGGTGCCAAATCGACTTTCTGTTTAATAGCTTCAACAAAAGGGATGGGTAATTCTTCTGATTTCCAGAGCGTGTATTGAACGCCCAGTTGACACACCCAGCCAAAACCAGTCAGCCCCATCCCCACAACCTCCTACCCCCCCCCCCCCCTTTCCCCAGCCCCCGCCAGCCAGCAGCCTCCCGAATTCTGGCGCAGGTCAGCGCCAGCGTTTTCTCGGCCCTGCGGCGGTGCTGCCACGAGGCCGCAGATCAGCTGGAGATGCTGCGGGAGAACTCGGCCCCGCAGGCGCCCCAGGTGCGGGGGGTTGGGGGGAGGGGGGGGCAGAGGGCAGTAGGGGGATGGGATGCAGGGGTCAGACAATTTGTTTGAATCATCCCCTGGCCGATTCCCAAAGGGAATCCAGAAGGGGGTATTGAGCAAGCAGTGTCTTTTAAAACAAGAGCTTGGCCCAACCCTGGGATGAAGGGTTGTTGTTCCCAGGTGTTTTCAATCAAGAAACGAACCAAATCTGCGGGCTCCTTGGCTTCAAATCGGAGCTGAGTGGCTTGAAGTGAACAGCTTTAAAAAAATGTGTTGGGGTTCTCGAAACAAATACTGTCAGCAGTGCTTTTACTGGATGTCATTATAATTACCCAGGGCGCGGATATGCGAGGGCCAGGGTTTTGCAAAAATGGTGAGCAAGCAGGCCACGGAGGGATGATTAAACACAACAGCTGTTCAAACATTGTTTAAACATGGTTTGACTAACCCTCCTCGAAGGGGGGGAATGTTTTTACACATGGTTACACCATTTTAGGGATTTCAGTGTTTCTGCAGGATTGACGGAGGCCACGCAAAATAGTCTCTAAGTGTGCATGGTCTGGAGGATCTACCTGATAAATGGGTGGCTTCCTGCTGTCTAGAAATTTCTACAGGAAGTGAACCACATACAAGTGTAGGTTTGGGAAATCCAACTGGTATCTTAGATTTGGTTTGCTTTTGGTCCCGCCAGACGGGGTGTATTTCCACAAAATGCCTCGCGGCGATCACAGCAACACGTCGCCAATTTGGAGAACCTAAAGGCCACAAAGTCAGACGAAGTGTCCAGCCAGATGCTGAAGTTGCGGTTTGGAGCTAAGGTGAGAAGAGGAAGCGCCCGTTTGAAACGCTCGGTTCCAATGGCCGTCGCTTTGGCTTCCTGCACTAAAGGCTGAGCTCGGAATTCACAGAACCTGCAGAGAAGTCAAACCCTGCAACTGGGCAGGAGGAGGGCACCCTTAGGCAAGAAGCCATAAGCTCCAGACAGGAGGTTTGCCTTTTGGCCACTCTTTGTTCGTGTGTTTTGAGAATTCGAATTGGAGTAAGGGACCCCTTTTTGAGTGCAGACACCTTCTATTTTAGGGAAGCCCTTCGTTTTCACCAGAAGGTCAGAAGGCAATTGTGTGCTATCTTGCGCCTGGGTTTCCATTCTCCAATTTCGGTCCAAAGTGAACATTTCGAGTTCTCAAAATTGTTTTTGTGGGTTGTCTTTCCCTTGAAGCCTTGTTTTCGGAGAATCGTATCTAAGTGACGTCCTGCAAATGATGTTCCAAACAATTGTTCCTAACAATTGGCCTAAAAGGAGACAACCCTGATGTTCCAAGCAATTGGCCTAAAGGGAGACAAGCTGAGAACAATTCTCTGAAAACAAGGCTAGGGAGAGACAACCCAGGAAAAAGCAAGTTGGAGACCTCGATTTCTTTTCGATGTTCGATGCCGCAGGAGGACGGCAAGCAGCTGCTCTCCGAGCTTTGGCGCCAGGACCCCGGCCCCGCCTCACGGCCCCAGCACCCCCCCCCCCCCCGGCCCCCCTGTGTCACCCCCCCCCCCCGTGCCATGGACACCTAGAGTTTATTTTGCAACCATAACATGGTTGTTGGCAAACGTTTTACATTTTTGCTTATTGTGTTTTAGTGGGCAATCCCCACTTCACTGCTGAAATTTATTTCTTTGCTCCCCTTCCAATGTCAACCAAGATAACCCAAAAACCAATACAGTACCCTAAAGAAGGAGGTTGCCCCCCAAACTCCCCCTGAACAAGACCTGATTGAGGTGTTATTTGAAGGAAACCATCGGAGCATTGGGAGAGGGATTTGAATCAATTGAATTGAGAGACGCCAACATGGGGGTGGACACTTGAAAGGCCTGTTTGCCAATCATTTCATTTGGTGACCGGCTTTAATTGCCAGAGTTAAGCAACCTTTTGCCAGTTGATCCTTTTGGTTTTCCTTCATTATCCCCTTTTGACAGCAAGAACGTTCGTCCGAGCCTGGCCAAGTTTGGGCTAATACTGCCACTGCTAGGGTCTGGCTTCGGGGGTTGGGACCTGTTAGGCCGCCTTTGGGTTCCCTTTTCAAGGGCGGCCAAGGTTTGGTGGATTCGTTCAAGTAGGCTTAGCATTTTGGGGCTCCGAATGACCATGGGACGTACCATGGCTAAGCCTTCTTCGTTCAAGTAGGCTTTGGCTTCCCCTGAGGGGCAGAAAGGGGAAGCCCTTTGGTCGCTTGAAGCCAGGAGAGCCGAGAGATGAACTCGGAGGTGTGCACCTTTGTGTTCTGCATCTCCGGCGTGCTGGCAGAGGCGCGGCGCGTTGCTCAAGCAATGCTGGTCGTGCCGTAGAAATGCGCGGTGTCCTTTCCCTTGGCGACTTGACACGGCGTAGCAAGATCCCGCAATTGAAAGCGATCAAGAAGTTTGGTGCATTTAGCTTGGATGTTGGGACTTTAGCTTTTTGCCAAATTTCTGGTGTTTTCCATATGAAACCACTAAAAGTGAACAACTTCTAGCCGGGCTTCGCAGAAAGCTGGAAAGCCAGAGCCTGGTGGCCCACACGTGTGGCTCAAGCACATGCTGGTCTAAAAGGCCTTCCGGGACAGAGATCACGAGCTTGAGGCAAGTGCGTGGGTGAAGATTCCTTTGTTACTTTGGGAATTGATCGAATTCTAGGAGTTTGCCCAGATCCAAACCGACCTGACCTTGAAGCAGGGGTTGCGCCAAGGCTGCAGGATATGCAAAATCCTGAGCCAAGCTGTACGCAGCGGGATTCGGGCGCATGGCCCCTGAGGTGGATAGCGCCCTCGCGGACTTTGAGCGACATACCGCTGCCTCGGGGTCCTTCACAACGGCTGCGGGTTGGTATGCGGCTCGCCTCGCATCGAAGTCACCCCGAACGGGGCACACCACAAAATGGCTGGCGGATATATCTATAGAGAGAGAGAGAGAGATAGATAGATAGATAGATCGATGCATATTTACATAATCTTTGCAAATAATAATCCGAAGGCATATATTACCGTGGTCGGCCTTCTTTATGTTGGGCTGTGGCCTTGACATCATGAATGCCATGGTACGTCAAGACGAGTGCCAGATAGCTGCAACAGAAAATAGCAATGCTTCCGGGGCGATTCACATGCTTGTTGAAAGTTTCACAGGGCTGAGATGAACGAGTTTGGGTCCGCCGCACCAGCTGTCACTGTTTAGAAGACCATTCCAGAGGCAGCTTGTGCAAGCTGCCGTCATTCGCTGTTGGTGGTCCGCGGCGCAAGCCTAAGTCATCCAAGATAAACAGGCCTAGGTCAAAGTTTTGTTGTCCCAGGTTGCCCTACCCCCCTCCCATACCCTCCCCCCCTTTCTCTGGAGACCTCACACACCACCCCAAACACGTCCCGTCGGGTAAGACTAAAGTAGACAGGAAGTCTTCCCCAAAACGGAGGATACCAAACAAATGGGGTGGGATCGGAACAACCATACCCTGAGCAGGTTCCTAACAAAACGACTCATTGCCCCTACTGTGGATGGGCAAAATCCTTGGGAAACCATTGTTCGCTGGTATCTACATGGGAATCATCAGAATCCAGGGTTTCTGAACGGTGCTGCAAAATGGTTTTCGCAACCATCCATAGCAACCAACAGACTCGTCGCCCCTAGGTCCCAGGGTCACTCGAGAAAACTTGACCCCTAAATCCCCAATTTTTTTTCCCCGGGTCTCAGGGTTCCGCCTGCAGGGTTCCGCACTCGGTCCACTCAAGAGGTGAAGATCAGAAACCAGGGTCACTCGAGAAAACTTGACCCTATTGTTTGTTTGCCACTGGAGAGGTGAAGAGCAAGGACTTCCTGCGCGCCTTGCTCTTCACCCAGAGCGACCGGGCCACGCACCCCCGCTTCGTGGCCCGCAACGCCATCTCCATCTGCGTGGCCTTCGGCGCCGCGGCGGGCGAAGGAAAGCGCGGGATCTGGTGAGGGAAGGCTGGTGGGGTGGAGCGGCCGTGTAACCACCCCAAGGAATTGCCAGATGTGCCCCAGTGACCCAGTGGTTGATAGAAATTGCTGACCGGTCCCTGAAAGATGCCAAAGTGGACCAGCGAAAGCAGGCCTCTTGATGTGTGGTTTGGAGGATTTGCAAAGGTTTGGATGTATGCTGTAAGGAACCCTGCTGAATGAAGGCGCAGAGGGTTTGGAGCAACAAGTGCCATTGGCAATCATTTTGCAAATGGGACATCCATGATGGCAAGGACACTGTAAAAGTAACATATTGAGAGTCCAGAGCACTGTTTGGGGGTTGCGACTTGTTTGAAGCATCGCCCTTGAACATGTTTTTCTCAGAGTGTTGGGGCACGGCTCCCCCACTTTTGCTTACGTTTTCAGAACATTGTGGAAACCGTCTCAAGAACGGAAAACGCTGCATCACAGCTGCAGCTTTTGGCTGGCTGGCTGGCTGGCTGACTAGCTAGCTGGCTTGGCTGCTGCGCATAAATAAACCAGACCCCGACCCAAAGCAGCGGAAAGCCAACATAAACCAAGACATTCCCCGAAACCTAACCTAAATTTATCTCTAGATTAATTAAGTTTTCTTGCTTTGCTTGATCCATTCTCGGCGCCCAGCCTCCAAGGCGTTGGCTGGCTCGGGATTTGGAATGTGATGCCCAGCTACTCGTCCTACTCTGCGGCGACCATTGCAGCGGCTCGGGTCAAGAACGTTGGGCGAATCTGTGTCTTGAGTTAGGGAAGCTTGTGCTCATTAGTTGGCCCTGAAGACGGAACAAGCGCGTGCATGGGCCATTGGCACCCCAGTTGGAGACAAACCCAGACAAACCCAGACAAACCAATCCGTGTTTTTATGTGAACGCAGGGGGCGAAACATGTCTTACAAGCTGAGCCATTCATCGTGTACAGTGCGATTAGCACCAGGCCGCATGAGCACTGCCAAACACCCAAAGCCTGTCGACTCCCCGAGTGCTTGGCAACGAAAGCAGGAAAGCCATCCAGCATGGCGTCCCCTCAGCTTGGGATTCAGGATGTAGAGACTGAATTGCATCCAGGGCCCACATGGGCCCACGGTCTTGATTCCCCTATGGCTATCCTTTCTCGCATCCTCCCTGCCAATACCCTCAACCTTACCTTGTTTCTCCAAGTTCCTGGGACAACAACTGTCAAGGTGCCAAGCAGGTGTTAACATGGTTGATTTTTTTTGCAAACTCTGGGATATTGTGACGTCACGCATATTGAAGGATCCGTTCATGAGGGGCCCTTATTTCACATGGGCAGAATCTGTCCATTCACCTAGCCGCAACTCCAAGTTCCAACTTGAGTGTATGATGTCAACTCCTGAAAAGGGGAGGTGCTTGCCAAACACTGTTTTTCACCATCTACCCTAAGTCCGGCGCCTTTTTTTCTTTTGGTTTGGCCTTTGATTTTGGGGCCCGGGGGCTGTCAGGTCATCGTCTACACCTACACGGGCGCCACGCCCTCGGTGACGTTGCGGCGCTTGGCTGGGGTGGTGTTGGGCAAAGTGGCGGGCTCCATCTTGCAGCTGGGCCTCGCCGTGAAGCGCCTTGGCTCGCTGAGCGCTGGGCGAGACTATGCGCGCGTGACGTGTATCGGGGTATCTGCCGATGGGTGCGAGAGATGGGTATGAGGAAAAATGAAATGACACCGAGGAACTCCAAGCAAAAAGGGCGGTTTAAGGGGACCCCCAGGTTCATTGCCTCATTCCCTACCTATCACACCAGCAAGTTCAAAGGGGTGTGGAAGGAAGCTCAGTGGGGGCCCTTCTTGAGTTGTTGGAAGGGCTAAATGGGTGGTTTTGTTTGTACACATGGAGGGGAGCGACCTCCCTCGATTTCAGTGGGTAATGTTACACCTCCTTTATTAATAGTCCACTCTATTGTAGCATTTTTCCGTAATTCAGGATCTTGTGACTGCTTTGGGGTCCTCAATTGCAGCATTCCCCCCCCCACAAAAAAGAGAGAAACGAAAGTGTGTTTTTTTCTCTCTTGATCTTGTCTGGCTCAGGCTAGACTAAGCCTTGGTAGCTCCTGTTGAGCTGGAAGCTGGTTCGGAGCTAACCTTGCTCAGGAGCTTGGCCACACCTTCTGGTCCTGCACAGTCTCAGTCTCAAATCTCAGTCTCTCTAAAACACGCACAGTCCTGAAAAGGGGATCTTCTTAGCAGCCTTGGCCTCCTGAACAACCCAATACCTCCAGGCACTGTTGGATGGACAAAATCCACTCCAGGCACTGTTGGGATGAGTGGCTTGTCAACCATCCCTCGGCTTCTGGGCTTTGGCTTCGCCTGCCAGATTGAATCTGTGATCAAAGTCAGTTATGAGGCCTCTAACCCGAAAACCTCACAGCACGGTTCAGCATTGGTCGGGGAAGGGAGCCTTTGCGATTCTTTACTTCTAGCCAGAGTCTTGGGTCGCCTGAAGCTTTTCACCTCATGGTTGCTGCTTACACAACAATGGTTTGTTCTTTCTTGGCGGCCGCCAACCGACCCCTTAGCTTTTGAGGCTTGTAGGGTTTAGTGGTAGTTTCCACTTCACCAATTAAAAGTGATACTTGCAGCAGGGGATCCTGAGGCCAGCTCAGCTTTTGTTTTTGTTCCTCTTGCTTGTGGTAATTAGGAACTGGGTGAATTATAACGACCTCACATTTTTGACAAATTCACACAAATGGATTAATTCGCAAGCCAGGAAGCCACGCCCCTGGTGATGTATGCAGTCTCAGGTTCCGCTTGGCATGTCGGTGCGAGGCATGTCCCCTCAATCATGGCCTTCGGCCTGGCGATGTGGCTGATCGCGGCCCGGCAAATGTTTCACCGCGATCCTTTCTTGACTGCTATTGGGTTGGATCTTCAGACTTTGGAAATAAAGGTGTTTTCCACTAAACTCCCAAAAAGTTCAACTTTTTGCAGGGGGGTCAGCAGCAACCAAGCTTTTAACCCTTTGGCGGCCGTGGCTTTTTCTCAGGGGGTTCTTTTTGGTGGGATTCCCGTGACTCAGAACTGGAGGGGTTTAGCTTATATACTAATCGGTCGACATTGCCTGTTCTTCCAGTCTTGCACTTTGCCTTGTGGTTCCAGGCCTTTTGCAGAAGTAAGCCTGGGACTATCTGTTGTGTTTTGATGCCCGTGTACTGCATGCAAAATAAGCCCACAATGTTGTATTTCTCTTGGGCATAAAGAGGGGGTACACACTTAGAGTTTCATGCCCCAACGTAGCACCTCACAATCACGAACGAAATCACGGGTGTTCTGTTTGTTCCCTGGAAATCCACTAATGCTGACCCCATATGAATCATCAATCAACCCCAGTTAATTAATACGGGGGTGAGGGCGCCTCCAAAGTGGTTTGATGCCCCACATTTCAGCCAGGGAAAAGCACTCCCCCAAATTGAAACTAAACAGGTTGGTTGAAATTCATATATGGGGTCGACGCATTACCCCCTGCTCACCTGTCCACCAATATCTAGGTCGCCCACCCTTTGACACTTTTTTGGAAGAAAGTTGGTAGTTGGCGCGCAGTGGCTTTCGTTTGGGAAAACGTAAGGCTCCCCTAAAAAAATCGGGTACCCTTATTCAATCCTCTCTACTGGAGGACCTAGAATATGTGTGGATGGAGGAAATCCTGCGCCAGATAAGAAACCCTGGAAGGATGATTCACCTGTAAATACCAGCAAACAAATGGCTTCCCATGGTTTCTTAGGTGGTGCGAAATGGATTTCGCAACCATCCACAGTATGGACCCCCGGGTTCCCCTACTAAAATAGACTACAGCGAACATCGGGTACCTTTCAAGGGTACCCTTATGCAAACCTCTCTACTGGGACCTAGAATATGGACCTTCTATGAAGAACTGGTTGGTTAAGAATGGAAATGGAAGGTACCCCTACGTAGAAGTATGGTCCCCCGGTCTAACCATGGTTGAAACCATTGTTCTTTGGTATTTACAGGGGAAACATCAGAAACCAGACTTTCTTAAGTGGTGCGACATGGTTTTCGTCCATCCACAGTATGAGCAGCTAGCATTTGTTTTGGTCTGACAGGGCTTCAGTTAGCACCAGTTGTCCTTTGGTTTTTAAAGGTGGTGCTCTACTGACCTCGGGATATCTCGCGAGGTGGGCCTCACCTTCTTCCAATTCCTCCACGGCTCCACGGACTTCGCCGGGGTCTGCGGGCTCACGGCGGCCTACGCGGCCGCCTCGATGATACCCTCCAACGGGGTGCTGCGGGATGCCGACGTCAATACCCAGGCCATCTCCACTGGTCTTGTTGTAAGTGTTTATGATTCATTATTGTTATGCCTATTATTAGTATGGATTATTACCATTATTAGTCGTAGTAGTAGTAGTAGTAGTAGTAGTAGTAGGAGTAGTAGTAGTAGTAGTAGTAGTAGTAGTAGTAGTAGTAGTAGTAGTAGTAGTAGTAGTAATTAGTTGTTGTCGTAGTGTTTAGCTGATGTGTTTACATATGTTAGTTGTTGACGTATTTATTTTTGTTTATGTATTTATTCGTTTATTTGTTGGTTGTTTGTTCGAGGGCGCCCGTCTTTGATAGGTTTTAACAGGAAGCCGGAAACCAAAAGGGCGCCAACCAACTACATTTTGGGGTCCCTTGTTTTGAGATGTAGGTGGGTGTTCTTGTGTGTTTTGTACGGTACTCTTCTCTGCTTGGCTTCAAGGAAGCCACAGGAAAGCTCGACCAGATTTCCAGAGGTCGCCAGAAAAATATGCATTGTGAAGGTGGTCTTCTCTTAGGAGCCGACATGGGGGACTTTCTAGATTTCTTACACCAAGCCAAACAGGTTCCCTTGAATTTAGGCAGTCCCTATATTGGGTGGTTCTAAACATCGCCTTTGTGGGCAATTTCAGAAGAGTGTCCCGTTGATTTCAAGGGGACACATACTGTGGATGGACGGAATCCTGCACCACTTTGAAACCATGGGAGACCGTTGTTTGTTGGTATTTACAGGAGAACCATCCTTCTGGGATTTCTTAGGTGGTGCAGGATTTTGTCCCTCCGCAGTAGGGAATCCTGTCAAACGGGTACGGTGGAACCCTGAGGCCTCCGTGCTGCCCACGTTGATGAGCCGCGGCGAAATCCAGCAAACCACGGCGCAAGGGAGAGGAGAGAGGGAAGCCCCAAAGCAAGCCTAAACCAACCCTAGACCCATTATAAACCAACCCTGTGGCTAGAGGAGAGAAGGGGAGAACGGCCCTCGGAATGTTGCTTGCTCTTTGAATTGCCCGGTTCCGAGCAGGAAATGTGTCCTTGTGGGCAATGGCTTTGGGACTGGAGTGGCGGATCTGACAACTCAGCAAAGTATTCAATACCATCGCAGGCAGTGGATATTCAGTGAGACTCATATGGATTTGTCTGAACATACGGGAACCCGCCAGCTGATACCCTAGCTGATGGTTGGTTTCCTTTTGTTCCAAAAAAAGCAAAAACTGAGCCCAGGGTGCCTCAAAAAAGACGAGCCACCCGTACTGTTTAAAACATTGAGCTGAGGAACACCATCATCCAGACAGTCCTGGGCATCGGTCTAATGCTGCGACTCGGCGTCGGCCTGAAGAAACTTCCTGCCCATGAGCCATCCCGTTTGGAGTGAAATTCCCACTTTGCCAGCTTGGTTTGCATAGATCCCCCGATTTTGAGCTATGCCCGTTCGACTTTGAGTTGATTCCTCGCGATTGAAGCAGAGATCCATGTTTGCATCCCCAGTTTTCACCTGCAAGCCGCGCGACTGGTCCCTGCCCATAGGTCCATAGCTTGAGATTTTGCCTCAGAGTTTTGCCTCAGATCCTTGTTGGCTACTCCCCTTCCAATTTCCAGTCTTCACCACAGGTCCATTCAAGCTTGAGATGTCGAAACAGTTGTGAGAGTCAAGGACGTACACCCGTGACGCCCGTCCATCAAACAACCTCTCATGTTAATCCTGGGTTCCATTTCGAGTCCGGAGTCCACTCGACACAGGAACCTAGCCCAAGGTGAATCCAACTGGTGATGTCCTGAACTCCTTATGTTTTTTGCATGAAAAAAGAGGGGAGGCAAACGAAAGAAATTGGGAGTCAAGAAGCGAGTATTTGGAGTAGAGTGCGTGGCGAAATCTCAACATGTTGCAAAGTAGGGAGCGAAGAACACCCCCAATAATGTTGTACTGCTTTGCTTTGGAGCACGGAATCTGTGCTTCCCCCTGAAACTGCCCACTCTTGGGTGGGCGTCTTTTTAAAGGGTATCCTGAGGTTTCAATTTCAAAGGGAAATGAAGCCAAAGGCGAACCACCTCTTCTAGGTCCCCCAGTAGTGCTCTTTTACCCTTTTTGGAGGGTTTCCCTAAAATAGACTACAGAAGAACCCTTATTCTAACCAGAGGACCCAGTCTTTCCCAAATTGAGACCCACAGCCCCATGAGGCCCACCCCCCCGACTCCCCGACTCCGCTCAGACCGAGACACCGAGGCTGGTGGACTTCCTGCTGGCCAGCCGCGCCACGCACCAGGCGCGGCAGCGGCTGCAGCGCTGCCTGCAGCGCCTGCAGAAGCTCTTCGAGACCTGCGCCACGCTGTCCTCGGACCTGCGCGAGGTGAGCTGGCTGTGGATGCCTAAGTTCCCAACTAACATAGAAGTTCAAAAAGGCCTTTTTCTACCAGGAAAGTCGTCTTTCTACAGGGGTCTGTGCAAGTGGCTGCGGTGGTCAAAACCGATGGGATCCCATTTTGGGTTTTAAAAAAATCGGTGCACCACCCATTTTAGAACCTGCTTTAGCGGTTGGATTGGGATGTTCACTGGGGGTACGATTTGGCTTTTGACCCATGGCCAGCTCGGTGCTGGGACAGTGGGACGCTCATCGCCCCTAGATTTCTGTTGTTTTTCAAAGGGGAGGATCTTCCGGACGCTCATCACCCCAACTGTGTGGTGTTCTTTTTGCTTCTTTCTTTTCTTTTCTTCTTTTTTTTTGGGGGGGGGGCGGGGGAGAGGTAGGTGGAACCTCCAAATTCTCATAGATGGAGAAGTTCATGCTGAGTCGGAGTAAGCCCTGAAAGTACTGGGCCAACTCTCTCCGGTGCAGAGCTTTGTCCATCTGCAGGGGTTCCAAACCCTTTGCTGGGCTGCTGCAAAGATCTTTTTCGTGGCTTCTTTTGGAAGCTCTATATAAGCTTAACGGCTGATTGTACACGCCCATATCTGAATCCAGGAGGCAGCCAAGGCACAATCAGACCATATCTGATGGTACTTGGAACAATGAAACACAGGGTTCATACCGGGGTTTATATGTATCTTTCTGTATATGCACATGCAAGATATATATATATATATACACAGATATATATTTATAGAGAGAGAAAAACGTACGCCTTCAGCATATGATATAACATGGGCAACTTCGTGCGATGTTGAAATGGACAGCCAAGCATGGCATTGAAAGGGTTCATTATCTCAATATAGGATATGGCGCCAAACTTGTGCTTCCCGCTTGGTTTCCTACTGCACAAACTCGAAAATATTGCCCACGCAACAAAAGACGTATTGATGTGAGAGTTGTGGCATGGTGTGGGAGAAGGCCAATGGCTAGTCCCGAAAAGGCGATCGAGTCCTCCTGCGTTGGATTTCTTTTAGGGCCTAGTCGAGCTCTCTAATGGCGCTGGTTGCAGGCCTCCCTTGTCTAACGACAAACACAAACCAAGAGGTGGTTGGTTTCCGCTACCTCTGGCTTTCAGTCTAGCTCAAAGCGATCAAACATGGAACCTTTGGTTGTGGCTCCTTTGCCAGGAGGCCGGAATCAAGAGCTTGGAGCAATGCAGGCGCTGGCCGCACAGTTACCGCTGGGTGCGTTTTTGTATGTGGGAGTCACTGAAACGATCCTGAACTGTTAAGCTTTTTCCAGATGTTTGAGCGGGAGCGTGTGTTGGTTGTACCCTCTTTGAGGTTGTTTTAAGCTGAAACTAAACGGAAGCTGCTGGTTTCTGGTGGTTTCCTATTTTCAGCATGGTTTCGCTGACAATACCTATCCGACCTCATGGAGACAAGCGCAACCTTCGGAGCACTTTCGGGGGGAGGGCCCTTGTTATGAAGACAAGTGTAAGCCGTCAGTTGGACATTCTCCTGTCACATTTCGTCCCATTCATCCGCAGCAACAAGGGACTGGCGCCATCTACCGGTCATATCCAATAGCACCTTAAAAAACTATTTTCCATCCGCAATAACAATACACTTGTTCTGTGGTTGTATAGATGTCTTTAGTAATATATTTTTTCATTGTTATATTACTTTAGACTCTTTTTCTATCTTGCTTTTCTCTTGTCTTCATCACTGCTTTCAGCATCAGGAACCTGGGGCTCGGCCAGGTGCGCCTTGCTGGAAGACCTGGACAAGCTCCGGGATCTGCTGCCGCACGCGGAGGCGGAGCCGGTCTATTGGTCCAAGCCCTTCGAGACCCAAACCTTCACCGACCTGGAGGCACGACCCGTCGGCCGTTGGCGGGGATGCTTCCTCCAAGTCCAGGCGGAGTGTCAATGCCTGGAACCCCAAGAGGTGTCGGTTTCCATCCAAACATTGTTTGGTTTTGTTAAAGGGGGGCATGTGAACCGGCAGGAGCATAAGGGGTCAACAAAATATGGCACAGGTCAACCTATACGTCATGGGGCTGCGAGGTTTTCTTCCCAAGGCCAAAGGGTGCCAACCCTGTGGTTTAAAGAAGAACCAGCGAGTAACCAGCGCAGTTTCCGACGTGTGCCCATTTGGGGGTACAAAAAGGGCCGGAGTGTGCCAACCTACATTTTAAGTACAGAAGGGATGTATTTGGGGTATGCAAGGCTGGAGGGGAATACAAGAGTACATCAAGGACTAGAACTTGTTTTACCATCTGTGACATCAGGCTGTGCCGGGTTTTCAACTTTGGGCGAGGCGTTGAAAGTGGAGGGGCCCCGAGGCTCAGCTGCGCCGCATCTCCTGGCACTTCGAGGCCCTCGCTTGGCTCCTGCAGATGGCGGCGCCTCGGTTTCGAGTCCACGGGACCTGGGCCGGGCAGAAACAAAGGGCGGTCCTGCTGCGCACGGTTGCCAAATCCATTTCCCACCTGAGAAACCCTGGAAGCATTTTTGATTTCCCTATACATAGCACCAAACTTATGGTTTCCCATGGTTTCAAAGTGGTGCAGGATTTCGTCCATCCACAGTATGGAGCATTTGGGGCGCCTGCCTGGACTTGATTCAGTGGATTCTTAATGGTTGATCTTGGGTTCGTTCCAGCACCAACTCATTTTAAACAATGTGTTTGTACTAAATACATGCTAAAAACACATGCAAAACGTCATGAATCATGTCCCAAAACAGGTATGTTAAACATTTTCATATCTTGGTTGGGGATTTCAATGTTGAACTTGTGCCCTTTGGTCGGGGTTGCTCCAGGTGGGCAAGTGGGCCATCCAGTGCAGATTCATTTGGCTTCGAGTGTGTTCTTCTTGTTTCAGAGGTGCGGCCCACAGAACATCCCCAACTTCTGACAAGTTGGCCGGGTCCCCTGTGGCCCCTCCACACGCATGATGTGTTTGCCATGCTGGAGCCAAACACGTGGAGCTTCGCAATGCGCTGAGGAGTTTTCGCGGCCGAGGTCGCGACAACTCGCTGGGTGAACCTACTGAAAGGGGCACTGTACTTAGTAAGTGGTTAGTCAGCCTGGTTATAACCCACTCACGAGAATTATAACCAGGGCTTTTGTGGGTTATAACCTTGCCCTTTAAGTAGATGACTTTGGGCTTCAATGGAAAGAGCCTCAAAATGGTTGGTGCAGATATTCCCGCGGTTACCTACTTGATGGCTGGACATCCAAGCGTTTCTTAAGCATCCAGCACCCGGCTTGCCCCCGATGCAATTGGTGTGTGCCAAAGGGGTCCCCACTCAGCAAGGATACCCCATGAACCCATTGTGAGTTGATCACCATCGGCACACTCGCCTCAGATCCACACCAACCGCCACTTTCATGGGGATTTGGCTGGAGGCCCTTGAAGCCTGGTAGTTGTCATGTTAAGGAAGGTAAGCTGTGGGCTGCTTTCAAGCTTTTCTGGACTTGGGGAACACCTGTCATGCGATCAGTTCGCCTCAGTGCAGAAAGTCTGCTAGCGGCCTTGTCTTTCTGAAGCTGCGACTCAGAGCCACAATCACCAGCTGAATGGAATTTAAGCTTTAGTACTGTGGAGGAACAAAATCCTGCACCACCTAAGAAACCCTGGAAGGATGACTCCCCTGTAAATACCAACAAACACGGGATTGAGCCTCAAAGGGTGCAGGATTTGGTCCACCCACAGTAGGGGGCAGTTTCAACCACGGATAGGTGTGGACCTTGCCATTTTTTGATTTGTTGCCATGGGCTCGGGGTAGACTTCTTTAGGGTTGTGGAATCAGAAGTTGGACCTGGGCCCGGGTCATAGCCTTTGAATCCGGATATTTGACCTTTTGACCTTTTTCGCTGTCCACGTTGGTTCAATTTTGTTTCGGTCCCAAAATGGGTGTGGCTCAAAATTACCCAGGAGGGGTTACGCAGGTGTCTATGTTTCCACTTACCAGGGCAAACCATTTTGGAATTCCGGTTTTGGCTGCTCAAAATGTGACATCGTTTTTGCTGTCCAGGTTGGCTCAATGTTTGTTTCGGTCCCAAAATGTGAAGCTTTTGAATGTTTCCAGGTCCTTGGGGAAAGTGAGACGCAGCTGAGGACTCTGAGCAGTTGCTGGCGTTAGAATCCTGGGCCGCGATGCAGAGATGCTGGCACAGCCAGGCGCGCAAAGCGGTGAGAGTGACCGGCGCTTCCATGGAGAGTGGCCCGAAATCGGCTGGAAACCTTCAAATGGCCATGGGTCAAAAGCCCGTACCCCCAGTGAACGTCCCAATCCCCACTAAAATAGACTAAAATGGGTGGTGAATTCACCTATCCCAAACGGTACCATTGGTTTTGACCCACAGCCAAATGATTTCCGTTTGGTGTCCATTTAGCCAACCCAAAACGGGTCCCCTTGCAAAGTGACGTCATGACGTCATGTTGAATGTACATGCCAGTAGATGACTTGTGCTCTGCCTGAGAGGCTTCGCACAGCTGGGAGCAGATTTGCAACTTGGCATCCAGTTGCTGCAGATTTCAATCTTGTTTGTTTTCTTTGTCCATTCCTTTCTTTCTTTGCGATCTGAAGGCCATGTGAGCCACAATCAAAACCCGGGTAGACAAATTTTAGTAAGAGGAAATCCCAACCATAAATAGCTGCGGATATCCGCCTTCTTTAGTTTACATAGTTGTGGGTAGACCATCTTAATTCCGGGTTTTGATTATGACTCATGTGAAGGATTTCACCGAAGCCGACCGCTTGACCTGTTGCTTTCAGGTTCCAAGTTCTTTGGGCTCCCCGTTTCTGGGTTTGGTAGGCGGTTTGGACGCGTTGTTTGGGCATGTGAAAAACTGGGACCCGGCAAGCAGGCAAAGACGAATTTCCGGTTGGTTGGCCCTTTAAGCTGTCTCGACACGGGCACCTCCGAAAAACACACGCAAACACACGGAGAGAGACGCACAGAGACAGAGACATGGAGAGACAGATGCAGAGAGAGAGAGCGAGAGAAACACTCACACAGAGACGCAACACACACACACACAGAGACACACCCACAGAGAAACACAGAGACAGGGAGAGAGACAGAAAGGAAGAGAAAGAGAGAGAGAGAGAGGGAGACACAGAGAGACAAGCACAGACACAGACACTATTGCCCTTTCGACTTTCTGGTGTCTCGGCAGGGAGTGAATTGAAATACCCTGAACTGCCCTTATGAACCATCTCTTGTTCTTTCTTTTGAGGGATGCCGAAGCTCAATTCCCTACCAACCAAAGACAAAAAACAAACAAAGACGAAGAAAGGCCAAGAAAAAAAAAAAAAAAAACGCCAACAACACCGGCCCCCCACCATTTGGGTGTGCCTTTTGTTGGAGGCAAACCCGCCTTTGGCTTTCAAAGGGGTCCACGGCCGCTGCACGGCCCCCGTTGTCGGCAGGTGGAATTTGCGAGGGCCTGGTGCACCCGGAGGAGAACGACGGCCGCGTGCAGGAGATCCGGGAGCAGCTGTCGGCCAACCTCTACACCTTCCAAGTGGCCAGCAAGGCGCGGGTTTTGGGTACGCCCGAAGCTGCTGTGGATGGATGAAATCGAAATCCATGCAGCGCACCACTTAGAAACCATGGTTGAAGCCATGGGCTGTTGTTATTTGCAGGGGAATGATCATTCCAGGTTTCTTAGGTGGTGCAGGATTTCGTCCATCCACAGTAGGTCCCCCAGTGCCATTCTCTCCCCTTTCTTTGTTTGGGGCGTCCCCCGAGTTCTTGGACTTGAGTCACTTGTTTGGTTTCGGCCATCTACTCAGGAAGTCAGTATTGCAAGTGTGGAGCAGACACACAGAGGGCACGGTTCACTCAAAGAAGCGCAACGGCATGACACCCTCCCCCAATACAACGTGGAACTTGCAACATGTAGGGCCTGCATATGGACTGTTCAAGCCCAGAGAAACAAAGCTGTTTCTTGGAAGGGAACTCTGGTGGTTGGTCTCAGGTTCGTTTCCCCTTACGAGTTCAAGAATCACGAGTTCAAGAACCAAAGAAGCGGCTGGGGAAAGCAGGGGGACGGCGTTTTCGGGGACCAAGGCGTCTTCAGCGGGCTTCAACCTCAACTGGATCAATCCTAATTGGGGTTATAAACCATTTACTAGTTGGTCGTTCAAGTGGCCCGCTGTGCGCTTTCCCCCCTTTAGCAGGCGAGCTGAATGCCAAATCCACGGTTGGGATCCACAACAACTTCGGGAGAACCCTGGGTGCATTCGCATGTGTACCCAATCAGAGTTCCAAATACCCCAGCTGCAGCCACTCTACACTTGGTGTCCCACTTCCCAAACGCTCTACCACATTTCATGGGCTGCCGCCTTAGTCACCACTTCGGTCAATTGGCAGCGGTCTGGGGAGGCAAGCCCCGAATGTGCCCGCGACTTGAATCAGGGAAGCTGATGGGAGGGATCCCAAGAGTACGTTCCTTTGGAATCCCGCTCTCCCCTTCTTGTCATCCGAGGGTCGGATGCCTTTTGTGATCCCGGTCACAAAATCACCCATCACTGGCCTTGTTTTTTACAGGATTTGCCTGCACAAAATCACCCAAAGACCAGCTGCTTTGGCTAAGGTTGAAAGAGTGTCAAGGTTCAATAAAGCCTTCTCCTTTGGCTGGGTTCGGATTTTTTCAGCCCCCGCGTGGCCAGATCTCACCTCTCAGGTGGCCGCAGCGGCTTCTTCCCTCCCAGAGCTGCGCCGGAAGAAGCCCGGCGGCTCCGGCGGCGACCTCGCCGCCGCGGGCGGGAACCGCCCGGGCGCGGTGCAGCAAATCTTCCGACAGGCACGGCTGCGGGTGCTGCAGACCCTGCGGCGGGGAGAGGAGGGGGGGGTGGGGTGCAGTGTAAGGGCTCAACTGCTGAAACCGAAAGCCTGGGGCAGGGAAGTGTGGAAGCCATCATCTTGTTTCTATGCATGGGTGGATCGCTCCTGCAGTATGGAACATTACTGTTCTTGGCATGTTGTTTTTGTTTTTTTCGTTGTTTGGTTCTGTTCATTTTTACTGGGGGTCCGCAAAAAACAAGGTTTTTTGCTGCCATACCGAGAGTAGAGATGATTAGTGTTAGAGGAAATGGATGGCCTGGTGCCCATGCCGATTTCTAGGGGACTCTGTTTCAAGGCAGGCCACAAGGGGCAGATTCTGGCAACCGGAAAGTCCCCGGGATCGAAAACTTGTGGTTTTCGTGGTGGTTTAACAGGGCTCCTTAAAAGAAAGTCATTTTGCCACCATTTGAAACATGTTGCTTTTTCAATACCAAAATAAAGTTGGACACCACCATTTACAAGTTGCAATGTTCAGGTGTATCATGTAAGGATCCCTGTTTAATTTTGACCCATGCTCAGGTATTTTCCACCAAGAGCACAGTGGTGAGGACCCACGCGAGAGAAACAAGGGGTTCAGCCCCTTCACCAGGTGATACGTGAGGAGCTGGAACCCGCCTCGCCGGTAGACAGGCCCAGATCACAGGAGAGGGGGGCCTGTGCGGAAATGGAAGGGGGGGATTTGTTTGCCCTGATCCCAGTTGTTCAGGGATACTTTGTTTTGCTCTGTGTGGACAGCCCACGAAAGATCAGCGCTACAACGGGTCCCCATTTTCTAGCTGGGTCATTGTACAAATGGAGATGGGATAGTTGTTCGCCATATCTAGCTGGGGATCCAGCTGATCCAAAAGTGTCCACACGCCAAAGCTACGAAGCACAGCGGCCCGCGCCTGTTGCAATGGCTTCCCAATCAGCACGTGGATTTTGATTGCCAACCCAAGCCAGCTTTCTCGTTAGTTTGTTCGAAAAGGCTAAACGGAAACGTTCCTGCGGAGCTTCGGCTAGGGTGAAGCAAGCTGTTTCTGCCGCATACATACAGCATTCTGTTCACCCATCGTTGTTTTCCAAAACCATCTAATTGGGTTTCAGCTGCCGCTGTTTGTTCATTGATGTTGGGACCCACACCAGGCAAACGTGATTTTTCAGCAACCACGACTTGGGAGGCTACATCTGGATTTTTCTATGACAGAGCCATCTGCAGTTTTGAGAACCTTAAACTCGTGCCTAAATGAGATTCGGAGGGGGGGGTCACATTGTTCCCAATCGCCCTAGTTGTCCCCTCTTTACGCACGCCTAGAGCGCACTCTTGCACGCATCAGCGGGCTCAACAAGCTGGACAAAAACCAGCCGGGTGCTCTGTCAGTTTGATTTGGTTTCCTTAGGTGCTGGACCCTTGGGGTGACTTGGGGAGGTTTCCATCTTGTGGGGTCCGTGTAGAACAAAAAACACAAATCCCCAGCCTGGGGTCTTTGCTTTTTAATGCTGGATTTTTGGGGTGAGGTTTCCCTTGTGTGGGGTCACCGTTTTGTTTGCCCAAAACAAGCAAACAAGCAAACAAACAAACAAACCAACAAACAAACAAACAAACATCCCCAGTTGTTTCTTTTAAAGAAACAACGGGGAGATCTCGGCCCGAGTGCCTGCCAGCGGTAGATCTGCGGCAGCCGAAGTTCGGGACACCCTTTTCCGCACCCATGGATTCGCGCATCTTCGGGCTCCTGCCACCGGATGGTGGCTTGGCTAAGGGCGTCTTTGACATCAAGCTGACGGGCCATGCAGGTATTTACATGGGCAGCAGAGTCCCAGACGGCAGATTGGTGACCATACACGCCTCTGGGCTTGGCGAAGGGCGATATACCCTTTACAATTTCAGGATAGGGCACGACGGTCAGTATCTGTTCGACACTTGCGATTCGTGGTTTCGACAGGCCCCAAATCCCCCAGTCTCAATTTCCTCCACGGTCATTGAGCTCTGTGCTGGTTTTGGTGGCATGGGCATCGGTACCACCTTTCTCGGAGCGCGCACGGTGCTGAGCGTCGATTGCAATGAGCTAGCTGCCCAGCAGGTCTGGTTTTGAAGATGGACATCAACCGCCCGGATGCAGCCTGTGAGCTACACAAAGTATGTCCTCCCGGCCTTCACACGGTCGTGCTGGGATTTCCGTGCCAGCCTTATTCGCAGCAAGGGCGGAAAATGGGTCCTCGATCTCAGACTATGTGGAGTGGCCTTCATATCGCGTTTATGTTGCAATGCCAATCGTTGCTTCTTGAATGCGTTGCAGCCGCAGGGCAACACCCCGCAATCCAGAAAGCCATCCGCGAGATTGCAGGCGCAATGAACTGGACCGTTTGCAGACCAATCTCGATCAGTCTCACCAGTGGCCAAACAGACGATATCAGTGGTGGGCAATCCTGATGCCTTCCAAGTGGTGCAGTACAGGCATTCGACCTTGGCCGAAATCCACCGATTTCCCCACAGTTGGTTCAATCATGCGCCCATTTGCTTGTTGGAGTACGGCCGAGGAGCAACAGCTCAAGCTGGACCCGCAGGAGCTCGCCATGTACAACAATCCAAATTTTGGCCAGGACCAGCGATTGCTGAGCACTGAACACATTGCACCGGCTATCCTGCATTCATACGCCAATGCCACCCGCGATTGCCCCTGCAAGTGTAGACTGCAAGGATTCTCGCACTACAGCCTCAACACCAAAGGTTTGCGCGGCTTCTATGTTACCACTGACGAAGCAGATGCCCCACGATTCCTTCACCACAGAGAAGCAGCATTGCTACTGGGGATACCGGATGATGTCCTGTACTGCCATCCGCCTCGTGACAACCTATGCCTACTTGGCCTTGTTGCTTCACCAATGCAGATGGTTTGGATCTACTCCATCTGGCTGGAAAACTGCGCTTACTACGACCCTTACCTGCCAAAGGTCAAGCCAGAGATCGCTTTACGCATGTACCAGCAGCACCTCCTGAAGCTTTGGCACGTCAATGAGCCAGACAGAGCTCTTTCAACTACTCGGATACAGGTGCACACCCAGGAGGAGCCATCAATCAACGTTTGCATAGACTTGCCGGACAGCTAGTTGCAGCTGAACGCATCAGCCATGAATGGGGAGTCCCACATTCCCTTCTGCAGGATGACCACACTCCATGCCACCACTATGCCAATCTTGGGAGCCTCCAGGGCCTGCAGTTCTTGCATGCCAGGAAAAAAACAGAGACGCGAACCACCAGCCGGACCAATTACCCTGCGCATCCTGCACCACGGACATGTCTTCGAGCGACTCCTTGCACCAGGCAGTTTTGTCTTTGAGGCGTACAAGGAGCTCCCCATCGCACCTTCCAACTTCATCGTTGATGAGAAGGGCTACATTCATGGAAGCGACACGCGCATTTGGCAAGACACAACAATCCAGCTTGCTTCAAAGGACCTACTCGGCGTTCCATGCCCACTTGTTGGTCTTGGAGATGGTGATCATCTAACAGACGGCCTCAATGAACACCAGATCTGGCAGGGTGTCCTCAGGCTCCTCCAACACCTTGATCGTCATGAATTGCAGCACACCTTTGCGATTCACCCTACCACCGCCTTCAACCTCATCCACTACTCCGACGGCTGTACGCTTCTACCCCCCTACGCTGGCCAAGCTCTTTGCATTTTCCACCACGACAATCATTGGGCCCTTCTCTGCGGCAAGATTCACGCGGAGACAATCAGCTGGACTTTCTTCGACGGTACCCACAACCCTCAACACGAGGCAGCGCATGCATATGCCTGGGCGATCTCTGCTCTTTTCACGCTTGAGCTCCAGGACATTGAATACCGACAAGTTCTTGTCCAACACCAACCCTGGAATTGCGGATCCATTGCCCTCGCACACCTGGCGCTATTCTTGGGCATCAGCGTTGAGTTATCTCCCCTCGATGTCGACCTCATGCACTACTACCTGAAATCCACTTCGATAGATGGACAGCTATGGGGGTGTGGTCCTGACGCCGCCTCGCAGGTTCTGCTCAACCAGCTTGCAGCTCTACTTCAAGAAAGAGGAGTCGCACCAGAAGCAGCACGGTCAAGAGCGCAACAGGCACTTGACATGATTGGCAAGGCAGATCTCCAGAAGGCTATGCGCTCCAACCAACCATGGACCGAAATCAAAGCACTTGCCAGCGCCCCACGGGTCATGCTACGCCTCGTGCTCCCATCTGAGCTCAGCGAACACACTAGACAAAAAGCTGCAGAAAAGTTTGGTGCCGACGTCAACATCAGCACGGAGAAGAAAGTCGAGAAAGACAAGTTCAGACAAGGCGAGGTGCAGCTTTGCTACGATCTACCTGGACAAGCCGTCTTGCGATGGTACCGTCAGCTGAGGAGATTGCAATCATATCTACATGCGGCTCGATCAGCTAAATCCACAATTGATGCTCAGATTTACAGAGCCGAACTTTGGGCTTCAATTCGCCGATCCTCCGGGTTCCAAATGCCATTTCCGCGCTGGTGGGACACACAATTTGACAGTGATATTGGCTCTCTGCCGGCGTATCCGCCTACCGCAGTACAAGCAGAATGGATTTTCACGGCCTTCGGGCGACGGTTCCGGGAATTTGAGCACTGGCACTATTTGCAATGGCTTCAACTTCTCAGTGCAGTGCGCGAACATACATTTCAGGCTCTTTTCCAGGACCTTCGCAACACCAGGCGGGAACAGATCGATGCATTGTGGGAGGAGCAGGAATTTACAATTCTGGCCACAGACATCTCGAGCGGCCAAGTCCACCTAGATGCGGAGGTTTCCACTATGCCTCGGAGCACTTGGACTTACGATGACCAACCGGTTCTCGTCTCCAATATCGAAGGAGACATCATCACTGCACAGACCAACCTGCAGATTGAAGCGGGCGACAGTCTAACCCAGAGAGTTCACCACTCTTCACCTGCGGAAGTCATACACCAACTCGGCGAACATTGGCGCAGCAGATGGATTGCTTCAGCACCACCATCAGAATCAGATATTGACCGCATTGGCAATTTTGTCAAGGGCTACATGCCCACAATTCGTTTCAACTTACTACCCATTTCAGAGCGCCAATGGCGCAAAGCTTTGCATCACTTTAAGCCAGGAGCAGCACAAGGCGCAGATGGGTACCAACATACCGATCTCGCTCATATGAGCTCTTCGCAAATACATGCATTGCTTAGCCTTATCCACTCCATTGAGAACCTTGAAACTGCTTGGCCTGACCAATTGCTTGAGGCCTTTGTCATTGCTCTAGCCAAGCAGGATGACTCGCATACAGCAGGACAGTTTCGGCCGATAGTGCTGCTGCCGACCATTTACAGATGCTGGTCTTCGATCAGATCCAGGCAACTTTTGGAGCAACTTGATGGTTATATCCATGAAGACGCCTTTGGGTTCATCCCAGGCCGTGAGACAATGCAGGTTTGGCTCCCCCTGCAAGGACAAATTGAACTTGCACTTCAATCAGGCGCCGACTTGTGCGGGTTATCCACTGACGTTGTGCGTGCTTTTAATCATATTCGACGTGATCCGTTGTTTATGTTGGCGCAACACCTTGGAATACCGTCACAGATATTGGGCCCTTGGAGAGCATTCCTCGCTGGCTTCAGACGTCGGTTCAAGGTTTTGAATCATATTGGGGACCCACACTTGTCGAACGTAGGCTCTCCCGAAGGATGTCCGCTCAGTGTTTCCGCCATGGCTTTACTTAGCTGGTGTCTTCACTGCTACCAAACGCAGTTCTGCCCCGCTGTACGCACACTGAGTTTCGTGGACAACATCATCCTTACGGCAGATCAGGCACCGGCAATCGCGGCGGCCTGGTTTTCACTACAGGCCTTGATTGGACTATGGGGAATGACCTTGGATTCCTCCAAGACGTACACTTGGGGCACAACCAAACACACCAGGCGCGGTGTTCTGCCTCTGGGATTTTCCATGGTGCTTGACGCCCGAGAGCTTGGTGGCATCATGTCCTTCACGAAGCAGAGACGCAATCGCCTATTCGCTCAGCGTGGAACGCAGCAGGAAGAGAGATGGTTGCGACTCCGCCGCTCTCGCGCACTCTTTGCCAAGAAGGTAGCCATGTTGCCAATGGTTTTCTGGCCGAGCATTCTACACGGTGCCAGCAGTTGCCCGATCTCGGACAGCTCCGTACATCAGCAGTCCGTGCCTTGGGAGTTGCACATGGCGGAGCCAGTCCGCTCATTCGACTTTCAATCAGCAAGCAGCCTACTGCAGATCCGGGTTACTACCAGCTTCTTCACACGGTGCACGATTTTCGGCGCATCAGCAAGAAATCCCCACAGTTGCAAGAGCAATGGAATGCCGCTGAAAGCACAAGCTCCAATGCCACCCTGGCAGGACCTTTCACGAAGCTCAGGCAACAATTCCTTACAATTGGATGGCAGATTTTGGTGCCTCCCCTTTTCTCCGATCATGATGGCTTCATTCACAACCTCCTCACACTGGACTCGGTTGCCCTTGACTCCTTATTGGAGGAAGCGTGGATGCAGCATGTGGCTGAACGAGTACGGCACCGCTCCACACTTTCGGATTTGGCAGGCATTGACAAGTTTCAGACCCTTCAATTTGATGACATACTCACGCCTTTGCAGCTTGCCTAGATCAACTGCATACGGGAAGGTTCGTTCATTTCCCCCTGGCAACAATCCCGGTTTGACCTCACCAAACATGCAGACTGCGCCGTTTGCAATGTACCGAACACGCAGCTTCATTGGGTTGAGTGTCCAAAATTTGCGGAGCACAGGCTGGACCAACCAGAGATCCTGACGTGGTTACAGACGAAACCCTGCAGCTTCATGCAACATCTGTTGGTCCCACGCTCACCCTACTTGAAGAAGTATAGGCAGACACTTTTGCAGACGCCTTGCAGTTTTGAGTTTTACTCCAAACCCACCGGTGGCATGCAACACATCTTTACAGATGGAAGTTGTACGCGACATGCGGGGGGTACAGCTCCACTTGCAGCTTGGGCGGTCGTGAACGCTAGCAGCTCTGACGTTATCTCCGGGGGTCATTTGGCTGGTCTTACGCAGTCAAGCAACCGCGCAGAACTTCGGGCGCTCATCGCAGCAGTATCCTGGGTTGCCACTTTTCAGTGCAATGCTCAAATCTGGTGCGACTCCAAGAGCACAGTACAGGTAGCTACAGCACTGCAGCAGGGCGATCACAGATGCCTTCGTGGCACGCCGGATAACCACGACCTCTTGGCAGCTCTTGCGGAACAAACCCAGCACACAGAGCCACGGCAGCTTTCAATACACTGGATACCTTCGCATTTGGACTTGGTACAGTGCGCAGACGGGTTGGAGGAATGGATTTGCACTTGGAACAACATTGCAGACAGCATTGCTTTCTCGTTCAATGAGAGCCGGGAGCCCTCACTTGAGCGTATCTTGCAAATGCAGACGCAGTGGTGCAACAGTTGGACGCATGCAACTCGGACTATGCAGACGTTTTACCTTGCTGTCGCCGATTCGATCCAGCATGAAAGCGAACCGCAGTTGCCCGAATTGCAAGGTGGGCACGAACCACAGCTTGACTGGGCCGCACATGTTGGGCATCACAGCCTCGCTGAGCAGCTCCCGCTTGCTTGGTTTCAGACCCCCGGCCTTGGCACTGGTCAGTGCCCTGTTGAATTTACAGCGCAGTTGGTTGCTCAACTGGAGGAGTGGGATGACGTTGCATGCCAACTTGAGCCCATCAGTATGAGCTCACATTTTTGCTCACTCAGCAAGCTGATTTCGCTTTTCCGGGCCGAGCCAATTCCGGGGCCCAGCGAATGAAGCCTTTGAGGTCTCTCTTTACCCGTCCAACCTTTGCCTTTTTGGTTGGGGTTGTTCGTTCTTGTTTGCGGCTGCTTTGCCGCTCGTTCGGTTTGGGGTGCTTTCTACTGGACGGGCTGGACAGATCTCGTAGTCGCATTACTTGCCGAGCTGACGGCATAGTGCTTCGTTTGGCGGAGGCACATCGCCAGCGAGCGATTGGCTTATAGTTGGCATCTTTTCCAACGGCCGCGGCCTTCGCAAGGCATCAGACCTTGCAAGGCCTGCCGTATAGGCTGGACGACTCTGACAGAGCGCTGCACTGCGACTGCCGTGCACGCTCTGAGCACAGCTTCGTTCGCGCTAAAGAAACAACAGGGGGAGGTGTGGGGTCTCGTTCTTGTTTGCACAACAAAAGCAAGACCTCCCCAGCCGAATCGTTCTCTGGGCAGGTTCGAAGGGGCGGCCGCTTCTCGAAAGTGGCCAGGACCTGTCCCTGGAGCTGGACACCTGCATCGCGGCGGTGCGCCGCGAGGTCGGAAATTGCCGCAGCCGGGCGCCGGATTTGTTGTGTTTTTCGTCACCCAGAGGCTCCACTTCGATTGAGTTAGGGCCTTCAAATCAACCTGGTTTTGAGACCCCCAACGGAAAAAAACCCGGGGTGTTACTGGAATGGTGCCGGATGGGGTCTCCGAATTGGGGAAACCACTGGATGAGCTGCCTGCGTTTCAATGGACAGAAGCTCCACCTTTTTGAGGGGTTAGACTCCCATTTTGGTGGCAAAACACGTGGCAAACAGTTCATAATACTTTTTCGTGGCAAATGAGAAGTGTGGTTACTTATTTTGGGCCATTCACTCAGGAAGTCAGTGTTTGCTAGTCTGTCACAAAAATGTTTTCCCAACTGGGAAATTTCGGTGGGTTTGGTGAGCCCCTGTAAACCGTTGAGCCCATTTTGGTGGGTTTGGTCAGCTGCAAACCGAAAGAGCCCTGGCTTGAAAAATCGGGTCTCAGCGCCTCCTGCAGGTCTTGGAGTTGTCCTTCGAGACCGTGCCCCACCGCTCTGCCTTGGGGGCGGTGGACCTGCCTCCCGGTTTGAGCTGGGCCGAGCGGGAGAGATGGCCCTGGGGTGGTTTGGGGCGCCTCCGTGATGTTATCTGCTTTTGGAGCTTTTGCACGGAATGCGGGCCCATCCGTGCCCTAGAAATAAACATAAAGAGGAAAATATGTCCTATGCCCCTTGTTAGTTATTAGAAAAGGCAAGCTAGAGACGTTCTTTGTGCCCCAGATGTGGCCCGAAGTTAGAGAAAAGCATGTGCCAAAAACAAAGCAAGACCTTAGCAGGGACTAGGAAAGTTGCTTCTAACACCAACGGCGACCCAAACTGTTGGAAGTCTGTGTGGTGCTTAAGTTATGGCTTACTTCCTGCTTATGCACCGGGAGCGCCACACCTTCCAAAGCTCGAGGTTGAGTTGGCCTTCCCCACACAAGAACATGTATGGCTGTGGGTCAAAACCAATGGTACCATTTTGGGGACCACCCATTTTGGGATGTTCACTGGGGGTACGGGATTTTGACCCATGGCCGTATAAGGAGCTTTGGGCCCCTTCCTTTTCCCATAGACCAGGCACAAGGATGCACAAAGTTTTTTGCCAGGGGCGATGTGCTTTCTTTTTGAGCTGCCATGTTGGCGGAAGGCGACCTGGTCGCTTGGGATGTGGCTGAGGCGCTGGTGTTGAAACTGACGCTTGAAAGATCAAAGTCGCCGGAAAATGATTCGCCTTGAGACCAACCAGCCTCCCAAAACCTGAGGGGATGAGGCATGTCTGAAGATTTGGTCATGAGGTTTGAACAGTCACTTGGAAAGTGTCTAACTTCCAAGTTGCTACAGGTCTGGAGTTGCCATCGTGCATGTTGCTGCGTGTGATTGCCCTAGCGCAGAACAGCAGAATTGGACCCCTTTGTTGTGGTGCCACTATGTGCCCCTTTGGGACGTGACCCACAGATGTGCTATTTGCAGAAACAGGTTGCAGGAGAGAAATCACGGGTAGAAGCTAGAAGTTCGAATGAACAAAGGAAGCCAGCCACACTCCCACGAAGAACAACACGAAGGTTTCCAAGCGCCAACCAGTTAATCACCAATATTTCGGAGGATCGCAGAGGACCCTCCCGTTGCTTCTTCGTTTTCAGCGTGAACTCGAATTAATGCCACCAAGAGGGAGCAAGGAAGCCTGCCATTCACGAGCCAGAACGCTAAGGATGAGTCAGGTGATGCGCAGCAGCCTGGACGATATCAAGAAGATCCAGATTATGCTCTTGGAGTTTTAAGGTTGGCCTTTTCTAGGGGTACCTTCCCCATTCTTTCCAGGCAATGCTTCTTTCTACAAGACCACTCAAAACCCTGGGGAAACAGCTTGTTTTTGAAAAGAACGATGGTTAAAAAGAATGGGGAATCAACCCCTAGACCTTTGCACAGCGCGGCAGCGCGCCCTGCGGAGAGTCGGTTTCAGCAAAAAAAACGCAGCGCTCGCAGGTTGGTCGGCTTTAGCCAGGCTTCGTCTAGAAGCTTGCTTTCCCAGTTAATTGGTGGCACCTTGTTCCTTGTGGGTTTGTTCCCACTGGGCATGCAGAACAAGCGCAACAGGAGTTCCCTTCTATAGCATCGGATGCCCCAAGGACTGCTAACCATCGAAACCGAATAAGTCTACCAGATCCGCATTATATGTATCCAAAAACGCCAACTTAGAGGGGCTGGCTGGGGGCTTGCAAAACCCGAGCTCAGCTTGCAGCTCATTTTGCTTACCTGTTCTTGTTTTCTCACCTCTTGGTGTTAAAGGGAATCTATCAGTACTGGACATATTTTCATGTTTTCCAGGGGGCTCAAGCAAATGGCTCTTGGTCCGTGGGATGGGCTGAGGAACACAGAGTGCAGTTACTCAGGGCTTGGCAGATGAGTTCGGCTCGGTTTGGGAGGGCAAAGTGGCAACGAATGAAGCTGGAGTGAAGCAACTTTGACTTTCTTCGCAGCCTTTGAATTGACACCGAGAGCAGGGGTCCAAGCACCAGGCTGACAAAAGCATAGGATGAACAAAGGTCATTTGGGGGAGATTCGGCCTTGTAAGGATCCGATATCAACCTTGCCCAGATTGCACACAGAAATGGTCTAGCATTCCTCCGGCTAACATAGCACCTATGGGAAGGTACCTGGCAGATCTTTTTTTCTCTCGAAGGGATCTTCTGCCAGCTGAGGGGTGGCTTGTCCATGCGTATCCTCTCAGGAAGTCCGGCTGTTTCCGCGGCGGCACGTGACACCTGAGGTGGTCGCGCCTCCAGCACTGCCGCCTGTGGAAAAGACGCGGAAGGCGGGAAGGGGGATCAGGGCTCCTTTTTGGTTCTGTCTCTGGGGGTTTTTAAACAACAGGCCCTGGTCACCTTGCAGGATCGTTAAGCAATGATTAAACCACGTTTAGACAATCGGTTGCACCAATCCTCATTACTCCCCGGCAGATTGATTTAACATGTGTGCGTGTGTCAAGGTTTAAGGGTGCCCGTTCCAGTTTGGTTTTGGAGGGAAATCAACAGCAAAGGCGTTTGGGGGGCGGGGGGTGTCTCTATGTTTGACACACCCACGCACATGGATGTTGTTTTTGTTTTTTCCCCCGATTATATAGTGGGTTAATGTCTTTAAAGGAATGCCCTCCGTGCCAAGCCGGAAAGTGCACAGATGCGTAAAGGAAAGCAGTCCTTGAAAAGGAGCCTGTGCACATCTATGTTGGTGATGCTTACTTCCCAACTTAACGGAACCCCACGAAACCACCTAACCACCTTGTGGGTTCCATGTAATTGATTTGCGGGCGAGGATCAAAGTTACAAACCGGCGAACCGGTTCTTACTTCACAGGCTCCCGTTCCAAGAGCCACAGGCAGCACTGATTTGTGCAAGCTCGATATACGCTTTCCTCGAAACATTCAGACCAGCCAGCAGGAAATCCCGGTACAGAAACCAGCGCCCAAATGGAACTAAAACAAGAAGCTACACGTATCTCAAGTAAAAAGAGCCAGCTTGTGTGCTAGGCAACTAGTTTATCCTACTCGATTCCCCAATTAGGAAGCATGGCGTTAGCCAACGAACTTCCATTCTGATAATCCAGTAGGATCCCACCTGCCCCAAGCCCCTTTGCCACTTGTTTCCCCCGAAGATCGGGCTGAAAGTCCGGTAGTTCATGTTTGTGGCGAGGGATTCCGGAAAGTCCGGGAAGTCCAACCAGTTTGCAAAATATTGTAGAACGGATTGGAATCAAGCCAACCTGCGGTTTGTTTCCAAATACCGGTTCTGGATAATTGGGTGATTCGAATCCAACCTGCAATTGGTTTTGGACAACGGTTATGGACAATCAAATTGGACTTCCAATGCAACCTTATGTTGGCTCTTGTTTGAACAAGTGTGATGGAACACGGGATTGGGATTCCAATACAAGTTGTAGCTGCTCCCTAGATACTGATTGTAGAACGCGTTGGGTGGGGGGGATCCAACCATCCACCCCAGGCTCCCACACCTAGCCACTCCCGACTTGGCTGCAGGCCAACGCCGCCTCGCGAAAGCTGATCACGGCCGAGTCCGATGACGTGGTGGAGGCCCGGGGTGTGAAAGGGACCGGGTCCATACGAGCGGCAGGGAACTTGTGCGCTGCTTTCCCCGCATGTCAGTCTCGAAAAGGCAGGGGTGGCCAAAAGTAAGAGTAATTAAGACAAGAGTTCAACATAGTTGCACGGGTTCACATGGCGGCAGATGTCCATGTCGATTATATAATTGTTGTTTTTTTTTTTTTTTTGCGAGCAACAAACTGCCTGCGCCGCCAGCCATAAAAAAGGTGGAAATGGGCATCGGGCATGTAGATGGGTGTGGGTCAAAATTAAGCCACCAGGGGACCGCGGGTTTTAGTCTTTGGTTCCATTTACCAGGGTTCCATTTTGGGGTTTCCTTATTTTTGACCCACAGCCATTTGTTGTTTCACCCCCGAGGCACGGTTCGCTTGATCTCCCGGCCATCGTCAGGTAGAGAAGCCACCAAAGAAAGCGCCGAGCGTCGCAGAGGAGTCCGATGACGTCGTGGAGGTGGCTGGGGCCTCGGCGAGTGCGCTGTTTGGTGCGTGGGCACAGGTTGTAGGTTGTAGGTGTTTGGGTTGTAAGCTGTAGCTTGTAACTTGTAGCTTGCCTGGGGTAGGTTGTAAGTTCGTAAGTTGGGGTGCAGGAAGTAGCTTGTAGTTGGTGAAGGGTGTAGGCTGCAGATTGTATGTTGTACGTGTACGTGCAGGTGCTTTGGGGGAAGTGCCGGAATGAGGCACAATAAGTTGCACCCGGGGACCGCAGGTTTTGAGTCTACTTTTCCACTTCCCAGGGTTCCATTCTGGGTATCTATTTTTGACCCATAGCCATATTGGTCCTGATCCCGTGTACGTGTTTCGCGGTGATTTGTTCCTCGCTTTTCTATGCTGAGACTGCATGTGCCTCGCTGTGGGCATGGCATTCAAGGCACTAGGCAGCCCTCATTGTTGTGGCTTGAAGGTTCCTGGCTCCAGTAAGCAACACCAGACCCAATGCCGGACCAGTTCATGCTTGACGAGTCTTGAATGATTCCCCCGTCTTTTGTTCCAATGGCCATCCCACACGCTCCTACGCATGAAGCTGCTGCTGAAGCAATCAGGAATCTCCTGGAAGAGATGGTTCCCTGGGTTCCATGTTGCTTTGTGAGTACTTGTCAGGAGTTCAGGCGGTTTTTGTCGAACAGAGTGATTCTGCACCGGTCGCCTAGGTCGAGACACGACCCAAAGGCCACAGCCTTGGGTTCCGACAAGGAGATCCAACGTGGAGGATTACGTGCAACAGGCAACCAAGAGAACAAACCTTTAAAGTCTGACTGAAAAGGAACATGGCGGCTTGCCGCAACCTGCATCCGTTGGGATTGCTATGTTGCCCCTTCAATGCATCCCTTCAACCAAAAATGGAATCAACCTGGAAAAAGACATGGTTCTCTTTTCTATCCCTGATTTATCGAAAGAGTAAGACATAGTGGTACCAGCACTCCTGCGACTGTGATTGGAAGGGGCCCACTGGCAGATCCGATCCGTTCAGCCCTTTAGATCCAGACTTGTCCTTGAGTTCATCTCTGCGTGTCGCAGCCACTGCTGTGGGAAGACCTTTTGCGCGGCGGCGGTGGTTCTGACGACTCCAAAGCCTACCCTTAAAACCTGGCAGCGCAGCCCACCGAGACTCTATGGACTGCAACCAGCATGTTGGCCCCATCAGAGATGGGTTGCGCAACCTTTTAGAGGACCATCTTGCCCGTGCCCTCACGGAATACGTCGCACGCATCTACCCATTGCATTGACGCTCTTTTGGGGGGTAGATGTTTTGGAATGAGGCAAACACACCACCCCCTACCTCAAATGTGTTTTGTCCTATAGAGAAAATCTTGCAGACCCCGATGTTCCATGACAAAATGCCTCATATGCTTTTGTCCGTACAAGAAGCAGCGATTGCCACAAACATGGAACCCATTAGATGGCTCCTTTCAGAGGCAACTTGTTTTCCAGCCCCCCTCCACCATTGTCGATGAGCATAAGTAGGTTCATTGGTGGGTTTCTTGGTTGGCTTTTTTGTCGGTGGTGGATCGTGGTTGTTCCGATTTGCGGCGTGGTTCCGCCGTGTTGTGGCCATGGCAGCATGATCCCACCATGTTGCAACCATATTATCAGGTTCTTTCCCCCCCACAGTCAGCTTCCATGTTTGGTTGGTGGGGGGGGGGCGTCTTTTGACCAAGGCCGAGCGGCCAAGTCCGCCCCCAAGCCCAAGAAGGCGCGAGTGGGCGAGGGGCGCTTTGCCGCTCGGCCTTTTTTTTTTCCCCTTTTTTTTTTTTTAGTTTCTTTTTAAGGCAAGCGTCCGCAAAAAAACAGATGTTCAGGCAACATATGGACACACATCTGAACAAAACAGCCGAGTTTTCTTTGTGTAGCATGGGGTTGAGACAAGTTGAATCATACCAAGAATCAGGGTTGCTTTGGTGACCAATCACCAAAAGCAGGAAGTGGGTTGGGTTTCCTTTGGTTTCCCGGAGCCTTCAACTGTTCCTTCATCCTACCACGGATGCGCAGCTCCTTTTGGACGACCCTCCGCCCCCCGCCGGGAGGATTCCCATCTGCCAATCACGTGAGTGCACCGAAGGGTTTCAGCAGACTACCGCCATCGTCACGAGGCGGCCCTGGATGATTTGTGCAAATCCTTTCCTTTCGTGGAAAGAGTGCCTGTTTCGGTTGGAGGGTAGATACAGACTTGGGCAGGAACACCACCACACGTTTGCTTGAATTAGAACGTAGGTCAGCTGCAGCTTGATTTGTTTTGATATTTTGCCGCGTCAGTCAGGATGAAACCTGGTGAGCATGTGTTGAGTTTACCGTGGCAGACAAACACGCTCGGCGCAACATGCCCCGGTTTTCTCGGCTTTGTGATGGGCAACCCAAGCGGTCGGTGATGCTGCGTTGGTACCTGTATCTAGGAAGCGGAGTGGCTCTTCTTCTGGTTGTGCCATCTAGTGTACGGAATGTTCTCAAAATTGTGACCCCGAGCGACACAACCCGCTCTTCATGGTCCCCTGTCAGTCAGTTGACATCGCGCATCGGAGGATACCAACCCCCGGAGCAAAGCCTTGGCTTTATGGAGCCCAGAAAGGCTTCGTTGGCGCCTTGTGAATCCCCTCTTGTTGGCCCACAACAAACCGCAACGTGGGGTGTACAAGCGAACTTACTTGTTGTAGACTGAAACTACTTGTTGGAAATACTCAGCAGCCAGGTAGCTCCCTACCTTCTTTGTTGGCTTGGTTATGCCAAAGCGTCTTGAGAGTGGCGCGCTGAATGTGCCTGGCTCCTTGGCCGGAGCCTTCGGCCAGGAGGCGGCCATGGAAAAGTTTGGGCAGGCACGGGCTCAGGTCGTCGTGGGGCTCGTCAGGTGGCGTAAGCGGTACTAAGCAGAGTTTGTTTAGTACCCATCGAGTGGATACAGGATACATTGATACATAGTTTGTTTAGTACCCATCGAGTGGATACAGGATACCTTGATACATATGGGGGTTGATCCAAAGGTCCGTACAACATGGAATGATCATTAGGGACACCGCCAAGAAAGATGTTTCCCCCACGGAAACCAACAAAGTCAATTAAAGTTGCCCATGGTCATTTTGGGGGCAGGAATGTTCGTCAACTCCCATATGTGTTGAATTGTGTACCAGCCCGTTGCGCAAGCTGTTGGCGAGCTTGCTTGAAAGCATGCACAACTGCGCTGCCAGAAATTGACCCCTGGTGGCTTCTGGAATTGCGTGACTTGTTCCAACTTCCTGGAATTTTATGATGGAATTGGGGCATCCCCCCACACCTCTCCCTTAAAGCCTTAAAGCATGTTGTTTTGGCATAGCCTGCCATTAGACATCCCAAGCGAAGGCCCCAAAGGCGCAGTGACAGGGCAGTTCAAAGACAATCCAAAACTAAAACCTTGCCCTTGGATGAAAGAAATGGCGGCTCGGTCCGGGATTTCTAACATGGATGGGCCAACCAACTCACATGTGGAGCGGCGCATTCTGGTTGGCACCGCCAAGTAGACGTTCCCGAGAAAAGCAAATTGACCAAGAGTTCACCTACGCAGTGCGCAGCGTGAATTGCTGGAGGACTTGAAGCATAACTATAGTTTAAGAGGCTGGAGAGCTTTTCGGCACGCAGGGACTCATGACTATCAAAGAGGTGTTTTTCATGTACCTCCCCCCAAATCCCATTCTGAGAGTTTAGACATTGAATTGATGGTACAGCAACGTGCGCTTCACGTTTGGGGTCGGAGGAACCTTTTTGCGATCCGCTTTGAGCGCCAGGGCGTGGTGGAGCAACTCAAGGACTTCCAGAAGCCGGAGGCGGGTCCAGTTTGGGCAGTTTGGGACTCACCAAGTTTCCCAGAAGCAACATGTTAAGGGGAAATTTGAGTGAGTCCTGTGCTGAAGCTTTTTGGGGGTCAACGGGTTTTAGAAGAAAAAAAGGGGAAAACAAACGCACACAACTCTTTGGCAAGCTCTGGCGAAGCCTCGCAGCCCAGGCCGCGGTCGAAGTGCCGGAGGCGCGGTCCACTCTCCGGTTGTCTGATTCAAAAGGTCAACCAGGTTGATCTGATCCCGAAGCATGGAACCCCGTTTGGATGGCTTGGACAGGGAAGCCAAGAGGAAGCACAGCAAATGAGTTCCTAGTTTTGAGAACCACTCAAATGGACTGGTCCAGGTGCTGTTTCCATTTTGGGGTCGAGCTTAACCCTCGCATCAAAGACGTCAGGTGAGGAGATTGGCCGAGCTTGCTTTGCGTGTCAAAGCTAGTGACCCTGCCGAATCATTGGCTCTCTCATTTCACGCTGTCCAAAAAAGGTGCCCAGTTTTGACACATCCCTATGCCCGTTTTTCGCCCCAGGTTTGGGGGCCTTAGGATGCCAGGATGGGACTCTCCGAAAGCGGGATCTCCCTCAAAGAGATCAGCTGGAGCAACTGATGCGTATATGTTCCACTGGAATTTTGGGGACGAAGTGGAGCTTTGTTTCCACGCTACGACTTGCGCGCGCCTGCCTTCAGGACAAAGAGGTCCAAAAGGCGCCCGCGGGGGGCGGGGATGTTAGCCAGGTTCAGGTCCGCGGCACCCGAAATGCAAACCAAACAAGGATATCAACTGTATATGTTGATTTGAGACCCCCCAAACCTGATTTTAGGCAGGGCGCCCACAGCAAGCTTTCGCCAAATCTCCCAAATTGCTGAGGGCCCATGAAAAAGGGTGGAGGGAAGGGGGGTTGGGTGCATCGCATGGTCCTTGTTGGGCTGAGTCTTTTGGTTGATGCCTGCTACTGATAATATGTATGTTTAATGTGGATCCTATTGCCCCCTCTCAAGTAGTCTATGGTTTAGATTTGGTTTAGCAATAGTCAAGAAATAACGACCCCTTTGCCCCCAAAGGCATGGTAACTTGCCTAGTTGTGTGTTCACTGGCGTGAGGTTTGCATGAGGCCACTTTGGTTTAGGTTGAGGGTTGCATGACATGACAGACTTGTCAAACGGCAAACGCCGTTTGGCTCAAGCGCTCACTGAAAAAGGGCGCTGAGTGCGGAACTAGAGTTTAGAGACAACCCCCTGAACCGCTGAGGGATTAACCACGGTCAATCCACCTCTTTTTGTTCAGGGCGCAGCCTTCGGCGCGCGTTTGGGGTTTCTTGCTCTTTTGATTGGTTATCAGCCGTATAGCCTTTCTTTCGGGATTAACTAGGCCCTCCCTCAGCGGTTCCCCCATAAGGGGGCGCGCATGGCCGTCGAGGAAGAGTACCACAAACGTGGTACCCGTGGAGGAGCCGCAAACAAGAAGCGAGTGTGGTGGGAGCTCCAGGAGGACGTGATCGACGAGGTCCAGCAGCGTTTTGGGTTTACACCACCCAAGTTGCAGTGGGAACAGGGATCAGAGGTGCAGCTTGCTGCCCTTCGGGCCTGGAACCGGGACGTCACCGAGCAGCGCTGGGAGGAGCTTCACAGGTGGCATCAGCCTACGGCCCTTCGCATCCGGGCAATCCGTGAAGAAGAACGGAGGGCCGCGGCAGGTGCAAATCCAGTGCCTGCCACTCCCTCGTCTCCGACTCCATCTACACCACCTCAGCAGCAGCAGGCGGCGCAGCCTTCCGTGGCCCAGCAGGCTTCACCTGCTGAGGCTTGGTTGTCTGCTCCGGCTTTGCCTACAGCGAGGACCGCAGCCCAAGGCGCGGTGACTGGTACAGCTCCGAGGAGAAGGACATCTACGACCTCCCCACGGTCAGTGTCAAGGCAAGTTCTGCGAGCAGTTTATTTCCAAGTACCCATCGTGCTTAGGTCTCGCTCTCGGTCAAGAACTCCGACACCGATCCAGGAGGCCGCAGCCCTCGGCGCGGCAGGCGAGTCGAGCAGTCGGGAGCCTTCGGGAACCCGCAGAACTCCTCGCCCGACGACCAGTCGATCCTCGCGTGGCAGATCGAGGAGTGTGCCATCAAGGACCTCGCCAACCGACAGGCCGATCGTGCTGGCGCCAAGGAGCTCGGCCTATCCGACGGTCCGCATCGACCGGACCGGCACGTGGACACTGCAGAGGGAGCAGCCCTCCGGCGCTCCACGGGCATTTGCAGGCCGAGCCCGCTCACGTCTACCGCAGTTCAGTGATCCTCACGAGCTGCCAACGGACGTGTGGCTCCGCCCCGAGGCCTACGGGGAAAGGTCTAGTTCCTCGACCCCAAACTACGGGAACGCGGAGGTCTACCACCTGGCAGACTACTCCGACGGGGACACAGTGCACAACACAGAAGATTTGCTTTCAGGCAGAGCAGCATTCCGGGCGGGTGGGGTATACGAAGCACCGTTTCATAGACCTACAGTGCCGGCCTCACCTCCGGCCCCTGCTACGAAAGCCACAGTAAAGTGCGGGACGCGGCCAGCGGCGCGGGGAACAGTTGCAGCATTTTTTGCAAGCAGTCGCGGACGTGTTTTGAGCAAAGCAAGATCTTCTTCGCCCCCACGCTTAGCGGCACCACCAGCCAGAAAGGCTTCTGTCCCTGCAAACAGCCGGCCTGGCCCACACATCAGGTACAAACAGCCGCCGGCATCGTTGAGGTTGCCACCAAAAGGGCAGGGAGCAGCCTTTGGCGCTCCAGACCAGCCACGGGATCCCAGATCCCCCACCTCGGACACCCCTTGCGGACCGGAAGACGCTCAACATCGTCCTGGACTGGCACGGGGTGCTCGACGTGAACATCCGCTCTGGGGGAAGGCTTCACCCACAGATCGTGGACGGATTGATGTCTACAGACAGCTCACGGTCCGTTCAATTGGATTATTTGCAGCTATTGTGGGGTGGAGCGCGAACGAACTACGGCACCGGAGATCGCCACAGCAAGGGTACACTTGGCTTACAAGGGCATCTACGTGGGTACAACGCAGTTCACGCGCTCCAGGGTTGGCGTCGCTGGCAAAGCAAACCTATTGCACGGTTGGGCAGCACACATCCTTGTGGACGACAACGCCACAATCTGTCGTGAGGCGCGACTTACAGGCGCGCACGCTTTCCGGGCGTACCCCAGCCAGGGGGTGCAAGGGACTCTGGACGCGTTGATTGCTATTGAGCAGTGGTTGGATCAAGCCGACCGAGCGACCATCCAGCCTGCCCGTGCACTTACTGCCGCAGAGCTCCTTGAGGAGGTCCGCAGGTAGCAATCACCTGGTGCTCACGACAGGGGTGCAGCCGTTGGCGCACCTAGGATATTTTTCCCAACCTGTGCAGGGGGCAGCCGTTGGCGCCCCGAAGAACTGTGGCGCAAAGACGCACGAAGTCACACATTTCCAATTGCACACAACTGCATTGGTGAGCCTGCACATTTGCATCCAATTTGCAATCAGAAGTTTAGGTTCAAAGGAGATTCCCCATTATCAATTAGTGAGGCATATCAATCCTTGTGTGACTGAGTGTGTTGCTGCATCATTCAATAATCTGTTTTGAGTGTAGCCGTAAGCGCACATCTCATAATCCCACCAGGCACAAATCACCGGAGAGTGCTGCCTTTGGCGCACTGACTTGGTTCGCGTGTGCAGGAAAAGCTATCGCATCCGTGCGGCTCAGGCATGAATCCCTCTGGCATTACACCCCCATCCGAAGATAGGTCTAGATCCTCACATGGCGCAGACTATGATGACCCAGACCTTGCGGGTGCAATGGTGCCAGCCATGTCTGTTGTTAGGCATAACCCTAATAGCCCTGCACCAGATTCCGATGCAACCCCTGTTAGGCGCATGTTCGTTTCAGAACCATCCTCATCAGAGCCGGCTGGAACGCCCGATCCAACCCAGAACCTCCCAGCTGCTGCATTTGTTGCGGGTGCCGCCGTTCAACGTGCCCACCATGCTTCCGATGTCGCGCTTCAGGCCGCTGAACATGCACCGCAACAGCAACTGCTGGCTGAGCAGGCCCGAAGGGAGGCGGGGGAACTCCGGGAAGCCGCCCAACAAAGGGAAGGGTTGTTTAGGCATCAGGCAATGAACCTTGTAACCCAAGCTCAACAGGCCGTGAATTATGCACGTGAGCACGAGCTCAATGCGAGGCAGCAAGCCATTGGCGCTGCGGAGCAAGAGGAGGCAACCAGGCAACAGGCGAGGTGCTTAGGCTTCAGGCGCAAACAGTCGTTTCCGAGGCCCATGAAGAGGTAGGTCAGACTAGGGCTTTAGCTGAAAGGTACGCAGCAGAGGTTCGCAACAGAGCTAATGCTGAACAGGCCCAGGCCCAAGCTCAGACCCAATACCTTTATCAGGAAGCACAACGTGCCGTAGCCGAACGTGATGCCACCATTCTAGCTCTGCAAGAGAAGGATTTGCAACAAGCGTCTAGGTTAGCCGAACTTGAAAGGACGGTTTCCCTTTTGCTTGAAGTCCGTCAGCCTCCGACTCGCTCGCCGCAAAGTGCCCCGCAAGCACAAACCGATAATGGTACGGATTCTAATACCCCTCAACCCAAAGGGTCGCATAACCGGAGCTCCCCCATTTTGGGTGGACAGGATGTGTCAATGGGTAACCAAACGGGGGCTTCATCCAGTGGATTGCAAGACCAAGCAAACCAGCAGAGTGGACTTGATAGATCCTCACAACAGGGTTTAGATAGTGCCGCACCTCAAGTGGGTCCTCATCATACAACTGGTGTTGACTCGGGCGCCCAGCCCGGTGCTTCCTCTGCCAACCTGCATGTCACATTCCAGGATGTTGCAACCCCACGTGATGTTGCCGCAGGAAGTGTGGGACTCGCGTAGCATATCACCTGGTGCTCACGACAGGGGTGCAGCCGTTGGCGCACCTAGGATATTTTTCCCAACCTGTGCAGGGGGCAGCCGTTGGCGCCCCGAAGAACTGTGGCGCAAAGACGCACGAAGTCACACATTTCCAATTGCACACAACTGCATTGGTGAACCTGCACATTTGCATCCAATTTGCAATCAGAAGTTTAGGTTCAAAGGAGATTCCCCATTATCAATTAGTGAGGCATATCAATCCTTGTGTGACTGAGTGTGTTGCTGCATCATTCAATAATCTGTTTTGAGTGTAGCCGTAAGCGCACATCTCATAATCCCACCAGGCACAAATCACCGGAGAGTGCTGCCTTTGGCGCACTGACTTGGTTCGCGTGCGCAGGAAAAGCTATCGCATCCGTGTGGCTCAGGCATGAATCCCTCTGGCATTACACCCCCATCCGAAGATAGGTCTAGATCCTCACATGGCACAGACTATGATGACCCAGACCTTGCGGGTGCAATGGTGCCAGCCATGTCTGTTGTTAGGCATAACCCTAATAGCCCTGCACCAGATTCCGATGCAACCCCTGTTAGGCGCATGTTCGTTTCAGAACCATCCTCATCAGAGCCGGCTGGAACGCCCGATCCAACCCAGAACCTCCCAGCTGCTGCATTTGTTGCGGGTGCCGCCGTTCAACGTGCCCACCATGCTTCCGATGTCGCGCTTCAGGCCGCTGAACATGCACAGCAACAGCAACTGCTGGCTGAGCAGGCCCGAAGGGAGGCGGGGGAACTCCGGGAAGCCGCCCAACAAAG